CCCCCATTCACATCTAAGTTGAGTTCTTTATGCAGACGCAACCTTTCCTGTCTTTGTTTAGCCTTGAATTCACGAAGTTCCAACTCTTGCCTTTCATCCAACTGTCGTACCTTCAACTGAGCAGAGGTCCTACAAGGACTAGTCTTACTATAGTCAATAACTGTACCATTATCAGAGCCACGGCATGAAATAACATCAAGAGGGACTTGCTTGGTATCTGAGGTCGGATCCATGGACATGTCACCTTCCCCGTCCGGAATTGACTCAAGGAACACCTTGCGATTGCCAGGTACAGCAGTGACGGGTTGTTGAGTACTGTAGCGGCCAGAATCCAATAATCTTGGCCTGAACGCGGGAAATAGCTAGGCGGTGCCAACTGACGTGAATCTGACTAGTTCCTGCGTTCTACTGTATAGCTTCCTAACTTCCGCGAGTGACGCACAGTCAAAGGTTGGATCGAAATATCAAAACACGGTTTGTAGTAATTCAATAGTAGATTCGTAACAAAATCTGTGGTAAAAAAAAAAAAAAAAAAAAAAAAAAAAAAAAAAAAAAAAAACTCAACAGTGCCGTTGGGTAACTATACAGTCCAAAACGTTCTCGGGTACAAATACGTAAAAAAAAAAAAAAAAAAAAAAAAAAAAAAAAAAAAAAAAAAACTGTCGGTCAATAGGAATATTCCCGGCAAAAGGGATCAAAACTCTGCCTACAGGAATCAAATCAACAAACAAACGTTTCCAGTAGACAGTCAAAAGACAAACAGTCAAATCACTGCACAACCGTAAGTTGAACCAAAACAAAATGTCGTGCACAGTAAAACAACATCACCTTATCAACAGTCCAGCGTCACATAATAGGAAAGTGAAACACTCATAATAAGTCTCAAACATACAAAGGCAAATACCGAGTGTAAAGTCAAATAAGACAGTTAAACAAGCAAATAACATTACACCGGCGAGGGTCAAAGGTACACCATCCATAACGAGGGTAAAAATGTTAAAATAAATGTCAATACAATCAAATAAGGGTGATCGGGAGGGATTTTCAGATCATTTTTCCTTTACAGGGCCCACTGTTAGAAATGACCCCTGACCGTCTGAAAGTATTCTAGAGTGGCGTGGCGAAAGAAATTAAATACAATGAATCGAATTGCACGTCGATCGCGGTCCCGTGTCCTTTTGCCTTCCATTCAGTGCTGGTTGCACCTGAAATAGAAACAAAAGTCTTTAATACCACGTAAACGTTTCTTGGAAATGAGAAACATTTATAGGTAAATATATCGAAAGTGGATTATATGCTCATTTTCATCTTGTTTTTTGAAAAATTATGATCACGTAGTAGTAAAAAATTGGTGCGAAAAGGTAAAATGTGGGAGAATTTTTGCATTCCCTGTAAACAAAATATTCAAAATTGGTGCCTCGAAAAAAAGAATTTAAATATGGTTGGCATATTTCGCGCTGCCTAGTTGAATATGTTTTTAGATACTCAGGGGGCCTGACGGGTTGACTCGATCGAGCTTTTGTTGTGCCGGCGGTCGTTGTATGTGTCCATTACTGGGCGCACTGTCTAGAATTTCGGTAATTGGTCTATACTCCCGTCATCTACAGCGAGTTGAAACGTCACCTATGATGGGGTTGCCTTTGGAATGGGCTTGTTTCGAACGATCGACACCAATAATGTTTCCACTTCCGTTTCTCTCGATCATGAAGAATTTCGCATACCGCCTGACCATTCCGAATGGTCCATCGTAAGGTGGTTCAAGTGGTCAACGAACGGCATCGGGGTGAATGAACGCATGGGATGTCTTTCGTAAAACGGGGTGAACGAAGGCATGAGTTGTTTGAAGTCTAACAGGAGTACGCCTGACAACGCACTGCGCTTGTGAGCCTAGTCACGTCAGATATTGTGTCAGAAACACGTTTGAAATTTGAAGGGGAAACAGACTCACCTAGTAAGCGAAAAGTAGTCCCATGGACGAGTTCTTCAGGGGTGCATCCAGCATCGGCCTTCGACGCGTTACGAACACACATTAGGACTGGAGGCAGATGGCTTTCAGCTGTCGATGGAAACGTTCTACCATGCCACTTGCTCGTGGATGGCAGGCTGTCGTTCGGAACCGAGTGCAACCTAAAAGTGCAGTTAAAGCGTGAAATAATCCTCACCGGAAATAGAGCCAAAAGTCAGTTGCTGCACAAGGTGGACATGCAAAGTTTGCGATCCGTCTTTCGACGAAAACACGAGTGGCAGTTTCAGCAGCAATATCCTTGGGAGTTACTGCTTCTGGTCATCTCGTAAAACGATCCATGCAGGTGAAAAGACAAGCGCTTCCATTAGTTTCTGATGCAGGTCCTGCAATATTTGTATGGACGTGGTAAAAACACACACCTGGTAGCCCTAAAATGAACCTATAGGGCTTTTCATGGATGACGCTACTTTACACTTCTGACAAGTTAAGGGCGACCGAGCCCACCCCTTAACGTCTTTGCTCGTGCCCGGCAAGCAGAAACGTTGTGCAGCAAGCCTGATGGCGGCCAGTACACCTGGGCGGAATAGTTTGTGCAACGTATTGAAGGCATCTTGTCCATATCTCTCCGGAACTAACAGGCGTGGTTGACTAGCAGAGACATCACATAAAACCGTATTCTTGCCTGATCCTACTGGACACAGTTGTAGCTTGAGAGTTAAGGACGACAGCTCATGTTACAACTCAAGGTTTTCCTTTTAACACCAAGCTAGTTCAACGAGACCAACACCTTCGATACCGTTTATCGTAGCTATTCTAAATAGCGGGCTGGCCATGGAGTTGTTTGCTCCAGATACGCTGCAGATATCTGACGTGAACGGGGAAGTGTAAACCGGTGGTTGCGACTCACGGGGAAGTATTTATCAGATTTCGAGTCGAGAGAGAAGGTTAACGGTTTGTGGTCTGTGGAAACAGTTAAGTCACAGCCTTCCACAGAATGTCGAAAATGGCATACAGAACAGTACATAGCTAGGAGTTCCCTACCAAATGTACCGGATCTTGTTTCCGTGTCTTGTAGCCGCCTCGGGAAAGAGGCTAACGGTTGCCACTGGTTGTCAGTCAATTGTTGCAAAACTGCTCCAATTGCTGAATCAGATGCGTCAACAGCAATACTCAGAGGAGCACTGGGGTCATGATGCATAAGCATGGTTGCGTTCGAAATGGCTTCCTTGACTTTGGAGAAAGCAAGTCTAGCCGCGTTGTCCAGAGACACGAACTTCGTAGTTCCTCGAGGTAGATCTGTTAGTGGTCTCATGACAGAGGCACAGTTGGGAATAAACCTTCGGCAATAAATTACCAGGCCGTTGAAAGTATGGAGCTGCTTCACAGCGGTCGGCTCTGGATGGTTCGTGACAGCCACCACTTTATCTCTCATTGGGCGTATAGCTTTGTTATCAATGGTATGCGGAAGGACGCTGAGTGATTCAACTCCTATTTCACACTTCTGCAAGTTGACTGTGATGCCGCATCTTTTAAGTCGACTGAATACGAGGCCCAAATGTTTGAGGTGAGTTTCCTTATCTGGACTCACAATGAGACAGTCATCGATGTAAACGTGAGCAAAATTTAAGCCGCGTAAGGTATCATCCATAAAGCGTTGGAATGCTCGTGTTGCATTCCGAAGACCAAATGGCATGCACACGAATTTTCAACAAACTAAAAGGGGCAATAATAGCTGTTTTGGCGACTAATTTTTCTGACATAGGTACCTGATTGCGGGCTTTAACCTGCTCGATTTTGGAGAAAATGCTCATTCCGCATAACTTCTCAGTCAAGTCGTAAATATGAGGTATCGGGTAGCAGTCCGGTGTCATTTTCGGCGTTAAGCCTTTGGTAATCACCTGTTGGACGCCAGCCGTTGCCATCGTTTTGGGGAGCCGTATGCAGTGATCATGCCTAAGGACTGTTTGACGGTTTGATAATGCCCAGTTTGAGCATCTGGTAGAATTCACTTTTCTCCAGTTCGAGCTTATCAAGAGCTAGGCGGCGCGCCTTGGATGCCACAGGTGGGCCTGTGGTTGCGACGTGATGCATAACAGTGCTGGCAATACACCGAAGACTATGCCTTGGTCGTTGTAACTCAGGAAATTTCCCTACCACTGCCTGATAGCACACGTCGTCTGAGTGTTTAGTTATAATGATGGCTAAACTAGAACCTACATAGATGGTGCCGCCAATAAATAGCGTTGTGTTATTATCTATCGGTCATCGACTAACAGCATGTACAAGTAGATCGTAATGGTTCAGCAAATCTATGCAAATGATGGACATAGAAACATCGGCTATGAGGAAAATCCAGGTAATAGGTTTTCGTAAATCTGAGTTGTGGTAGGCATGTCGCCTCCCGAAGGCTGCGATCTCCTCGACGTTAGCTGCATACATTGTTCTAAGTTTTCCACCCTGAAGGGATTCCATTAAAAATATGTTTGACTAAAACATAACAGCTCCCACACCTATGTTCTCGGAGCTTCACGCATCCCCAACGCGAAATGTTCTCAAGAATTCTAGGGTTACCTACCAGGTATCCAGATAAATAACAGCGAGACTGTTTTCAACATAAGAAGGAAATAAGAGACAATACAGCACCTTAGCGTATTTAAAAGTGATGGAAACATTCATTTTTCTTCGGCCTTCCGACTAACTGTTTGCAGAATGTTAAGGCAAACACACATGCATGAGATGATAATGTAGCGGGGAACTGTGAAAGGTCAACTAGCATTCAAGGGCCTGTTTTAAAGTGCCCAGTGAATGAGAAAACTGAGCCCCAGAGTAAAAGTAGTAAGGTGTATGAAGAGATTAAATAAGATTACTGCCGAAAATAATTTGTACATTATTTGAACGAACTAATGACCACTGATGTCAATCACGTCACATTGCTCTGATCCGACATTTTTATACGATCAGCATGCTATCATTATTGGGAAAACTGATAATTAAACAAAGCTATGACGAAAATTCAAAGCACTTGAAATTCTCTGTATGTTGCGCTTATTCAAACGTTGGCGGTACGGTATCGAAGAGACAACTTTTGGTCGTAGCCACTTCACATTGTTTTTGTCTTGTATAATAGTCTATTTTTGTTAGTAATCAATATTTTGTTCTAAGGAATGCAAATGGCTATGCATTCGCAATATCCTGCACTTACCTTAGTAGATGAAATTCACTAGGAGCACATCTCAACCGTCCATTAATTTACAAGCCGTTTTGTTAGTACATACTATACAAATATGTGTTGACTTGACCCTTACGAATTTTGGTTTGTATCCATCGATCATCAAACGTCAACACCAGGAAAATGGAATTTCTGCTCATGACTCAAAACCTAATCGTTATTGAGCAGATAAAAATCTTGTTGCATATGCCGTAATTCTTCTTCATAATTTTATTTTGATTCATTACGGAGGTGACTTCTTACTTAATACTTAAGTTAATGGTACCTAAAACCCCAGTTTCACGTTGTTTGCGCACCATAGTAAAATTCAGAGTTGCTCGTAAGGTCGAGTTTTTTCTCTACGTTTCCTATTTATCATATGCTTGTGGCGTTAATTAGTTTGTTTTGTCTAGTGTAGCTTTCAGTCCGTTGTGTCGTAGTATCTCATTATCTAACTAAGGGAACGTCAGAGAAGCAACAAGTCAAAATTTCAGCATAATCATCATTATCCTTCAATTTAGTTTTAGAGCTATTTTAACATTTACTGCAGTAATACCATATTATGAAAGTATGTCTTATGTGTCAGACCTGGTTTAATTGTCTGAGTTCTGAACCCATAGTTCATTTATCTAAATTTGAGGGGCCTGCCCAGGAAAATAAAGTGGAAAAGCTATACAACTGCTTTTTTAAGCGGTAGTAACACAGGCTGTTTGAGATAGCCAAAGATTAGTGATACTATCAAATTGCACTAACTTCAGTAGTCAGGGCAGATTTTAAGTATTTGGTAGTGTCTAGGACAAATTAGCCAAGCAACGTTCTCGTTTGCTGTCATCAACTTAAATAATGTCACTCAGTGGGTAGCAAAAAAAAAGAATATGAGGCAGTAACTTGGGGTATAACACCGGGCACACTGTGGTAAAATTGTCAATTCGGTTTACCGTCTTAGTTTACTTTACCATTACAGTTGCAAATGTTTGCTAAGGTTATCTACCTCCTGTAAACTGGCAAGAGTAAAAAGAACGGAAAATAAAACCCAGGGAATTTAGTTAAATTACGTGCATGTCTGAAGTGCTGCGGACGCTTCGCAGGAATTTCAGCAGTCAACATGATGAATAGCACTAAACTTCCGAGTGTGTCCGTAATCCGTTTTTTGTCTCGAATGGAGCAAAATGTTGGTGTCCATAAAGGAAATTATAAAGGTTACCTCAGATGGCATTCAGGTGACTGTACCATTATAATGGTGGTTCCGAGTAAAAGACGTCACCAACGAGGTCTTACTACTTATTCACTCTTTGCATTTAATCCGAAAAGCATCCACAAATATTGTTTGACAGTATGATTGTGCACAGAAAGGAGAGCGCAGTAGCAATTCTTGTCAGCGGATGTTTCATTTCGGAAAGAACATCTTATTTTGTGGTGTCAATCCAGAGAATAAGCGAAACATGGATGACATCTTGAACCACTGGACTTCATGATCATTGAGAATACTCACAGGGTTTTTTTTCTCCCTAAATGGCTTTACGGCATTTGATTTATCGTGTTTTATCTTGTATTTATTTTGTTTTCAGGTGCTCACAATAATGACTGCTAACAACTCGGGAAAAAGAAATTTAAAGAAACTTATGCTCTACAAAGTAGTTTTTATTTTAGCCAAAGCATTATTGTGTTATTTAATGAAATTTTTTAAAGATAGTAGGTTGCTTGTTAAAACCAGGTCATCTACGTTAGAAATATTATTTGTGTAATAAAGTGAATTAAATAGAAAATTCTCCATTTATTTAGTGCGTAGTATTCATTTGATGAGTACGTCACTTCTGAATGGTCATAAAATGATACTTGTTTTTTTATCAAAATGCGATTTCGCGAGCTCTAGTTTATTTCTTGTTAAGTAATTTAGAATGCATATTCTGATAAGAAACAAATATAATATCACCTATTGCTGTACAAACAATCGTAAACTGGGATATTGAAACCTCAACTGATTTTGCAAGTGTGGAACTTGTGAAGTTTTTTCAACTGTTTTCCATCTCATTTAGGAACATCTTTGCTAACATGCTGAATCACAAGGTAAAAATATACAGCCACTGTTTCGTTACTACTCAAACAATAAGCACAGTTTGTAGCTTGACTCATCGCACTTTGTCTGAATCGCTTATTTGGATCAAGACAAGAAAACTATTTAGTGTGGCGTTACTACTAAGTGTGAAACGGACAGAAAAACGTGACAGTACAGGATTTCATATGAAGGAGCATCGGAGATACGATATACAAGCAAGCGATTTAAAATAGAGGGTTTTAGTCACTTCCCTTTGAAATTAAGGATTACTCAAATCGCTAAAATGATGAAGTAAGCGGAGACTGTTTTGATACAGACGTTAAAAGTTGCACAAGGTGAACCCATGATAAGTAGTGCAGGACAAACCCCTGGTGAATTAGTAACAAGGGTATTTCATATTACTAGTGGTGGGATTTTGGTCATCATCATTACCAACATAGGACCAGGCATTACTGCGTAACGGTCCGAGTTGCCGCACCTCATATCAGCACATCAAATAAAAAGGTAGTGAGGCGAAGGATGAAGATAAGTGAATGCAGTCAAAAGAAATATAAAGTACGAGAAGAAAGGAAAGAGGAGTGACAAAATGGTGAGATTCGGTATAACGTTGTTAAGATGAGGATAATGTGTGTATACATCTGCGCCACTGACTTCGGTTCTGAGCCATATCATCTAGAGTCTCCAACCACTGGTTCCTCTTGTCCCGCCGATCCCAACCACCTAGTCTGCATCGTCCTACATGGCTTAAACCAACAGTCAAAGACTTCATACATTGGTGCCATGTTTTGGTCTGGCCACCTCGGGTCTTTTTCCAGCCTGGACCCACCTCAGCCAACATTGTGTGACGAGGCAATCGGTGACTAGGCATACGTAGTACGTGTCCCAACCATCTCAGTCGATGAAGGTTCACAATCTCGTCGACTGACTTACCTCTTCTCCCCAAAACTCTACGCCTAACTTCTGCATTACTCACATGGTGACACCACGGAATACGTCCTCTACTACGAAGGCAACGGTGGTCAAACACCTGAAGCCTTTTTGTATCCTCCACTTTCAATGGTCGGAGTAACTAAATTATTATTCGGGGTTTAGTATTAGGACATTACATCGTCTGAATGATCTCAATCGCTGGCTGTTCAGGTTTTCAGGAAAGGAGAGGAGAGGAATCTCATATCAGTCGCAAAGGAATGAGTCTGAATAGTGTTCTGAGAATTTACGTTCCATAGTCATCAGACATTTGAATGGAGTTTGAGATTACTAAACCCGGGGAAGTCACATAAGTGTCAGGTCTGCTCGTCGTTTTACTGATTCGATCACTCTCCACCAGACATCGAAACATAAGTATGCGTACCAGTACCCAACACTAGTTGTATCTCGGCCTAATGACATTTGACTCCGTTGGTGGATAGGTCCAACAGCAGTATGCATCACAGAAAATGATGCATGGGGAGTATTTCTACATGATAGGAGATCTATTCTCGAAAAGTTTGGCAGTGGTGCCAGGACGCACTGTGAATCTTCCCTAAATGTCCATGCTGGTTGCTATCCATTCGGGATGTGCACACTTTGATTTGAAATTATCACAGGTGTGCTTATGGTTTCTCTTCGTCTAACTTTTCGGTGATTGATCTCCTCATAACAGACTTATCACTTCACTTAAGGTACACAGATAACGTACTCCTGTTAGGTAAGGATACTGATGAGAAGCAAAGTCATCTGAACAGATTGACGATCTAGGAATATTTGACGTATGTTTCTCACCACGGAAATGGAAACTTACTTCAGTACTGACAGTAAGAAATGAAGTAGCTAGATGCGTTCATCACTTTTCTGAGAAGTTACACCAACCCTTGTGATATTGGTCAACACATACAAAAGGTTAGATTGGTGTTTGACAAATTGTACCACTTTTGGTAGCGGCTAAATACTAGGTTATGTGTGAAGGATGTTCTACACAGTTCTCTCTGTCCGACTTTATGACTGAAAAACATTGGTTTTTATGGTGGATGATTTGAAAGGATTACACTTATCGACCACCCCTTCCTTAGTATAATTGTCTGCATGTAGTGCTTCACTATGAGAAAAGTAGAAGTTAGACGCACATTCATAGGTGAGGGTAGTAAGTTGGTTGATGATATTGCAAACCTTCGTTGATTAAAGTGATTGGGATATGTTGCTTATACCGAGTTACCAACTATTCTGAACACCTACACTATCTTAAGTAAAGTGAAATGGAATGCACTGAGTAGCCTTGTGCACGTTCTTGCGGTGGGCAATGAGCCACAAACATTGTGTGCGGGCATATAGTACTACCTGGCTCCTCAAACCTCGGTAAGTGGAGCGCGGCTTCAACCCGTGACCCAGTGGTTGTAGGTCATCTCTCTAAACCAATGAACCACAGCTCCACACTAGCTAAAGTAGAGTGTGACTATACGCGAGAAATTGTGCTCCGAACATCGTCCAGTAAAGGTCGCAGTGAAGTAACTAAGAGGCCTACTAGTATAGAAGTATGGTTAATTTGGAATGTAGCTGAGAGTTGTCAAGCATAAAATGTGGGATTAGTCCACAGGGTCGCTTATTGTTGGCCTCAGGTGTGTGGGTGAGTGCAGGATTCTAGTTGAGTCTACGTGACAGCCGAAATATATTAGTTGTCAATATGTGACATAGCTCAATCAGTCTATGACGTACTTGCATTCTCTCTATTTTCGTGTTAATCATTGTGTAATATTTCACTATTGAATTTAACCCCTCCTTTTCGTTTATTCTGGACAATCCTTACTTGTCCTACTGATGTAAGGGTTCTAACCAAATGACGTATTTTCATCAAACATCTGACTTTTACCTTTATTTTGTCATTTTGTCAAAAACAGATGAAGCTAGTGGTGATGAAAATCATATGGACACGGCTGAGCTTTCAAGTAAGTTTTTCATTCCATATATGTAAACACTGGATGACATATCTATACTTTAATGTATCGTAGGAACTCCTAACGTAGTTTGGTGAATTTTATGACGTTTTTTTAGTGTTATATGCTCAGTGTTTGTGATTTGAGTGCTTAGTTGGTGCTCTTTTGTTGATATAAAAGTTAAAGGCATAATGATCTACCATTATCTTCCATATTGTGTATCTCATCAAATGATTTCTGCCAGTATCAGCGGGCACAATGAATCCTAGGGTGTCATTAGAATCCAGCTATTGTCAAGTTTTTACGCACTTCATTTTGTCATCTGGTTACATCATCGTTCAGGTGCTTATTTGAGAACTTCACTGTTTTTAGAGCCCTTAACTCATAATATCGACAAGTTCCTTCATAAAAGCATAGTTAAGTCAATAAAGGCCATGGATATAAATTTTTGGATAGTGGCTGCTTCTGTGGTGTGTAAAGCCTTGTTACTTCTATTGTCCGGAATAAGAAGAGCTCTTCTGATTAGATTAGTGGTATGAATCTCTCAGGTTGTACAAATTACGTATACTGTCGAGATGGTTCAAAGATTTTCGGAAGGTCTGCTTTTAACTATTTGAAAACTGTTCAGATTGAGCTACTCTCAGCTGTACTTTAGTCAACAAGCGTTTCAATACTGTGGTGGATACCGTCATCAGTGCATCAAAGCTTCACAGGGGAGTGAACTAATTGACTGTGCATGGGTGTTCATAACGTACTACTTCTCCTAAGTCCAACCTAAGTAGTCGGTTTGTGTATTTAGGTCTATGTTGAACCTGGTTCGTTAATGTTATGCCTCCAGCTTTCTCAGACGGATATGCAACTGTCATTAGTTGGGCAACCAATAACTTCAGTTCCCTGTTAATTTCTAATGCACTGATGACTATGTCTAGCTTGAAAATAAAAGCCTATCATTGGAAAAATCATTTCAGAAAAAGACCTTCTGAACATCCACACCGTGAGTTACAGATATACTGCACCACTTGGAAATTGTTTGACATAAAGTGACTTTTTGTTGGAAACATTTTCCCCGATGCAAATATAAAACAAGGGAAACTTATTGAATTGATGAACTTCGGTAAAACTCATATGGTTACTTGGCATGCTTGATTGCTCAAACCATTATAATAATGATCACTTTATTCCGGACAATATGGTTGGTGCAGTGTAGAATTTTCAACAAAATTTCCCTCTGGACAATAAAATGAAACAATCATAGCATCTCAGTATTGCAAGGCAGCTTTTGATGGGATATCGTCTAGTTTGAAAGATAGAATAAGCAGGAATGTGTACATTTGTTGGTGGTGTTGGTTTATTCAGCCAGTGCAAAAGTCTGCAACTCGAGTTATTTGGGGAATACTTATATGGTATACTGTTGTGTACATTGACTGGTCACTGGAGGGCGACCAGTCTTATGTTGTCTAGTCTTGAATGTAGACCGAATTCTATCGATCGTTTTGCAGTGTAACCAACTACCTCCAAACAACTAACACCCATCAAAGTGCACTGATATGATGAGCCTCCTAGGTTGGTGACAACATTGCAAAATGAACGATGGGATTCTGTCTACACTCAAGACTAGACGACATAAAATTGGTTCCCCTCCGGCGATCAGTCAATATATGTAATCCAGTCCTACGGGATGTCAGTCGCGATCCGAATAGCTGAGTGGTAACGTCGCTGGTTGCAACTCCGGGTGACGTGGGTACGAACCTCATGGGGGAAATCAGTTCCCCCGAGGTTGCAGATACGCCCTGTTGATGAGTGCCAACAAGCACGAAATCTAGGTCCAGGGCTTTCCGCCGATTGCTTCTAACCAACTAATATGCCGTTGTGTGTTTAAAAGCCCATCACCATCTCCGAAGAAGTGTTTTCTTCATTTTATTGTGAAATTACAAAATAACTAGTTGAAAAAAGTTGAAAATGCGCATGAGTAGATAGTGCGATCCGAAGGCATTTAAATGATTCAAAAAAGTTGGACAGGAGTAATTGGATGTAATGTAATCAGTGGAAAAAGTTTGGTAGCCCTAGATTCAAGCAGGCCATTTCGAGATATAAGGGAGCTATACGTACTGCAGATTAAAACAACGAATGAAGTATAGCATTTTATGACATCCACTGTTCTCTACCTCAACCATTACTTTGGCACGTTGATCGAGCTGGCCTGTCATAATGACCCATTCTGACCGTACTAAAGAAAACACTTCTTTGATACTAAGGTGGTTGTTTAGGGAACAATGGGACCAACAGCAGCTAATTCCATTATTTTGCAATGAAAATACTTAACATCGGCTTTATTTATGGGTGCAAAGTGTTGTTGGCTTCATAGAGTAGAAAATAACTGAAATGTATCCAAAAACCGCGTACCCTTACGCGCTATGGACAGTCAGTCACTCGTATTGCTCACGGGATACTGAAACTACATGACTTTCCAGACCTCGTAGGTGATGGGATTGAAAACCGTGATCCACCAGTTGAAGGTCAACCACCCAAATCAGTGAGCCACAGCCTTAGCACAGATGGACAAACATGCATGCAAAACCAATATTAGAACCTTGCATAAAAGTGTATCGGTTCAAGTTGCCACACTTCACAACTGCATGCAGAGAAGAGAAAGAGATAAATCAAAGTACAAGAAGGTGAATGAGAGAATAAGATATTTGAGGAAATGTTAAAACTTAAGAAGACGTCAAATAAGGAATACATCTGCGCCACTGAAACCGATTTTCAGCCATATCAAATGTATCCAGCGGCTGATTCGTATGATACCAAGGACTCTAACTGGGCAGTTTACACCTCTTTACATCACTCATATCAACAATCATAGGTTCTATGAACTGATGCCCAGTTTTACTCTGGACACCTGCTAGCATTGCCCGTCCCAGGTAGGCGGTGGCTCGGCATGCACAACACATCCAAACCACAGTGGATGAAAGATCATAATGTCATTAACTGACTTACTTTCTTTGCCAAATATCTTTCAGGTGACATCAACATTGCTCATACAGTCATTCTACCAAACGTGAGCAATACCACAAAAACACTTGCGGTCTAAAACTTGTAACTGCTTCAAACTGGCTTTTAACGGCCATGTCTCACAGCCGTATGACAGGACAGAACAGACTGCAGCGTGGTACGCTCATCCTTTAATGAGTGGTGGAATATCTCGCCAGTCAGCACCATAGATAACGCATGTTGGCAAATGCCAATCGGACTTTCTGTATTCAAGCTGAGATTTCATCAGTGACCATCCGGTCCGGGCTGGTTCAACTCTCCAGGCAAGTCAAGTAGTCGACACATTCTACCACTTTTTTATATATTAAACTGAGAGTACTTGCTGCAGACCAGTCTTGGAGCATCATTTTAAATTTGATAGGTGCAAAACGCGTACCGAACATTCTGAGATTTCTGCTTAATTTGTTCAGAAGACTGCTTTTTGTCAGCGTCTCTACCAAACAGCCATTTCTGCATACTCCAGTTCGACCAGACGCCTTCCAGGGAGATCAGTCCTTATGAAGTCAGGTTCTTAAAGTCATGGCGATTAGCACATCTATAACGAAAATAAGCAGGAAGGGTGACAGCGGGGATACACAGTAGACGCAACTAGTTGCCGTCAATGCAGATAACAGCTCTCCACAAGCCCTTACACGACTGTGTGTGTTCGATTAGAGTGCCTTGTTAAGCGTTATTCGCTTGCTGAGTACTGCTGTCAGTCAAGCACTGCTACAACACCCAATGGTTGACAGAGCTGAATATTGCCTTGAGATAGAGAAATACAACCAGTGTCAGGCGTCGGTGTATGTGTTGTGACCGAGTGGTGGGGTTGCGCGCGTGGGTATAATGAATACTGAGACTCAATACACACCTCAACTGAATACCTTTACGACTGACCTCCCTCAGTACCTTCTGCTTCACTTAGCCGCGGAGAAATCAGAAGACAAAGATGACCTGTGACTGCAAGAACAGCGACAACAACTTTTATTGGACAAATACATGACATATGTAGTGACAAAACTCTCAGAAAGTGAAGCCATAAATGAACCAGTCAGATTTCTTGTATGAGGTTGAATCCCTCCAATCAGGTCCTCATGTCAGCGCATGCATAAATCATGACCTGAACATTATCTGATCATGACTTGAAAACTCCCCTATTGGCTGCCTTCTTGTCGCTACGTAACAGTATGTGTCTCAGAGCCTGGCGGAGAATGATTTTGTTATCAACATACCCACAGCCAGGTCTGAAATCTGTTTATTTTTCTCCCGTTCGCTGTTTCTGAGTTCCACACAGACTTCTCATGATCATAGAACCGAAAATCTTAGACAATATGGTCGTCAGGATTTTTCTTCTGCAATTATCAAAAGAGGATTTCTGGTCTGTTAAAACTGGGATAACCAGTGATTAAAACCTGTAAGAGGGAACCATATCTGACTCCCATACAGCAACTAAAACTTCAGTTAACTTGACCAATAATCCTTCACCACCGTTTCTCACTACCCCTGGAGCTATTTCGTCTGACCCTGCTGCCCTTCCTCGTTTCAAATTACTCGGGTTCTGCAAGTGTTGAAGGTCATTTAAGGATGTTCTGTACAGGATCCAACTGGCTAGTGGGCAGCGGCAAAGCGGATGCAGGCCAGTTGAACTGTTCGTCAAAGTGACGTACTCATCGTTCCAGTCCTCCCGTGCGAATGAATCGCAGACCCTTCCTTCTCCGCTATAGTCTCACTAACCATTAACGTCTTCACGCTGGTTTCCTTGATGACTAAATAACTGTCTCGCTCCCTTTTTCATCTCTTAAGCCCTCGCTACCTCCACTTCGCTGTCATTGCGTAGACTTCTCAGTCTAGATATGAGTTGAGTTCGCTCCTCATTGTACTTGAAGCCTGTAGAGTTGCATGCACGTGCATCCAATAGTTCAAAAGACTCTTTTAGGATCCACTAGCTCCCTCTAACCACCTTCTGGGAGTCAGCTACGGTCTTCAAAACCGTTTTTACAGCAGACTGGAGATGGTGCCAGGCCTCTCCTGGATGAGTGATGTTCTGTTCCGATAACTTTTTCAGTTGGTTTCTTTTGGAAAGCATCTTTAGTATTCTCATTGCCAAGCATCGCTCACGATAGCCTTACTGCCTTAGCTTTCCCATGACCATTTGGGTTCAATCTGTGAGTGCTGGGACCAAAGCGTGATCATTGTCCAAACGTGTACTTCAGAAGTAGCAAAAATCTTCAACTGACCCTCTCAATTGATATCTAGCATTGAAATGGTCTATCTGTGTTCATCTCTGAGTTGAGGTTGGCCGTCAAACATCTCTTTCTATGTCTTGAGTTCGTGCTGACCAGAAGTCAGTGGTTATCTGAGTACAGTTATAGCAGGTGATCGTCTTTGTTCGTTCATTTGACTGTGCTTCCAAAAGTGCCAACTAAGTGCCTTTCTGTCCACCCCAGCCTACTCATCTGTGCTTTGAAGTTGCTCTCTACAACAACCATCTCTCGGCATTCTACTTTCAGCGGGAGACTAAACTGTTTTCAGCAAGACTTGCTCCTCGCTTCATCCTATCTGCAGTCAGTTGGTGTGTAGGTAGAGATTACGAAGAGACAGCGACGAGTGCCACTTTTGAATCTTCACTGAACCATTCAGTCAAATAGCGTACATGTGACTCAACTAGGATCCATTTGTGCTTTACACTTTCCGCCCTAGCATTGAATCCTCTACCTACACCTGCAAGAAAACGAGAAGTATCCATGGTTTCACGACGAACTCGAAGAGTTAATTTCTCAAGTTCATCTTATTGGCCGAGCGGTGGTTACATGAATAACGGAACTCGGGTCCTATATGCATACCTCACAAACACAGGACAACCATGGTTGGATATGTCAGAATTTCGGCTACTGAAGCTTGTTATCCGATTCGATGGCGACTAGGGACATTGAAAGCTCCAGTATGTAGTTTGGAAGGTGGTTTCATGAGGTGGGTGATGCTGTTCTATGAGCTCGAATCGTTATCAGAGGTTGCAGATCTGGAAGAAATTATAGATAGTACAGGAATATTGACCAAGGAATGTGAAGAAATGTGAAAAAGTAAAGATGTAAAAAGTCAAACAAGGACTTCGGTCCTGACAGATTTGTGTGATCTATACTTCTCGTTTGCCTAGTAGTTGAAAGATTAGTTGTTATTGAGGTACCTGAAGAACTTGTATTAATAATTGCTGTCCATGACCACAGAACTCAAAGGATATCTGCTCAATGCCAGTCACACAGCATTTCTAGGGATTTGAAATTCAACGCTTTTTATGTTGAATCGATTTATAAAACCCATACCACTAGCACTGAAATGCCCCATGACAGGGTATGTGTATGCCATTTTGGAAGTCAAATTTTTCTAATGAATCTCACATTAGAAGGCAACTTCATCATGGTGCTGCGAGTCTCAAATGGTAAGCATCTATTGATGTAACATCCCATCCACCTAGCAGTGCTACTTTTCTCTCTGACTCTCATCGTAGCATAGCAACTTACAATATAGTTTTAAATGTTTTTTGTCTTTCCATCATTCAAAAGTATGGTGTAGTCGGACCACAAAGGAAGAAGTGCTCGTTTGTTCATTTCTCATGGTGATGTGCGAGCTGAACCATAACGTCAAGGTAGCAGCTATGGGTTAGTAACTAGGTACGCTGACCCGTAAGCATTAGGTAGACTGACGATGGCATTAGCTGCAGTGTTGTTTTTAAAACACGATATCATCTGACAGGTGTCCATACTTCATCGTTTCAGTTTTCGGGGGAGGAAGAGGAGGAGGAGGAGAAGGAATATTCTGTGATATTTCTGGAACCAGCTAGACTCCGGGACACTACGACGTCTAACAGAAGCTCGAGAACAACAAAACCTGACAGTTTTAGGGTGTTTGCCTTGAACAGGTCGAACAGGGATCCTTGTTGTACTCGAAACTTTGGGATGCAGATATAGCGACGCTTGATGCCTTCTGTTTTTCTTATGTTGAATGCAGTATTCGACAGCATCGATCAAGATGTCTTTTGGTAACATGTCACTGAAGGAAATGCTTGGGAGGTATATCAATCGATGGAATACTCAGTGGTTTCCACTTCCTATACTTTAATTCAACTTCAGAAATGTAATTACAAAGGTATATTTTTCCTCACAGAAATTGCCTTAGTCGTCTTAGAGTACATAAATGACTTAGTCTTGCTACATGAAGAGAGTGACAAGATGTAGTGTTCTGAACGTACTATGATAGTCCGATAGTTTTTGGTTTGCATTTCTCACCTCATAAGTGTAGATTATTGCTTCACGGTTGGTTTACGTTGTTATGTAACATTAATAAGTGGAATGGGTGAACATATTGACCAGCTTTCTCATTATCTATATGGTTAATAATCTTTTTCAGTAGTGTAGATGTATTCTTAAATTTTCTTCAGCTAAATCGTAATAACCCACTTCTAAATTCTCTTCGCCGCATTTTTGTCGGATAGCTTTCTACGCCTTCTAGGAATATCATTTCCATCTCTTTGTTTTTTCGTTTTCCACCTTCTACTTTGAGGTACTAATGTAATGTGTCACAAATTGAACTCTTTCGCAGTTTCGTCAGGTTCTGCGTTAATAGTGTTTGTTTACCTATCTGTCATGCATCAAAAAAATAAGGTGGTAGGGTCACTTAACGAAAACGCTACAGACGACAAACGTACTGATCGCAACAAGGAAAAAACGAGTTCCTTTTAAACTTTTAGGTCTCTAAAAAAAGTGAAGCGCAGTAGCTTACTGCTGAAGAGAAAATTTATACAATCAAACGTAGAATACTTGAAAGTTTATTTAAAAAATCCTGTAAACCCGCGGATGGGGTAATTATTGATTGTCAGAATAAGGGTAGTGGGTGAGTTTGAAGCAATATTTAACTTTAGCAACATAGACTGACCATTATTGTCTTGACCAGGCATACTGAAATAAGCCTAAAATAATTTTTCAGATATTTCATTCTTCAACTCAGTTAACCTAATAACTATTTAAATATTCTCTTTATTACATACATTATAGGAATACCAGCAGAGAAACTTAATTACTTGAATGAGAATCATATTTTTTTGCAACTGCATAAATCAAAACGTGTAAGTTGACCATAAGATAGAAATATGACAGTGATATAGTACTTTTAAAAATAAAAATTAGTTTAATACTTACATTCGTTGTTCACTGACTGACTGACAAAATCAGCGTAGAACCTAGCACACAAGTGCATCAGCTCAGGTTGCCACACTTCACAGTAGTACACAATGAACAGGTGGATAGAATAAGACTGACATCAAAAAAGATAAAGTACTGTGAGAGAATTGACAATCTGAGGATAAAGGTTAGTGTGAATATTCAAGCTTTACAATATGTCAACGAAGGAATACATCTGCATCATTGTGATCCGTTTCCAGCCATGTCACCAGGAATACTCAACCATTGATTCCTTTCATCTCGAGGACTCCAGTCACGAAGTCTACATTGCCCCACACTACTTAGACCAACAGTAAGAGTCTTCATGGAGTGGTGTCACGTCTCGATCTGTCCACCCTAAACTCTCCTTCATTTACTGTTATCATAATGTTAATATCAGACGCTATTGTTGGTTCGAAGATGGTTCTTGTTTGTCAGAAATTGATGTCATACAACAATGAAGCAAAAGCCATTTGTTAAGGGTTTACAGTTTAAGAAGAAACAGGTATTCAGTGTCTTCTAGTTTCCAGTAATTCTCCAGTTAATTGCAGTTTATGACCAAAATTATCTCCATATTTCTGTGTGATCAGTGTTTTATGTACATCTGAATGTATTCACGTGGGTTACTCCGCTGGCTTCTCTGTTTATAATTAATTCATGAAGTTAAGTATAATTAATCAGTATCTTGTTCAAAGGTTTCTTTAGGTTGGTAGGTCGACTATCTATTACAAAACATTTACTTAAAAGCAAATATTTCATAGTAAACTGCAGGTACAGAGCATAAAACGCTTAGTTTTCTGGTTAACATACTTTACAGCTCATTCGCTTAGGTGTTTTCACCTTCTACTTTACTTACTTCGGTCTGAGTAACTAACTAGTATTGTATCAGCCTACTATCACTAAGTTTGTAGCTGATTACCGAGTTGCATTGCATAGACCTTTGGTTATGTTCCTCAGGTTGTTTAAGGTTAGTAAGTGAAGTTATTTGTGTCATTTGTGGTTTTTACGGGTGTGATATAATATTTATCTTCATTCTGCCATTTCTTTCTGTATGAGTGAGTATTACTAAGCGTTGGCGTAATTTACGTTTCTTTTTTAGCCTCTCTTCTGATGATTGTATGTGACTAAAATGAAAGAGGTATTGAAACAAACTGGGGGTAGTATTGTATAGTATGAATTAGATTTACTATGTTCTCGATTCTGTAATCAAAGAAAGTGGAAAATTCTTAAGATGCATTAGACATAATCCTTGCTGTCTTGTGTGCTTATTAAAGTTGATGAAGCTTTTTATCATCCATACGCTCTTAATTTTTCTAAAATATAGAAATATGTGCTGACATGCGACGCTTGTGGCACAACTTTGCCCACTGTTGGTGCTGCTATTCAACATACCTCTATGAACTATCACCATGTTAACGTTACGGTAAGAAGTGGTTTCATACTTTAAAAAAATCATGTTTGATATATACATGTAGTATGGTTCGTGTATTATCAAGTGAATAAAGGCAGTAGATTTATAGCCTCCGTAACTGTGATCATATATCTGTTGGATATATAGTTTGATTATTGTCAGTTCACTTTCAAGTGTTTAGATCAATTAGAACTGTGGTTTGATGATATCAACGGCTGATTCTATGTTATTAAGTTTCTATCAGCAGCTTACTTTTCCACCTGTCAGATAGTGTCATTAATTCTGACATGAGGCTGACGAAACAACGTAAAGTGTCTCACAGAAATGCATAATTTTTATTCTTCATTCTCTGAAAAGACAGGAACATAATCAATATGAGTAAAAAAAATATTAAATATGCATAGAACAGTAGTCACTCCGTTTGATTTCACTACTGTATATGATGGTTAAGGACAGATGTTGCAAGAAAGTCTCTACTTTAAGTTGAAACCGCCAACCATCATCATAAAGGAGTGTAGGATATTGACTCATAGTAGATAAATTTACCCCTGAAACTGTTGGACTGACGTATATCAGATGTGTAACAAATATTGTGTTGTACAAGAAGTATTTTATTGGTCGAGATACTGATAAAACCGTGATCCATCGGTGTGCCAAAACGATGCTATGTAGTGTGATGCATACAACTTATTAATCTCCCAGAAACCCAATTTTACTAATGGTCAAGAAGGCTATCATATTAGCTGATTAATTCCCACCCTTTATCGCATCGTAAATTTCATGAAATTAAGCTATTACTTACGTCCCAGAGGTAAAATATGAAATAGTATAACTAGTTGATAAGAAATAACGAGTCCATAAGTAGCCAATAATTTCATACCAAAATATGTAAGACTGTCATTTTATTCCTAAAGTTTACTGATTGCGAAATATCGCACCATCTGTTTTGTACTGTCTTGGCTTACGGCATTTGGCTATCTGACTAGGAATAACTGCAAGTTGTTTGATGTCAATGATAAAATTACCCTCTGTTGGTTAAACGAATTGAAACGCACTCAGACACCTTGGACATATCTGTGCAGTAGGCAATAAGCAACACATGTTGTGTGAAGACTAGTGATACTACCTGGTTGCCCAAACCTCACTAGGTAGAGCGGGGCTCAAACCCGCTACTCAATGGTTGTAGGTCATCTCCCTAAACCACTGAGCCACTGCTGGTTAAAAATCATGACCAGTCTAACCAATACAGTGTTTTAAGAAGTTCAATTTCCTATATTTCACTAAAACGGTGGTCTTACAGGAATTTTGTAGTGTTAGGAGCATCAACTCAATAACCATTTAAAGCTTAGTAAATTTTTATTGTTTCAACAAAATCTCAATAAAACATAGGCACCAAGAAATGTGCTGTACCACATTAACCTGAAAACTTGATGAAGTAGTATTGAGATAAGGAATAATGGAATGACCATAAAAGTAGTCATGAGATAAATGCAACGACTCTTCACAGTTAACTTATTACTTTCGTAAAATGGAAGACACAGGAAAACTGCATCGTAACAGCCAGTAGTTTTGATTCGTTTATTGTATTGTGGACTGTTTCCAGTTTTCGAATTTATGAATGGGATTTACATTGATCCCATCATGGTTAACAACTTGGCACCAAAATTATTAGAGCGTTCATGATTGAGAATCCAATAATGTATTGTACAAATGTAATGTAATGTTTCTTGAGAAAGTTTTCTCTGTTATATGACCATCACTAAAATAAATTACCATTACAAGAAGGATTTGTCGAGTGTTTTGTGTAGAATTTTTACACCTCTTTTCTGCGGATTAATTTTCTTAAAGTAGAGTGAATTGAATAGATCCATACTTGAGAAAATTGTTACAGTGAATTTTGAATCGAAAATACTTAAGACATTTATAACCATGTAGTATAATTATTTATTCTGATCTATATGTTAATTTTTCATAGATGAGAAGTAAATTGTATGATGTATGTTTGTTTTTGTTGAATTTGCAGACCACTGAACTGAAACATACACTTCTTTATCTACCTCCTATCACGGATTCGCACAGAATTGCATTAAATTCTTCCCTAAAATCTTCTGTTGTTAACGTTATAGCTGATGGGAATGAAATTCAGCGACGTAAAAATTTTGCACATGATCTTATTATGTCCATTGAAGCCCGAATTCCAAGTAAGTTTTGAAAACTTAAGTAAACTAAACTTAACTATGTACTTCACTCAGACTGTCTTGTATCTATAGATGTATACCTTAAATTTGATTGTTATTGAATTGTTTCGTTGTTTGCTGCTCAAAATGCGGTAGTCAAATCCACTGTAGACTGAGAAATATCTCTTGTTGGGTTTAGCAGTTCGATTGGATGAAGTAAAATTATTTAGGGAAAAAGCTTAGCATGACAAAAGTAGAAGGTATCCCCAATTTATGAAGTCTATGAATATCGGTTTAAGATGTGAACGAAGCGTTGGGACGGAGTCAATGGCTAAGTGATTCGCCTGCAAACTACCCCTATCATAGAGATGTTTTTATTCCTTAAATTCTGTAAAATCATAGATAGTGTAATTAGAAGATGAAGTCTATCTCAACAATGTGAAGTATTCGCGGACTACTGGTATGCGGCATGTTGCTATGTAAACTTAATGTGGCGTATCTGACATTGATCATTATTTCGTTAAAATAGTCTGTTGAAATGGTAATTTTGAGCGTAATTTTAATTGGTCTCTTTATTTATTGTAATATTTTATATATTTATTTGAATGAAATAGCGGTCACCAGTGTCAATGGCGACACATAAAGCTTACATGAGAACATGCTGCTTACTGTCTGTATTTGCGTCATACATTTCGAGCAATCCGGTCACATATTTGCTTGTCAAGTCAATTTATATCGAACCGAAGGATGAGAGGACAAACATAACAATTAAGATAATAGGGGATTAAAATTCAGAAAGTTGTACACATAACGGTGGTTTCAATTTGTCTATGGCTTCCACCTTAGTGTGTACAAAAACAGTTGCTTTTTATACACCCCGCACCTACCTTGGTAAACTTTGTTTTATTACCTTTTTGTTCTCATCTTTCTGAATCTTAATCTTCTATCATCTTAATTTGAAGAAAGGAGTAAGACAAGACTGCCTACTATCACCGATGATCTTCCTGATTATGGTTGACCGGACTCAACTGGATCATGCAGAGAACCGTGAGGAGCGAGAAGAGTGGCATACGCTGGCTGGACCGATGAAAAGAACCTGGAAGATTTGGATTTCGCCGACGATGGCTTATGTCTAATGTCGCACAAACTCGAAGATCTACAGGCAAAAACCAACAAGTTGACAGAAGAGGCGGGGCAGGGCAGCGAAGACGGGACTTCAAGTGAATGTAGAGAAGACAGAGGTAGAGGTGATGAAGATATCCAACCAACAACAGCATCAACAACCTAAAGGAAGTTGTCTCTTTCACCTACCTGGGAAGCATCGTTTTAACTACAGGTGGCACAGACGAGGATGTCAAAACCAGGATCGAAAAAGCAAGATAGGCCTTCATTATTTTATCTGAAATCAGTATGGAGATCTACTGCACTGCACTCATCAAAAAGCGTGAGCAAGATCCAGATTTTCAACACCAACGTCAAGTCAGTGATTCTATATGGTTGAGAAACTTGGCGTATCACGAAAAGCATTTCCAACAGATTACAGACATTCATCAACAGCTGCCACCTACGCTGGCTCGATACTGAAACTGAAGACCAGATGGCCAGAATATTTGGAATGAGCAACAAGGAACTCTGGCTGACTGGATGGCGACGAACCAACCAAGAACCCATCGTCCAGCATATATACAGAAGAAAGTGGAGGTGGATTGGGCATACACTGAGACTATTCGGGGACATGACATGCCAGGCCCTCGAGTGGAATTCAAAGGAGAAACGACGAGTTGAGCGTCCTAGGGTGACATGGAGATCATGTGAGAAAGAAATGAAAGCATCTGAGCAGACGTGGAGTGAGGTTGGAAAGGCTGCAAAGAGGAGATTGAAATGGAGACATGCTGCTGAAGCCCTATGTTCCACTAGGAACCGATGCGACAAATAATAATAATAATCTTAATTGTTGTATTTGTCCTCTTATCCTTCAGTTCAATATAAATTGAAAGTAAATGTGTAATCAGATTGTTCGAAATGTACTGTCCAAATGAATCACATTATGCAGATAAACTTCGTCTTCTAATTACACTATCTAAATTCATAAAAGGGTTTAATTGTTTTAAATTTTTGGGGATATTTTATTGCTTCTTACTTGTTTCCTCCTCTACTCATTTTTGCTTGTTCATCTCAGTCTTTCTACTTTTGTTTATTTGGTTCGGTGTTGTTGTAAGGTGTGACTCTTTAAAGTGGTACACTTTTGTGCAAAGTTGTTGCACTGTGTCTGTTTACCAGCTGTTTGCCGCTGCCCAATAAAGTGACTAAGCGTCAAGAAGAGTCATGATCATCTTTTCAATTTTGCGGACTCTTCAGTAAAAAAAGCCTTACGAAAGTTTCAAAATGAATTAGATTAAGGATACAAGTGAAAATCAAATTCTAACTGATTAAAGTATGTTCCTGAATAAACTTGCTAGTGTGTAGAAAGGAGGATTTTAAGAATATGGTAAAATAAGTGATCAGAAACTTATTTTAGTTGACGCTTTTAAAGAAAGTCATCTGTTTTCCTCACTTGATAATTTTCTTATGTGATTTCCTTTGAATACCACCTTCCGTAGATATAAAAGTACGAGGAACTGGTAGTTTATGGTTTGATTTGGCTTTACCTGATAGTCATGTGTCATTGGATGTAATTTGCATAGATGATGTCAACAGGTTTGATTCACAGACAATAGAGCCAGTTGCTGATTTTGAGATTGCTGATCAATCTAGCCCACAGTCTGCATCCAATCAATGGACAGATGAAAATGAAGGGTTAAAAGTTAATTCAGTGGGTATTGGTTATGCTCTTTCACGCATTTTTGAATTATTACAATCTAATTCTTGTGAACCCTCAAGTATTGCACAACAACAGACAATAATATCAGAGGAAAATACTGTTGGCGTCAATTCTTCTGTTGATGATACAACAGCAAAACAATTATCAGATAAACCTAAATTCCCAAAATTCCATACGTGCGTTTATATTTTTACTGTTATCATTATCAATGTTATTTATTCACATAATGTCTAATTACCTTTATGTTTCTATGAGACTTTCAATTCACTTAGTGACAGAATATCTTGTTGGATATATATACAATAAAATATCGTTCAGTTTCACTGAATTTAGTCAGTATAATGTCGTTACTGAAAGCCTAATATGTAAATCGTAATTGGATTTATGAATGGCAAGTGTTTATTTTGTTTTCTTCTTCGCTTTTATACTTTTACCAGCTTCGAGTAGTGTTGTTGGCATCAAAGTGTTTTACATGAAATGGATTCTATTTCACTAAAATAGTCACTGTTTCTTACTGTTTGACTGCGTTTTCCTGTCAGTCAGTCAGTCAGTCGTTTCACATATGGAAATACTGCTGAGATCTAGACCAATTTAAGTAAAAATCAAATTAATTATAGACATTCTGTTAGAAGTGAAGAAATCGGTTCACTTCAACACCATCAAATAGTTCATAATTTGATTATGATAAATCCTTGTAAGGTGAAGTGATCTATTCAAAAGGTAGATGTTGACTGGTATATTTTCAGAAAAAGGAATCAGAGCGATAAAGCATCAATTCACCTCTGTGCCAAGTTTAGCCTACTGTAGGCCTGCGATATAAACTCAGCTGGGTGTTGGAAATCAATGGTTGGAACTATTCAGAATATAGCGGAAAATCTATTGCAATTCAGTAGATGCAATCATAGTTGTTTTCACCCTAAGTCTAGATCATATTTTTCCATCTCGTGTTAGTTAGCCATTCTATTGATTTTCTTTCTATGTGGAGTCAAGAAATGTATAGCCTAATTCGTTTTGGTGAGGTACCTAACTATTTTAGATGTGCTTTGGAATCAGTCAAACTATCCTCAGACTAGAGCAGATGTCCCGTAGGATCTGTGGACGCGCACCACTATTACTTTCAAAATTTCTTCCTCAGCTACCTTCCATGATTCGAGCGTTTGGGAAGCGTCGATCACGCACACAGCTCTGTCATCACTCAAGTTCCGTCAAATGATCATCATCTTTCAACAACTTTCCCTTATAATTCTTACTCATATATCTTGGTCAATATTCCTATGTCATCCTGAAATTATCTCAGCTCTGCAGTTTTTGGTAGTGATTTGAGTTCACAAGACAGCATGTCCTGAAACCGTGCTGTAAACTACATATGGGAGCTTTCAATGGTTAGCTAAGGTGAAGGAGATAAGTAGGTAACAGTCAACAGTTATCTGGACTAACCAAAGAAACTAGGGCAAAAGGTCATTGGTTGGCGAAACAGTAGTAGAGAAGGATTGGCATGCAGTTTACTTTCAGGGCAGATGACTGGAATGATGGTTGGGACAGTGCACCTGGCCTCCAACTACTATTTTATTTCTCGCTGTCCATTCAGACCTTAAGTGAAACGCTGAAATGGGTCTTTGAAGTTTTTCAGAAGTCGAGAAACCTGTAAGTCACCTGAAACAAGGAAGAACATCAAACCGCGGTGTTTAAGGACTGTGATTAAGGATTATTAGTTGAACTCACTAGATTGTTAGCTAGTATGTGGGATCAGATATAATCCACTCTGACTGGTCTCAGTTACTCATTGTCCCATTCTTTGTGAAAGAAGAGTTATCCTCTTTTGAAAACTACACGAGTATCAGTCTAATGAACATGGTATCTAATATCCTAGGCTAAAAATTATTATTCTGTGGCTCATTGTTGTAGGCAGTTGACTTTGATCCATTGGGTTATGGGTCATGGGTTCAAACCTTGCTCTACCTACCGAGGTTTGGATAGCCAGGTAGTATCATTAGTCCTCATAAAATAGGTTAGCCTTATTACTTGCTACATAAACGACCAAGTGGTTACTGAATGAATCTCCACCAGATCTTCACCTTCTACCAGTTTCTGAAACACAGGTGTAAGAATTATTCGTTTACGTTTGTTTCGCTTGAGTACACAACTCACTAACAATATTAGGTCTAACTGCATATTTCAGTTAGATTTCATTTCAATCGGAGTAAATTGAAAGGAATTTGAGCCGTACACTTCAGTTACCAGAAGTTAAGTATTGAAACCGTGAAACTGCTACTTCTTTGATACACATTGCTTTGTCAGTCGTATATTTGTAGTATACACACCAAAACAATGAACTACTCCTAACTGGGATACTACTCCAGTAATCACGCTATCAGTTAGGTTGGTAATCGATTTCAGTTTTCTTTCCATTCTTAAAATGTGCTGTATTGTTTTTAATTCAATTATATTCATGTCTAACCTACTGACCTTTAAAATTCATATGAATAAAGTTTATTTATTTTTGCGAAACAAACTACGTATTTGCAAAGTGCTGTTAAACTTTTTTTATACATATGATCATGATGAAGCATATTTATTTTTATTGTTCTGTTTTTCAACAGTGTCTTGAGAACAAGTACCGATTACTTCTACCTTTCTTTGACGGATGTACACGGTATTAATTATCGTATCAGCACAGGTCATCCTTATGGACACGATTTGGCTAAGCTGATTGACACTTATCTCAAACTGAACAAACAGGCTAGACAACTTGCTATTTTATTTCGGAAATTATCAAGGGTTCGTTTATTTTAATTTTTCAGTCATCTGTTGCATAATATCTCTAACTTTTGGCCAACTATTCGCCTTTCTTATTTCTTTCATTTATTGTTTTTGATGATTTCTGTATCTTACAAGGTTAGAAGTGTTTATCAACCGTTGAGAGTTTCTAGTTGATCTTCAAGAAACCCTAAACTTTTCTCAGTGGAATGCAGGTTTCGTCCCACATTAAGAATTCTTTGCACGTTGATTCCAGCTGAATAGTTTTACAAAAACGTATTTCCATCGAATATTATCATTCAGGTGTGGTTATTCTCCCGTATCAGAGTGACTAAAACCTATAGAGTGATTGGTACTACTATTTTTATTATATTCTACGATTTCCAGCAACTTATACCCCCCTGAATGAAGTTTATTTCGTTCGACTAGTCATGTAATGTGTGGAATAACTTTATATCTGGTTGTAGTTTCGGTTTGACTGGGTGATGCATATTTCGATTCTCTTGTTGACAAAGTGACGTTATCTGACCATTTATATACACTTGGAGTTAAGAGATAGGAAATAAACAATATCTTTTCAGTTTATTTTCGTTACCTTGGGTGGTCGGATTTCTTGTGAGCTCCGGAGATTGGTACAATCCAGCGGATATAAAATAAGGTTTTTGCTTAGGATGGTGTATTGCGTATCAACTTGTTTGTCTCCATTCTTTTTTGTGTGATGTCTCTCACTTCATTTTTCGTAGCTTTTTTTATATACGTCTGTGTTTTTGACTAATTTATATTTAAAGGAAAATAAAAGGTTTCAGATTACTGTATACTTCCAGTCCGTTAGATCACTCACTCTATCCTACTGTGTCATTGTGAAACACAGCCACTGAAAGCGTAAAACATGATAAGGCTTCAGGTGTTCAACTACCACTATCTTTGTACCATATGCCATGTGTCACAGCACCACCGCATCATTAACATAGAAGACAGTTGTAGAAGTCTAGGTAGAAGAGTGGAGTCAGTCGATGAAATTGTGAATCTTTATCAACTGAGGTAGCTGACATATGTGTTACGCCCGCCTAGTCACCGTCTGCCCCATTGTGCAACGTTAGTTAAAGTGAATTTAGACTAAAAGAAGGGATGAGGTGGTCAGCATAAAGCATTATATCAATTCATGAAGTCTCTGACTGTTACTGATGGTTTTTGGACTAACTTGGACTTCCTGGATGGGCTACATGTGGCAACTGAAATTGGGGGCTATGGATGGTATAGATCAGAATCGATTTCTGTGGTGCAGATTCATCCACACATTATCTTCGTCTTGATCGTCATACGGAATTTCATTACTGTTTCATTCCTTCAAGTCCTCTTTTTTTGACTTTCTACCATGATTGATTACTTCGCTCACTTCTCAGTTAGGTTAAAAGGTGAAATATATTTGTATTTCAAAGATGTTAGTTATACTCGCTTATAGTTTTCATTCATTGCAACTTAAATTATTTTTCATGGGAAATCTGGATTTCAGCTTTTTTGTATGAAGTAATACTTAACTTCGATTCTACATCATTTCTGTTCGATATCATATAAGAAGTCACTTTCAAGACACTTTCTCAACCAGTCAGGGATAACTGTCTGTTTTAACAACATCACTCATTTGTATATTTGAATAACTCTGTTGGTTTGTGATCTATTCTAACTCTTAGTTTTTGTTAGCCTTAAACGTGAAAAATATAAATAAACATGTATCCAACTGAAGGCTGTACTTTAAGGCAAGCTGTTTTTGTATGCTTCTATGAGTTATTGAACCTGAGACACTCTACGCTTGCGACACTGATAACAATTCATGTGATAATTCAGGAGTGAATTTAAAAACCATACTGGCAACTGCTGAGCTAACTAATTACTTTCCTCTATCCTATGAAATTCTGAAGCTTGATTAGTTATTTTAACAGGTACCATTGTGGCCCTTAGCTAGATCAAGAATATATGCAGGTACTGACTCTGGAGCACCTCAGCAATGCCAGTTGACTTGTTAGTATTTTGAGTGATTTAAGGCTTGTATTATTTACGCGTAAAGTTTTCAATTTGAGGGGTTATATGTAGTGACATGTGTCATGTTAACAATGTACATTAGTATGTGTAATATTAAGTTTGGTTACATATCTTGCGATCACATTTTCGAGCTTTGAGTTGCTTCCTTCTTTTATAGCAGTTATACTTCACACTGATTCCAGGTAATATAATATTGCATATGACATAAACGTTTTACATAGAATAAATTTGATATAAACTTTTCATAACATACGTAAACATGTGGTATTAAATTATACTTTGTTCAATAAAGTCTTAAATCCTGTAGAAATTCGGAATGGATTGAGACAATGAATTTTCACTTTCACTCTAGTAAAAAAGCTGATTAGTGTACATAAGTCAATAAAAGTATGACGGTAAATATGTTGTTTTGTAAGTAATTAATATAAAGGTAGCATTCATTACGGACTGAAATCAGTTGGGGAACCATTAGGAATCTGGGACTGTTCGACCGTACACACTCACGACCTGGCTAGGGATCGAACTCAGGACCTTCGGGTCTCATGGCGAACGCGTTAACCATCCAGCCACAGGATCGGTTCTCAGTGGTCCAACTTCTGTCAGTTCACGATATAGCGCGACTATCACCCAAGGTCTTCAGTTGGTATTCGCTTCACTTCAGACTGGTTGACCCTACAGGTCACGGCTTCTCATTAGAGCTTCATGATATCCATCTGGAGGCAAGTCACTAATGAGCACTATACAGTAATGTATTTTGAGATAAATGGGGATTTGTAATTTAGAGGTAGTATTCATCATGGACTCACATCAGTTGTGGAACCATTGGAAGTCTGGGAGCACTGGACAGCTGTTTCGTCCTAGTATGGGACTCCTTGCCAGTACGCATCCACGACCCGGCTAGGGATCGAACTCATAACCTTCAGGTTTCTTGGTGCTATATCATGAGTTGACAGGAGTTGGAAACTGTGGGCCACTAAAAACCGACCCAGTGGCTAAACTGTTAACGCTTTCGCCGTGACATCTGAAGGTCCTGGGTTCGATCCCTAGCCGGGTCGTGGGTGCGTACTGACAAGGAGTCCCATGCTGGGGCGAAACAACTCTTCAGTACTCCCAGATTTTCAATGGTTCCCCACCTGATGTGAGTCTGTGATGAATACTGCTGCTAAATTAAGAATCCCCATCCATCTCAAAAATAATTATTAGGAGGAATACTGGATACATTTTTTCGTTCCGTAGCTTCTTTGACAAGAACAAATCGATGTTGTTATAAATGTGATGGTAATACTTGCGTTTTAAAGACATATTGGTTATAAAATGACAGTGTAGCTACTCAACTAATAGTAATGTATTGATTAACGGGAGATGATGAATTATGCGGTTTTTATGGAGTTCTTTTGAACACTTGACAAACGGAAAGAATCTATTTCATGCTGGTTTTTTATAGCTTTGTTTTTCATACAGTGAATGAACTTCGCTATTCTTCCTTGTTAATTCTTAGTTGGGTCATCTAGATATGCCTGAAAATGGTACATTTGAAGAGCCAGTTATTCCTCTGTTGGTTATATTCTACTTTCAACGTTGTTATCCTCCACTACTTCCGAATTTGCACACTATATATCGCGAACACGTTAATGAAATTCCACAAGGTTCATATCATCAAGTAAGTAAAAATGATTGATCGAATCACTTGAATCGTAGCTTTTGTTTACACGTCTTTCCTTTCAATGTTTTTTAATTATTTTGTCCCCGTTACCTTCATTAATTGGAGTACTGTGATTAGATAACGGTTGTGTCTTTCAGTAGGTTTCTGTTGTATGGATGATGATACAGTATGACACTTCGACCTCTTCCGGTATCGTATGTCGAATGAGATAGTTTTGCGTAGTTTTCACGGTATAAGACTGTGCATTTTTATCAGTTTATTCCAGAATAGTCGAGTTTTGTTAAGTTGATGAAGTTTAATTATCATTTTTCAACATGATTAGTAGTAGTGGTAGCCAGTAAAACCTAATAGCTCTAGATATCAATTTCTTCCTAAATTTAACCAGTCAGTACAATTAACTTATGGGCCAACTGAGTCAGAAGCTAAAATAGTCACTTTGTAGCGACGTTGTAAAGACTGCCGTGTCAAGAATTGCTTGAAGCTTAGAAGAAGAAAAAGAATTGGCTGATTTTGAATAGTTGCTTGATTTTAAACCAGTGGAATATGGTTTTGAAACCTATGCGATCTATTAGTGACAGTGTCACCAATTCTGTAGTTCAACATGTGAACCTATACATGGTTACTTAGATGAGCACTGTTGTCGCATTTAACATAAAAGCCGAAATTCCATGGTTTTTTTTTTACATTAGTGATTGTTCAAACAATTTTAAGTTATTTATAAGCTCTATGCATTGCTTGCTAATTTTTCGTTTTAACATTTCTTACTTAGGTTTTACTGCCTGATGATGACTGTTCATTCGTTACGGACATTGAAGTAATTCGGAAGTTATGTCCTCATGAACCGTGTAAGACTATTTTATTATTGATAAAGTCTTTGTAATTCCTATCATTGTTCTAACTTTTGCATGAGTACAGAAGTAATTTGCTATGTCATTGTACAAAGCGTGATGTCATTTGTCTTACCATGGAAATATGGTAGATATCATGACATATGACTGTAGTTTTCACTAAAAGTGAATACTTAATCTTAAAAAAGTCCTTATTTCAATGTGTAAATTTTTTCTTTCGTTTATTTTTGTTAGGTACTTAAATCATTTTGACTATCTGCGATAGCTGTAGTTTGGTAGACTTGTATTGATACTGGGTGATGATTGAAGGTGGAATGAAAATTTCAATCACCACCCAGTATCAATACAAGTCTGCCAAACCACAACTATCTCAGATAGTCAAAACGGTAATCAGTATAATGCTCCGCCCTCTCCAATTCAGTTAGATTTAGATTGGCATGACAAGTCCTGACTGAGGAGCCGGTGTGAGTACGGTCAAGCGATAGTAACGAGTCATAAATTCATATGGTGGTGGTGATTGCAGTGAAATAAAAATCAGGTCAGCAGTCGGGCATCGTAGCTCAGTTGGTAGAGTACCGACCCGGAAACCTGGCGGTCCCTGGTTCGAGTCCCGCCGTGGTCCAAACTTAAGTAAAAGTTGTTCTGTAGCAATATTAAGATGTAGAGCTAGTCAATAGGAATTTGTCTTTGTTTTTTAGTAATCTTTATCACGATAACTGTCATAAAACTAAGTCAGTCAAAGCGTTATGCATACGACTATACTTACTTCATCTCATGCAGATACCTAATCTGTTCAGTCAAACATTCAACTTAGTGCGTAATACTACTCGAAGAATAATGTTATATTGAAAGAAACAAGAAGACAGGTACGAAGGAAGGGATGTTTATTGTCAACAAGTGGAACAGTAGTCGTTAAATATGATACACGTTGCACTAAAACTGTCATTTGCAAAATGTACTTCATTCCCTTTTTTGCTTCTTTCTTAACTTGCTCTTCACACGCCTACCCTGTCTCTTGGGTTTCTCTTGGCGAAGTTCTTACCCATTGCCGGTAATTCTATATGGTTTTTGCCACCCTCTCAACATATACTGCTTATATCCATCTTTATCAGCAACACCTACTGTAATATCAGTACTACCAAATTCCTTTAATTATAAAGTTAGCTTATCGATTTCTTTTTTATTTTTTGTGAACTATAGTTGAACTATTTTAATTTTTGGTATGCATTTTGAACCTTGCCTGAATGGTAATGGTTATAGCAATCAGATTTTTCACTGCTCAGAGGTGACTATTGTTATTCTTTTAAGAAAGAGCGAAAAACATTTCGTAGACCACTTTAGTGGCTATCAGTGTTTAACTATAGAACAAGTAAAGGGTGATAATATACAGTGGGGAATATTCGTAGCTCAGGTGGATGATTTTGGTTGTGCTGTGTTTTTTGAGCTGGGTGGTTTAATCGTCAAGTTTTCATTGTTTTTCTAGACAACACTATCGGCACTGACTTTATTACGAAGTTAGTGCTGCTGATGTTTTCTGGAAAGAAAATAAAGACTTGACGATTAAATCACCCTATTCAGAAAGCACATCACAACCAAGATGATAATATATCAATTGTTCTTTGGATTGACGACTTTATTTGTACTAGGTGATGATTGAAGGTGAAATGACAATTTGGACTGCGGTCGGATTCGAATTAGCGACTATTGAGGTCCCAGCTCGGTACTCGTAGCTCAATTGGTAGAGCACCAAGCCGAAAACCCGATGGTCGCTGGTCCGAATCCAACCGCGGTCCAAATTTTCATTTCATCTTCATTCATCACCCAGTATAAATACTAGTCTGCCAAACCACGGCTATCTCAGTCAAAAATGACTTTCTTTGTATCGAACTGAGAAGAAGATAATAGAATTATGTAAGCGAAGGGTATCTTGATGTTTGGAATCCTGTTTTGTTACATAATATTACACTAAGCTAACGTAGTGTAGGTATAAAGAAGATTTAAGTCAAGATTCCTCCCGAAAAGGTATGGTTGCCATATCCATACGTCTGATATATTTCTGAAACATACATATGTAATACGTTAAATTATTCTAATGAGAATACAATTATTGTTAATATGGCTCAGAATTAATTGCACTGGTTTCAATTGACTCAAATCACTTTGTTTGTTTACATTTAGCGAATCTTACTGTATATCTATCTCTCTCTTGTTTATTACTCTTGTATTACTATTTTTTATTCGATCCCACCGTCATCATTTTCACTTCCACTTTTTCATTTTGTTGACTTTTCTTTGTTGTTATGACAACTATTGTAAATTGGCGGTTGTGTTAGACTCTCTATTGTGTATGTTCATCAGTCAAACATTTTACCTCACCTATAACTTTGAACTTTGAACCACCTTCATTATGATCTTAGTGATGAAAAATATGCGTATGTTTCAGCTTGACCGTTGTACAACCAAATAGAAACATTTTTGTATTTTATGAATAGTATTTGTCATCAGTTAAGTGAATCTTGTTGCAGGTATCTTCTTGCTTAACTTTACTGTGATAGACTCTTTACCTATAAACAGTTTAGTTGATTCAAAGTTTCTTGATGGCATAGTGTTACTTAGTGGTACTTATTAGATTATTTAGGTAGTCATTCGTATTTTCGAAATGATACCTCATAGATGATTTGTATATGAGTGGAGTTCTGTGGTAAAAAAAATTATGAGTCGATTATGCCAACATGCTTACTTGCGAAGTTGTGAATTGACTACAGTTCACCTATATATATAAGTAGTTTGTTATATCGTTGGACTATTCAACTACTATTTAGAAATTGCATGTAAAGTTTAGTGTGTTTTTTTTTCTGTCAGATTGAACGGTGGTTTAAAGAACTGATTACTATTGTTATTCTTTATTTCTTACCGTTATATTATTTACTTGAGCTAATTAGAACTATCTGATGCGTCACTAAGGTCATCATTAGCAATTTTCCTTTTTTATGTTTTCTTCACTAAAGTTTTTACAGATTGTATTCTGATAATTTTAATTGTTTGTCCATTAACAACAATCAACTGTATTCAGTAAGAATAGTTGTGAAATTAAATATTGAGGAAAACTAATTTCCTGAAGAATGTTATCATGTGAATGTGTGTAGAATATTGATCGGTTTACATGCATCCCTTCGCTATAACTTCAGTGACTGGTTTATTACATATTTCTGTTACCAATATTTTAAACGGTTATACTTCTATTATTAGAATTTTCTTTTGTGTACAGATTTGTAGTCTATTATTATCTATCAGCCATGTTTCAATCTACAGTATATATATATATATATATATATATATATATATATATATATATATATATATATATATATATATTAGCCGAAAGTTCAGTCTTTTATATGCTTTTTTAAGGATCTTGACCAGTAAAAACGAAATAACGCAGTGTCAAATGAACCAATCAGTGTTTAGTATCTTAGACTGCGATTAAAACAAGTAACCTTGCATAAGGGGAAAAAGGCGTGGAATAAGGTTTAAATTTTACAGTGAAAATATATGTATATTTCAAGTTAGTTTTATAGAGTTCAGACATTCCTAGTAATACAGACTAATATATTTGTTATGTGAGTTGAGTTGTAATTTCTTTTTGATTTTACCCAAAAAATCTATGCATATACATATTCTTTTTATTATGTTCTTCAGTCACTGATCCATCTTCGTCTTGTCAATCGACTAGTTTAGCTGATTTGTGGCTTGGTTTACTTCGGTTTTATTTATTTGACTTCAAGTTGTCTGCATGTGTTATTAATATTGTGGAATCGAAACCAGTCGGAAAATCCTGTAGTGGAAAAGGTTATTTCACAGTAATTGGTAAGTTAATATATTGAATGTATATCTGATTTATTAATTTGGTGAAAATTTAAACTCAGTGTGTATTTGAGTTTTATAGGTGTGATTATTTTCCAAATAGTTATCACATTATTAACTTTACAAGGTGATGTTGGTGGACGAAATTGTGGAAAGTGGTTATTACTTACTATCTCTCTATTTTCTTTTATGTTTTTATCCTATCCTAAGCAATACTTCATGATCAAAGTATCACGTTCCCATTGGACGCTAAGATACATACATACGTTTACCGATATCTCTATCACATTATGATGAATAATTTTGTTTTTTTATCTTTCTATGTTTATTGCACTGAATAGTTTTCCCTTTTGGCTGAGGTTAAGTTTCCATATCACTGTTATTCCCAATATATTCAGTCAAGTATGAGAAATACATACATCATATTACTCAATGGTTGGCGGTATATAATCCATCAACATGTGGTGTGTAATGACTTCAAGTAGATATCGTTAGAATTCTGTGGTCATTCATAGCGAGTCCACTTTCCATATCAGACAGCTCTCATAGTAAGTAGCCGAGAAGTATCAGTCGTTGATCAGGTATAAAGATAAAATTCGTCTAATCTACTACTCATTATTTAGAATTTCGATCAGAACACCAAGTATCTTATATGTCTTCCTAACGTTTATGGAGTTTATGGAATCAGAAGCAAGGTAGTGTTAAGACTGAGCATGTCAGATGGTGTTGTGAATCTTTATTTATCATCTAAAGTTGTTTGAATAAATGTTTCGCAGACCTAGCCACTACGCTTTTTGTTGTTCCATTTCAACCGAAGTAGAATTGAGCCTGATGAAGACTGAAGACGATCAGACCAATATGTGATATCAATCTTTGATATCATTTTCATTAATTTGATGATCCTTGTATTTCTGTAAACTTCCTTTCTTATACTATTGAGAGATGTGACAACTTGGATTGAATATCTAACTTTAATATGTTTATATTATCTTAAAAGACATTCCTTCTGTAAGCCTTTTTGAATGTTAGACATTTATTCTTTCATTTGCTACTTTTTATTCATTTTTTATTTAGACCCTTTCAACAGCAAACGTAATCTTTGCTATAATGTAACTGCAGCCAGTTTAGATTACATTAATTCTCAGTTATTAGCTGCATATGGTTATTTTGGTGTACCACGACTATCACATAATGGTCGACATTTATTCACACGGATTGCAGTTGCCAGAGAAATATCTGTATCTCAAAGTAAAGAAGTTGAATCTGTAGATGTTAATGCTGAGTCAAAGCAAAATATCATCAAATCTAGTAGTAAAACTACAACTAATGAAAATACAAAAGTAGCAATTGTTCATTTGACGCCAATTATTGATGATTGTGATGATTTTGTCTCAAATTTAGACAAAGTAAGTTTTAATTCGATACACACTTGTGTATCCCCCCCCCTTCGATTTCTTGATTTTCGATTTTCGTGTAACATTAAAGTATGTCAACTTAAACTGATGGGTATTTTTTGTTGTATTCTGTTTGGCCATCTCAATCATAATGTCACCAGTTTGAGTTTCATCTTAAACAGTGAGTTGTCATTACCATTTATTTCTGTTTAGCAAACTTTTTGACAGAGAATATATATATATATATATATATATATATATATATATCACTTGTGTACTTCATGTTACTTAGTTTTTAGTATACTAGATTATTGTGTCATTCTTTTGTGGTAGGGATTAGTAAAGCTATCAGGTATTTGCCTAGCGATATCGAGCTGATTTTTTCCTACTACTGCTTTTCATAAAACAATGAGTGTGACATTTATAATATGCTCCACTTAATAAAAATATTTCAACACAATCGCTCTACATGTTAAGATCGAAGTGGTAAAAATAGTTTTTTGTTATATGATTTCAGGGTGATGCACTACACCGACTGACCAAATCGTCAGGGAAGTAGTCATTGTTTTCAGATTATAAATACATAGTTTGTATTCCTACACCACGTAAAGGAGTTAATCGGTATTGTTTCCAATAAAGTCAGTTCATGAGATGGGTCACTTAGTTATTCTACATTAAAAACATTGATTCTCATCAGATGATATAAAGTAGTTCAGGTTAGCGGGAGCGAAATACTTACATCAACAAATACTGTTGAAGTTTGTGATGACATAATTCAGTCGTCTCACATTTGAAAAGACATATGAGACTGTCAAAGTTAATACAAAACAAGTGCGGACTACAGTTAAATCCAATAATTTGATGCTGTGATGAAGTGTTCTTGTGTTCCCACATGCATATCTAATCAGTAGGTTGGTTTAAGCAATTTTATTATTATGTTGATTGTCACAATTTTGAATTTTTCTATTGTGCTTCTTTAGATAACAAATCTACTCACCGAAAAGTTCCATTCTCTTTCAAATGCTGAAAATGATAAAGATGCATTCCAGTCATTCGGAAGTGAAGAAATGGAAGTTCCATTGGACCATACACAGTCATTTAATGATAAGCTTCTTAAACCGAGAATGCTGTCACTTTCACAAATGCTTCCATATATTCTTCACTCTGTTCTAGATGAATTACTTGAATCAGATGATGTTCCTGGTTTGTTAACAGTTTTCTATATCGTTCGATTTTATGTGTAATCAACTACTTCGTTCCTCTTTTATTATTATTATTATTATTATTATTATTATTATTATTATTTGTGCCTTCGGTTCCAAATCGAACATAGGGCTTCAGTAGCACGTCTCCAATGTGCTCTGTTCCCTGAAATCTTTTGGACCTGGCTCCATGACAGCCCACAACCTCTCATTTCCTCCTCTCACCATCTTCTCCATGTCACCCTCACCTCGGACGTCCAACTCATCGCTTCCCATCTGGGTTCCACTCGAGTGACTGGCCTGACGCGTGATGTCCCCAGTCAGCCTTCTCAGTGTACGCCCAATCTATCTCCACCTCCTTCTGCATATTTGTTCAGCGATAGCCTCTTGGTTGGTTGGTTCGTTACCAGCCAGTCAGCCAGAGTTCCTTGTTGCTCATTCTTTCGGACCATCTGATCTTCAGTAGCGAGCGTAGCGGAGGTGGCAGTTGTTGATGAATGTCTGTAGTTTGTTGGGAATCCCTTTCGTAACGCTCCAAGTCTCTGAACCATACAGAAGCACTGACTTGACTGGCATTGGTGTTGAAAATCCGGATGTTGTTCACGCTTTATGCTGAGTGCAGAAGATCTCCACACATGATTTGTTCTTCCTGAAGCCAGCCTATTCCGGTTGTAATTTCGAATCCAGTCCACCTTTTAGTCTCTCCAGGATGATGCGGCACAATATTTTGCTTGGGGTGGACAGGAGCATGATTCCGCGCCAGTTCTTGCAAACACTTAGGTCTCCCTTCTTCCAATCTACAGGTGCCTTCCCTTCCTTCCAGACTTTATGCAATAGTGGTGTGAGCATGTCCGCTGTTGTCTCTGCGTCTGTTCTCAGTGCTTCTGGCGGGATTCCATCCGGTCCTGCTGCTTTCCCGCATTTCAGTAGCTTTGTGGCATTCAGGACGTCCACTTTCGTCGGAGGGCTTGTGTTCACTTGTAGTTCTGTGGCCAGGCTGCAGGTGGTATTTCTTGAAATGATGGAGAATATTTGTAGCTCAGGTGCATGGTCTTGGTTGTATTGTGTTCTCTGAGCTGGGTTGTTTAATCGTGAAGCTTTCATCGCCTTGCTAGACAACATCATCAGCACCAACTAACTTCAGTATGAAGTGAGCTGTCAATATCTCTCCGTGAGTGATTTAGTAGCTTGCTCTGACGATGTGGTCTGTGATTGGTTGTTTCCTTCGATTGTTGTGTCATTGATTGTATAGACTTTCCTGTTGGCTGTTCCTCTGCTTCACCTCTGACCTTTCTGTTGTTTATCACTTTTCTTATTGGTTGATAGATCGGGTCTATGTCTATACATCTATTGATTGCTGACTGATCTGAATGCCAAGCTTCTAGAAATTCTCTGAAATTCTTTGTGTTTCCTCTGTCCAAAATTTCTACATTGTCCAAATTGAATTCATCTCCATAATTATCCACATGCATTGAAATGAGTGACGAAATGTCGTGGCGTTTAATAGCCAATTGGTGCTCATGTAGACGAAGGCGAAGAGGGCGGCCGCTTCGACTACAGTTATTGCAGTTGATTTTGTAAATGATATTCGGTTTGTCTTCTTTGTTTGTTGCATCCTTTGGTCTGCATAATAGTGTTTGGAGGGAATTTGTTGGTTTATGAGCCACACCAATTCCAAGTGGTCTCAGCAATCTTGTTGTGATTTCTGATATATTCTTTATGTATGGTAGGACGATGTGCTTGTTGATTTCTGTCGATGACTTTGTAGTTGGTGATGTACGGGATAGGCATCTTCTGATAAAGTTTCGTGGGTAGCCGTTCTTCTTTAGGGTGGACATCAGGTGATTTTCTTCGTTTCTCCGTGAAGTTGTTGTGCTGCAGTGTGTTCTCGCTCTTTTGAATAGAGTCTGCACGCAACTGATTTTGTGTGTTGTTGCTATTGTAGTTGAGGATTTGGTCAGTGTGTGTTGGCTTCCTGTACACTTGGGTTTCCAGCTTTCCGGCATTTGTCCTGCTGAACAAAACATCCAGGAATGGTAGTTGGTTGTTTGACTCTTTCTCCATTGTCAGTTTGATGTCATTGAAAACGCTGTTGATCAAACTGTAAGTGTTTTCTATATCATTCTTTTTAATGATGACAAAAGTGTCGTCTACATAACGAATCCAAATTTTTGGTTTGATCACAGGTAGAATAATGGCTTCGAGTCTCTGCATCACTGCTTCTGCTATTAATCAGGATTTCGGTGATCCTATTGGAGTTCCTTTCATCTGTTTGTATATCTTGTCGTTGAATTGAAAGTATGTTGTCATGCAAAGGTCGATGAGTTCCATCAGACTTGAACATTTGAGTTTTGTGCGTTCTGAAAGGTTTTTGTCTTCATTGATCAGAGGAGATATCGTTTCCTTGGCCAATCGAGGTTCGATGGATGTGTATAGTGCTGTAACATCGAAGGATATCATTAATTCATCGTTTTCTACGTTAATATTTTTGATCTTTTCTAAGAATTCTGTTGGTGACTTGATGGAATGTCCACATGATTGAACGAGGTGTTTCAGTTTTCTCGAAAGTTCTCTTGATATGCTGTATGTTGGGGTTCCCGGAAGTGAAACTGTTGGTCGTAGAGGGATATCGGGTTTGTGTAGTTTTGGTCTGCCGTAGAATCGAGGAAGGATAGGTCCATTCGATTTCATACGCCATTTGTCTTGCTTTGTTATTTCTTCTGCTTTGAAGAGATTGTTTAAGGTTTTATTGATCTGGCTGTCGAACTTTTGGATAGGGTTGGTTTCAAGTGGTTGATGCACATTTTTGTCTTTGAGTAATTCCTCTGCTTCTTGATATAGTCTTCTTTGTCCATGACTACTGTAGTGTGTCCTTTGTCTGCTGGAAGTATAACGATACCTTTCCTATTTTTCAGTCTTTTTATTGTTTTCTGTTCTTGAGTGTTCATTTGAGTATGATGTCTCCTCTGCCTGGTTAGGGTTAGTGGTACGATTGTTTGCCGTATTTCTTGCTGAGTGACCTCATTTAATCCTGATGTTTTAAGTGAGGATTCTAATGCCGCAAAGAATTCTGGTTTCGAGGCATCTTTTGTGCTGTAATTCAATCCTTTTTGAAGGAGAAATTCTTCCATTTTCGTTAGTGGTTGTTTTGATAAGTTGATAACGCAGTCATTTGTTTCTTCGGTTGTAGGTGCTTCTGAGATTTTGAGTAGCTTTTTCCTGAGGACTTTTCTTCGTTGTTCTTTGTATCGTCTACTTGATTTTTCAATTTCAGTTGTCAATGTTGTCATGTGTTGTGTCATGAGTATGCTTTCTGGTTTTCTTTTTTGATTGTTAATCACTGATTGGTATTTCCGGATTCGGTGGTGTGCATCTGTGATCATTAATTGTACCATTTGCCTTCCACTTTGTTCAGCTATTTTCCATCCCATTGGGCAGTTGATCGGTGGTCTATATCTAACACTCCTCGGCAGAACATGCTGACGGAGGCACTCATGGAGAAAGAATAGTTGTTCTTTTGTGGAAGCTTGCCTTTTGGAGAAGTCTTCCCATCTTCGAACAACGTGAAGCGTGTCACGCTCGCATGATCAGAGGTGAAGCAGAGGAACAGCCAACAGGAAAGTCTATACAATCAATGACACAACAATCGAAGGAAACAACCAATCACAGACCACATCGTCAGAGCAAGCTACTAAATCACTCACGGAGAGATATTGACAGCTCACTTCATACTGAAGTTAGTTGGTGCTGATGATGTTGTCTAGCAAGGCGATGAAAGCTTCACGATTAAACAACCCAGCTCAGAGAACACAATACAACCAAGGTGGTATTTCTGGACGAAGTGCAGGTGGTCGTCGATTCAAGGGCTTTAAGAAGTGGTCAGCCCATTGTTTCCTATGTTTCTCTTCTTTGGTAATTAGGTTCCCTTCATCATCTTTTATTCGTTTCATTTGTGTTGATCTCTTCCCTTCCAGATAGTAACCCGGTTATTTGATATAATGTTTTCAGATCTCTGTCTCTCCTACTTGCAGCCTGTTCTGCTTCACTTGCCAGTGTGTCGTAGAAGTGTCTTCTGTCTTTGAGTGCACTCTCCAGTGTTTTATACATTGTACTCAGTTCATCTTCTCGTCGTTGAGCATCCATGCACTGGTTTATCCTCTGCTTCACCATCCTACTCTCCCTCCTCTACCAGCTTCCATGTGTCCGTCCAGATCCATTCCTTGCCTTCTTTCTTCTTCCTTCCTAATATGATTATGCAGGTTTCTTACCACATCTCTTTCAAAGACTTCTAGTGTTCATCCACACAGGTTTCTTCAGGGATGTTGCTCGATATCTCCCATTTTGTTGTGATGGCTGCCGTGAAGATTTCCTTTGTTGTTTCGTACTTCAGTTCAGTTTCTGTTCTGAGTGTTGTACTTGAACTGTGGTCTATCACCAGCTTCCTTGAAGACTTTCAACTTGATTTGGAAGGTAGGTTCCTTGCACTAGATATCGAGAGGTGTGAACCTACATCTGCTCCCCTTCTTGATCTTGTGTCAAGTAGGTTGCGTCTCCACTTTCTTCAGATTGAGATAAAGTCGATCTGATTTTTAGTGTGTCCATCTGGTGAAATCGAATCCATGTCACTTTGTGGATATCATTGTGCTTGAACACACTGCCTTGTCTCCAATCACCAAATCGTTGAATGCACAGAATTCTGCAAATAATTCTCCATTCTCGTTCATCACCTCACCGAGCGCTTCTCGACCCATGGTTAGTGCTCTTCCTGTGTTGTTCGCTCCCAGTTTGGCATTCATGTCGCTCATAAGAATTTTGATATCACCAAGTAAGGTCTTTTCCAGTGTTAATCGCAGTTGTCTGTAAAATTCCTCCTTTTTCTCTTGCTCTGCATTATTTGTAGGTGCGTAGTATTGGCATTGTATGATTGTGACCTTCCTTCCTTTTGAGTTGAACCTTGTTGTCATTATCCTGGAGGAGATTGGTTCCCACTGCATGAGAGCCTTCGATGCTGTTGGGGACATCATGATAGCCACTCCAAATCTCATTGTGCTCTTGGTTGTCGTCTGGGTGACAATATCGGAGTAGATTATTGATTCTCCAGTTGACAGTTTGGAGAGTTCACTTCCATCCGATCTGCTTTCGCAGATTTCTAGTACTTCAATGTGATACTTTCTCATCTCGTTTGCAATCTGGGCAGCCTTGTGTAGTTGATACATGGTGCGGACATTCCACGTCCGCACGTTTACTTTAGCTTTCTTCGAGAGAAGGCACATCGGCAAATTGGCTTCCCGAAGGCTTTCACCAACTGGCGTCATTTCTCCTCTCCGATTCCAGAGAGGAATAATTTTGTTTTTATTTTTTATATTTTGTTTGTGCTTTGAAGTTTGTTTTGCAGGCTAGGGTTGCTAGCCCTATGCCCAACCTTCCCTCTTTACCCGGGCTTAGGACCGGCTAGTAACTAGTGAACTAGTTAACCAGGCGAGGTTTCGTTCCTCTTTAGAAACAATCAAACTGTCTATTATTAGTATTGTCTCGTGTAACAGTGCAAATGTGCTTATCGGCAAGCAACATTGATAATCGGACTAAGGTTTCCTCTTTATTGACGTTTATCACTAGTTTGTATCAAATTCCCTCTTTTATAGATTAAAGAATTACGTCCCAGAATCTTTAACAAAACCCGAAGTTTCCTTGGAACAGCCGTGTAATTAGCCTAGGGCGAATTGTAGCACAGTATACTCATCCTCTAAGAGGTAGTCGTATATCTCACCAGCACCAGAGCTGACGCAGGTTGGCTAATTTCAGGCGAACCTTTTGTTTTCAGACTAACATTTCTTAACCAACCAACCCATCGTAGCGCATGCAGATTTTGAAGTAAAGTCTTTTACACACTCTATCACTTCACTTACTCCCTGTCTTTAAACTGAATGTTATCGCAGAGTGTTGGAGCATCATCTTACATTTGTTAGGTACGAAACGCACTCGAGACGTACATGTATTTCCACTCAAGGGATTCAGGAGACCCTGTATTTTATCAACGTCTTTGCCTAACGGGACAATGTTTGCGTACTGCAAGTTAGTTCAGGTGCCCTCAATTTCATGCTCTAATTCCTCGTTTTGGATTGGAAAAGAGCAAAAACAACACTTATCATAGGATAAAATGGATCTATTTTATTTTGGTCGTATCTTGTCAACTTCCTACAACCTATAACATCAAAATATATAGTATCACTTAAAATTTAACGTACTTCACTGAAAGAAAACGATATTGGTCAGCAGTTGGAACGCACAGAAGTGGTCATAGCATAGTGGTAAATCTCAACGATAAATTCAGATAAGGCTAATAGGTTGTGAGAGATTCTCTCAATTTTACGCATAATTCAAGTGGAGTTTCTGGAAGAAAGAAACGACAAAAATAGCAACTAAATTATTGAGGCACTTGACACCATAAGATTACGTAATTTCGTCATTCGACAAATAAGTGAGTGGAGAAAGCATGCAAAATATTGTGAGTTAAGCTCAATTGATTGTGAGCAGTCTGTCTGAATGCCTTCGATTTGTTAGATGATGAAAGTGAATAAGGATAAGAGAATGGATGTGTGAATGTGATGATGGATGATGTGATCAAATAACAGTCAAGAGCGAGTATGCAAGGTAATGAGAGTTTGATTGGAGCTTCTGTTTTGAACACGTGAATGATGTTTCAAAGGGTTTTGATGTAATGACGTGAGTGAACGTGAAGAGAATTGAGGTTGAAGGAACTGAAGACATGTGCCTATTGTGCAGTGTCAGTTAGATATCGATTAACTTCGCCGTTCAGAGGTGTTTCCAGTTAGGCTCCTCGGAATCTCTTCAAAAAATCTAAGGTACAACTTTCTTACTGTTCTCCCATTGTATCTACTTTGACTACTACACGCAAGTCGATATACGTGGTTTAAGGTAGCAATAGAAGGGTGCATACCGCTCGTCTCGGGTTTGAAACAGTCTTTTCAACTTCAAAGACAACTAAAAAACCGATATCGTGTCGTTCAGGTTTACACTGGATGGTAGGTAACTGAGGCGTCATTTGAATTGTTCTTCAAAATCTTTCGTTCAACTTTGTAGCTGCTTGTTATGAGAGGTTATCAGTGACAATCTCCTTGACCATTGTCTTCTACTTATCATAGCGCACCTAATTACGTCATGACGGTGACTGCTGTTAGTTTTACCACCATCGAATAGATCTTTATGATATGATAGGAGTTTAAGGGAGAAGCGTCCTAGTCAGCGTAGTTCCTTTGATCATTGTGATATGTATGCCTGATCACTATGTGAAGCCAGCAGCTATTGATTAGGGTTGTGGCTCTTCGTCAACTCTGACTGGAAAAGTCGATCTCAACAGCCCTAGGATGTTAGATGTCACCGAGGAAAGTTTATGCTGAATGCAACTACTGGCGTGATGTAATAGATCTTACTGCGGTAGCTAAGCCAATCATCAACTGATCTAAAATGAAGGTAGTAGTATCTTGTATTAAGCGGTTACTTTCGAAAGCCTTTTGCGAATGTAGTCAATGCTTACTGGTTTGCGTAGTCGTGAATTTAGTGGGAGTACATCAAGCAAAATTGTCTTGTCCTGTTGGTTTTTGTTATTGATCTATTCAGTCTAGAAGTAAGAACAACAGATCATTTGGCTCGACCAACATATCTCCTAAGATTTTTAATTTTATTTTCATTTTCATCTAATTGGAATTTGAAAACAATATCTTAGGTATTTCCGCTGGACTTATGACCTGAACAAGCTTGTGTTAATCATAATTTCTAAGCATGACTCCCGTGTAGTGAAGCAGTCTTACGAACAATGCGAAGATTGGAAGTACGGTTTTAAGCGAAGAAAACAGGTAGCTAGAGCATGTGTTGCACATTACATACCGTCATCTACGTCCAATGCTCAATGTAAATTGTTATTATGTCAAGCTATAAGTCTATGGTGCTAAAAAAAAGACATGATACCGACTCTTAGTCTCTTTTAGCCTTCTTCACATACTGCTAGGGCAGCAGCACTTTTTGTCCTTTCAAAGGAATCCAGATAACACCATATTTTTCTTCAAGTTTATTTGTTAAACATTTGCATAATCGTTGACATATTGTTTAATGATTCATTCAAGGACACTTGTATATCACCTGATGTCCTTAGGGCTGGATTACTCACATAGATTGATTGCTTTATGATAAGGTATTTCACATTCTTCGGTTGTAAATGATTACTATAAGGTTATGTAGGGTATTTTTAATACGGCATATTTTACGAATTCATTGTTTGACAGATGTATGTTTATTTGAGTCATTCCTACAAATTTATTCTTAAAAATTGACTTTGATATTTTCCCCCTTTGTAACAGGTGTTGTCAATAATTGTTTAGATTTACCTGAACACAAGTTCTTTGCTCCTTTATCAGCTACACATAACCTTACATTGAATGATTTTAATCGGATTACTCGTAATTTCGCTTATTGCTTTTGGTCATCGTATTTCAAAAGTTCAATTAGTAAAGGAAAATTTACTGTACAAAAACGACAAATTGTGAAATCCATTTCTTTCGTATTCAGAAAGGTAAATTTTTTATTTACTGATAAATTTCAATCACATTTATACATATTTAAACGTATACAACTTTCAGTTTTTGAGGTTTTTGGGAATTTATTGATTTTAGGTTGATATTCATCATGAACTGGCATCAGTTGGAGGAAAATTGGAAACCTGGGAACACTGGACAGTTATTTCGTCCTGGTGTGGAAATCCTAGTGGTGCACACCCATGACCCCACCAGGGATCGAACCTTGGCTTTCCGCGGTCAGCACGTTACCATTAAGCCACTGGGTCAGAATCCAACGGTCCGTATTCCCAACTTCTCTCAGTACACAATACAGCGCAACCGTCTGTCTTCAAATTCTACTTGGTTAGTCCCACTGGTCTCAAATTTGGAAAATTCACTAAAAGTACTTGATACTTTTGTCTAAAGTACTCAGCGAAAGGTTACTTTTTAAGTGGTGTCTAACAATCGCAATCCAACTAACAGATGCTATTCTTTGCCTTGTAGCACCACGTCACGGAGTTGGTGTTTCTTAGCATCTTCCAGTCAATATGTACACCTCAGTATGTCTAACATAAATTCTTTTTGTATGTGTGCATATTTGTTGTCAGGATACTCCCGTGTAACTATCTGTATCTCTTGCGGTTATCAGAGTATCTCCTAGAGTGAGTTGTAGATGCTTGATGGCTTAGAACAAGTTAATCTAATTTAAACTGACCGTGTATCCAATGTACTTGAACTATTCGCTAATACCTTTGGGATTAGATCTGTCTGCCAAATGATGTACCACTTTATCAAAAACGGTATATGAAGGCAGTAAACGACTCAATAGAAGTCAGTGAATATGCTTGAAATGTTTAATATAATAACGAGTGAATGCATCTATGTCATTGTAATCGATTTTAGTGACTAAACTGAAAGTTTACAACCACTCATATCATAAATCCTACCCCGAAAGCTTACACTTCCCTATGGCTTATGTCACCAATGAAAGACTTGGAGATGTGATTCTATGCAGCACATATATACGAATTACTCCAATCGATGCAAATCTTTAACTTCATATCATTGAGCCTCCTTAACATTTGATTTGATTTTAAGGATAGAAAATGCAAACTGTTTCTACTTTACCATCTGTCTATCAATTTGATATACTGACCTGTTACTGGCACTCAACTATTCTAGAGTGCTATTAATTTCATGAAATAGTGTTAATCATATGTTCTTCTCACCTATGAAATTTTATTCACGACTGTCATCTTCTATCCTTGCGTAATTCTCTGTTGTGGATATTAAATTTGGATTAGAGGTTAAATCAATCCATCTCAATTGTAAAAACGATGTGCTCGCTGGTTCAAATCCGGCCGTGGTCCAAATTTTCATTTCACCTTCAATCATCACTCAGTATCAATACTAGTCTGCCAAACCACGGCCATCTCAGATAGCCAAGATGATTAAACTACATATGTAGAAATGATTTTATGCAAACGAACATTTCTATTCATTAATAGTAGAAGCATTCTGGTTATTTTTTCCATTGCTTGCTCTAAAATCAGTACTCTCAAGCATGCTTCATTACATTGTACCCCGTTTTCTCTCATAACTAAAGATTATCAAGTGTGATTATTTTAATTCACGTATTCACATGCCATACAACTCATCTACGACGTGTCAGTGCGCTAGGCTATTAACTAGGTCCATCGTTTGGAGGGTATCCAAGCTGTAGTCGGTATGGTATAGCTTCATTTCATAATATAGTGTTTGAAGTTTAAACCTAAACTAATGAACCAGTTCCTTACCTACACACTCACTATTGATAAAACTAGTCTCTCTACTGCATCAAATTATTATGAATACCGAAATCTTTCTGTTTAGATTTATTAGGCAATCGTTAACTCCCCCTGTTTTATTTATTACAGGCTATCAAGCATTGGTTACCTACTTGTACGTCAACGGAATTTCTAGTAAAACAAAACGAAAAGGATGATGATGATAGTCTACGTGAACCACCTAGTACTACGTTACAAGTGAGTTTCTTGGTTATCTGTCTTCTTAAAAGAAAGGGAACTTCAAAAGACAAGTGCATGTTCAGTTGTTTAGACATCTTAACGCTATTCAGTCGACAAACAAAATAGTCTCAGATATTTCTCCGAAATGTCAACATGTGAATGACAGTATACTCCTCAAGGTGATATTCCCTACTTTCAAATATCTAGCTAGACGCAGCGTAGTTCTATTCAGCAAAATACAGTCTTCTTAACATATCACGCTTAGGGGTATTTGAGTTGCCTTTTGTTTGTTTGAGACGTATTTAACTAAATCCAGCTGAACACTAGAGTGTAAAGTAAGTGAACGTATTGATCTCTTCACTTGTCTGCTGAATTGTGTTATTTCTAAAGTCTTCACATGTATGAAAATAAATTTTTGACAGCATTGTACACATCACCTTAGTAAGATATGTAAGCGTTTTTTTGAGAGTTGAGTATACACAGCACTAAATATGGGTGAAGAATGTTACACACTTTATAGCTGTAAAATCCTATAATATTTAGAGATAAAGTAAATATAGATGCAAGCAACTTAGAGGTGGTTAAAACAAATAACGATATAAATTAAGATGGTCTTCGAGTTATAGTCTAAACCCTTATGTGGAGTACTGGAGATCAGGCTTCATCAGGCTACAATAATGTGGAATTGTAGAGTTTTGGAAACCTGACCATCTTAGATCATCCATTGATTCCTAAGCTTCTGATTAGTGATGTGCATCTTAGTTTTGTTAATAACCTTCTGTATTCAACCTATCTTTTTGAAGTTCGTCATTAGCGTTTTGCTTATATCGATTTCCTACCCCCTGTATCCTTTACAAAGTATTTGCAGTGGCAATGCTTTTTAGGTACTTTGATATCTAGATGTGATCGGTAAAAACAGCCTCACAGTCACCATCTTACACCTCATAACAGTGTGTAAAATAAACCTTCGAATGCTCGAATGACTAAGGGCCACCCTAGCAACTTCTGAGATAACTAATTATGGTTCTTTATTTTTTGAGAAACTTACTTCCCACTCAAAGTGATGAGACCTAGTTGATCATTTTGACCAAAATAACCAATCAGGTTTCTTTATTTTGGCTGGGAAGGCAGATTTTCATAAAATACAGTAGCCTGATTGGTTATTTCGGTTGTTGCTAAGGTGGACTTTGAAGTCACTCGTTAACTAGTGCCTTTGAAGACCAGCCTAACAACTATTGTAATGACTAACTAAGCCCCTTTTTTTGGACAAATGCCTTTTTAAATAAAATAAATAAATCGAATTGGCTTCTTCAAAACTCACTGGGGTGTACTTAAGTCACTCAGCTAACGTGTCGTATGTTTCCCGTTTCGTTGCCATGTTTGAACAATGCTTATCTTTAATTTTAAAGTCATATTCCCTCTGTTATTATGCATCTACATTACGTAGACGGTAGGCGATCTACCACAGGAAAAGAATATATGCACGACGATTAGCTTTTACTGTACAAATCACTTTTTTTAGCCATGACATTGAAATACTCGATAGCTAGGCTATTGATGTTAGTTTTAACATATGGTGCTCTATGTTGCCTCAAGTATATTATATATATATACTTACGAAGGTTGGACGAATAAGGTTGTACAGATTCTTCAACAGTCTCTTAAGCGTGCATATACGATGAAGCTGCACATGCATTGTGTAATGACTTCCGAAATTTCTTGTTTGTGTTTTTTTTTTCACAAACATATATTACAGAAAGCAGAGGGATCAACTGAAGAAAAGTCCAATAAGTCATCTACAAACTCTTCGTCAAAATTAGTTAGCGATACAAAAGATAATCATATCTCAGATTTCAAGGAAATTGATTTGTCCAACAAGGAGAAGACTGTGAATAGTATCGATATCGTAAATGATGATAAAACTGTTGAGGAAGAGGATTTATCTTTAAACATGGATAATTTTGATAGCCCGAATAGATTTTTGTTAACCGATGGAGATGCTGAAGAGCAGGAGGGAGAAATGAGTCAATTATTTGAAATTAATGATTCATATGATGCATTCATTCCACATGAAGAGGTTTTTCTACTTGATGATGTAGATAACCAGAATAATTTCATTGATGACAGCATGACTGAAGATTTAGAATGTTCACTTGAATTAGGCGATGATGACTTAAATGACAGTTCAGTAGATCCAACTGTTAATTCATCTTTTATTGAAAAAAATTCCAACACTATGGAATGCTTTCTTTCATCTGAACCTGGTAGTCATCATAAGAAAAGACAGGTAAATTCTTTTTCTATAATTATAAGTACACTGTGGTGGCTGTTTCTTTCTTTCTATAAAAAGCTGTTTCCAATATATTTTCCAGTTTAATTGTAACCAATATCCTTACAATCAAGGTGTTACTACAAATATTAGTACTAAACACTACTTAACCCGATCCCATTCATTGTCCATTTAATTAATATCATTTGTCTGAAAAAATATAAGTCAAGTATTTTTGTCGTCAGGACAACTGCAGTCAGTGATGAACAAGACCCTACTTCAGTTGGCGATGTCAAAATTCTTATGGGCGACATGAATGCCAAACTGGGAGCGGACAACACAGGAAGAGAACAAACTATGGGTCGAGAAGTGCTCGGTGAGGTGATGAACAAGAGTGGAGAATTGTTTACAGAATTCTGTGCATTCAACGATTTGGTGATTGGAGACAAGGCAGTGTGTTCAAGCACAATGATATCCACAAAGTGACATGGATTCGATTTCACCAGATGGACACACTAAAAATCAGATCGACTTTATCTCAATCTGAAGAAAGTGGAGACGCAACCTACTTGACACAAGATCAAGAAGGGGAGCAGATGTAGGTTCACACTTCTCGCTATCTAGTGCAAGGAACCTACCTTCCAAATCAAGTTGAAAGTCTTCAAGGAAGCTGGTGGTAGACCACAGTTCAAGTACAACACTCAGAACAGAAACTGAACTGAAGTACGAAACAACAAAGGAAATCTTCACGGCAGCCATCACAACAAAATGGGAGATATCGAGCAACATCCCTGAAGAAACCTGTGTGGATGAACACTAGAAGTCTTTGAAAGAGATGTGGTAAGAAACCTGCATAATCATATTAGGAAGGAAGAAGAAAGAAGGCAAGGAATGGATCTGGACGGACACATGGAAGCTGGTAGAGGAGGGAGAGTAGGATGGTGAAGCAGAGGATAAACCAGTGCATGGATGCTCAACGACGAGAAGATGAACTGAGTACAATGTATAAAACACTGGAGAGTGCACTCAAAGACAGAAGACACTTCTACGACACACTGGCAAGTGAAGCAGAACAGGCTGCAAGTAGGAGAGACAGAGATCTGAAAACATTATATCAAATAACCGGGTTACTATCTGGAAGGGAAGAGATCAACACAAATGAAACGAATAAAAGATGATGAAGGGAACCTAATTACCAAAGAAGAGAAACATAGGAAACAATGGGCTGACCACTTCTTAAAGCCCTTGAATCGACGACCACCTGCACTTCGTCCAGAAATACCACCTTGGTTGTATTGTGTTCTCTGAGCTGGGTTGTTTAATCGTGAAGCTTTCATCGCCTTGCTAGACAACATCATCAGCACCAACTAACTTCAGTATGAAGTGAGCTGTCAATATCTCTCCGTGAGTGATTTAGTAGCTTGCTCTGACGATGTGGTCTGTGATTGGTTGTTTCCTTCGATTGTTGTGTCATTGATTGTATAGACTTTCCTGTTGGCTGTTCCTCTGCTTCACCTCTGATCATGCGAGCGTGACACGCTTCACGTTGTTCGAAGATGGGAAGACTTCTCCAAAAGGCAAGCTTCCACAAAAGAACAACTATTCTTTCTCCATGAGTGCCTCCGTCAGCATGTTCTGCCGAGGAGTGTTAGATATAGACCACCGATCAACTGCCCAATGGGATGGAAAATAGCTGAACAAAGTGGAAGGCAAATGGTACAATTAATGATCACAGATGCACACCACCGAATCCGGAAATACCAATCAGTGATTAACAATCAAAAAAGAAAACCAGAAAGCATACTCATGACACAACACATGACAACATTGACAACTGAAATTGAAAAATCAAGTAGACGATACAAAGAACAACGAAGAAAAGTCCTCAGGAAAAAGCTACTCAAAATCTCAGAAGCACCTACAACCGAAGAAACAAATGACTGCGTTATCAACTTATCAAAACAACCACTAACGAAAATGGAAGAATTTCTCCTTCAAAAAGGATTGAATTACAGCACAAAAGATGCCTCGAAACCAGAATTCTTTGCGGCATTAGAATCCTCACTTAAAACATCAGGATTAAATGAGGTCGCTCAGCAAGAAATACGGCAAACAATCGTACCACTAACCCTAACCAGGCAGAGGAGACATCATACTCAAATGAACACTCAAGAACAGAAAACAATAAAAAGACTGAAAAATAGGAAAGGTATCGTTATACTTCCAGCAGACAAAGGACACACTACAGTAGTCATGGACAAAGAAGACTATATCAAGAAGCAGAGGAATTACTCAAAGACAAAAATGTGCATCAACCACTTGAAACCAACCCTATCCAAAAGTTCGACAGCCAGATCAATAAAACCTTAAACAATCTCTTCAAAGCAGAAGAAATAACAAAGCAAGACAAATGGCGTATGAAATCGAATGGACCTATCCTTCCTCGATTCTACGGCAGACCAAAACTACACAAACCCGATATCCCTCTACGACCAACAGTTTCACTTCCGGGAACCCCAACATACAGCATATCAAGAGAACTTTCGAGAAAACTGAAACACCTCGTTCAATCATGTGGACATTCCATCAAGTCACCAACAGAATTCTTAGAAAAGATCAAAAATATTAACGTAGAAAACGATGAATTAAAGATATCCTTCGATGTTACAGCACTATACACATCCATCGAACCTCGATTGGCCAAGGAAACGATATCTCCTCTGATCAATGAAGACAAAAACCTTTCAGAACGCACAAAACTCAAATGTTCAAGTCTGATGGAACTCATCGACCTTTGCATGACAACATACTTTCAATTCAACGACAAGATATACAAACAGATGAAAGGAACTCCAATAGGATCACCGAAATCCTGATTAATAGCAGAAGCAGTGATGCAGAGACTCGAAGCCATTATTCTACCTGTGATCAAACCAAAAATTTGGATTCGTTATGTAGACGACACTTTTGTCATCATTAAAAAGAATGATATAGAAAACACTTACAGTTTGATCAACAGCGTTTTCAATGACATCAAACTGACAATGGAGAAAGAGTCAAACAACCAACTACCATTCCTGGATGTTTTGTTCAGCAGGACAAATGCCGGAAAGCTGGAAACCCAAGTGTACAGGAAGCCAACACACACTGACCAAATCCTCAACTACAATAGCAACAACACACAAAATCAGTTGCGTGCAGACTCTATTCAAAAGAGCGAGAACACACTGCAGCACAACAACTTCACGGAGAAACGAAGAAAATCACCTGATGTCCACCCTAAAGAAGAACGGCTACCCACGAAACTTTATCAGAAGATGCCTATCCCGTACATCACCAACTACAAAGTCATCGACAGAAATCAACAAGCACATCGTCCTACCATACATAAAGAATATATCAGAAATCACAACAAGATTGCTGAGACCACTTGGAATTGGTGTGGCTCATAAACCAACAAATTCCCTCCAAACACTATTATGCAGACCAAAGGATGCAACAAACAAAGAAGACAAACCGAATATCATTTACAAAATCAACTGCAATAACTGTAGTCGAAGCGGCCGCCCTCTTCGCCTTCGTCTACATGAGCACCAATTGGCTATTAAACGCCACGACATTTCGTCACTCATTTCAATGCATGTGGATAATTATGGAGATGAATTCAATTTGGACAATGTAGAAATTTTGGACAGAGGAAACACAAAGAATTTCAGAGAATTTCTAGAAGCTTGGCATTCAGATCAGTCAGCAATCAATAGATGTATAGACATAGACCCGATCTATCAACCAATAAGAAAAGTGATAAACAACAGAAAGGTCAGAGGTGAAGCAGAGGAACAGCCAACAGGAAAGTCTATACAATCAATGACACAACAATCGAAGGAAACAACCAATCACAGACCACATCGTCAGAGCAAGCTACTAAATCACTCACGGAGAGATATTGACAGCTCACTTCATACTGAAGTTAGTTGGTGCTGATGATGTTGTCTAGCAAGGCGATGAAAGCTTCACGATTAAACAACCCAGCTCAGAGAACACAATACAACCAAGACCATGCACCTGAGCTACAAATATTCTCCATCATTTCAAGAAATACCACCTGCAGCCTGGCCACAGAACTACAAGTGAACACAAGCCCTCCGACGAAAGTGGACGTCCTGAATGCCACAAAGCTACTGAAATGCGGGAAAGCAGCAGGACCGGATGGAATCCCGCCAGAAGCACTGAGAACAGACGCAGAGACAACAGCGGACATGCTCACACCACTATTGCATAAAGTCTGGAAGGAAGGGAAGGCACCTGTAGATTGGAAGAAGGGAGACCTAAGTGTTTGCAAGAACTGGCGCGGAATCATGCTCCTGTCCACCCCAAGCAAAATATTGTGCCGCATCATCCTGGAGAGACTAAAAGGTGGACTGGATTCGAAATTACAACCGGAATAGGCTGGCTTCAGGAAGAACAAATCATGTGTGGACCAAATTGAAACGCTACACATTATCATAGAACAGAGTATAGAATGGCAGTCAACTCTACACCTCAACTTCATCGACTTTGAGAAGGCCTTCGACAGCGTCGACCGAGAAGTAATCTAGCAGGCAGCTGCTTCAACACTACGGAATACCACAACCCTTTATATAAATCTCATCCAACAACTATATGAAGACGCCACATGCCAGCCAAGTAATTCACAATGGGAAGCTCAGTGATGCTTTTGAAGTGAAGACAGGAGTAAGACAAGGCTGCCTACTATCACCCATGATATTCCTGATTGTGGTCGACTAGACTGGATCATGCAATAAACAGTGGGGAGCGAGAAGAGGGGGACACAATGGCTGGACCGGGAAAAAGATCCTAGAAGATTTGGATTTCGCCAATGATGACTTGTGTCTAATGTCTTGTGGCACACACTTGAAGATCTACAGGCGAAAACTAACAAGTTGACAGAAGAGGTGAGGCAGAGAAGGGAGACGGGACTTCAAGTGGACGTGGAGAAGATAGAGGTGATGAAGATACCCAACTAACAGCATCAACAACAACAACAACAACAAACTCCAATCATCATCAACGGGGGAAACTTAAAGGAAGTAGTCTCCTTCACCTATCTAAGAAGCACTGTTTCAACTACAGACGACACAGGCACAGACGAGGACGTCAACGCCAGCCAGGATCGGAAAGACAGCAAGACAGGCGTTCATTAGTCTGAAACCAGTGTGGAGATCTTCTGCACTCAGCATAAAGCGTGAACAACATCCGGATTTTCAACACCAATGCCAGTCAAGTCAGTGCTTCTGTATGGTTCAGAGACTTGGCGCCTTACGAAAGGGATTTCCAACAAACTACAGACATTCATCAACAACTGCCGCCTACGCTCGCTACTGAAGATCAGATGGCCTGAAAGAATGAGCAACAAGGAACTCTGGCTGACTGGCTGGTAACGAACCAACCAACCAAGAGGCTATCGCTGAACAAATATGCAGAAGGAGGTGGAGATAGATTGGGCGTACACTGAGAAGGCTGACTGGGGACATCACGCGTCAGGCCAGTCACTCGAGTGGAACCCAGATGGGAAGCGATGAGTTGGACGTCCGAGGTGAGGGTGACATGGAGAAGATGGTGAGAGGAGGAAATGAGAGGTTGTGGGCTGTCGTGGAGCCAGATGCAAAAGATTTCAGGGAACAGAGCGCATTGGAGACGTGCTACTGAAGCCCTATGTTCCATTAGGAACCAAAGGGACAAATAATAATAAAAATAATTTTTGTCGCCATAGAATTTTACCAGTTTAACTATGTGAGATGGTCGCAGTTTGACAGGCTTGTAATGATACTGGGTGATGATTGAATGTGAAGTTGAGATCTTGGCCGAGGCGGGGTTTTAACCAGCGACCTCCGGGTTTCTAGCAGGATGCTCTACCAAATGGACTGCTAGACCTGACTGTTAACCAGATAGTAAGGTAAGAACTCCTGACTAGATAGCCAGTGTAAGTACGGTCAAGCGATAATAATGCGTTAAAAATTCTGATGGTAATCAGGCAAAACCTTTGGTAATTGAAATGAAATAAAAATCTGGTCAGTAGTCAGGTCCTGTAGGTCAACTGGTGGAGAAGTGAACCGGAAATCCGATGTTCACTGGTTTGTATCTTTCTGTTGCCCAAATTGTCATTTTATCTTCAACCAACAACCAGTATAAAGTTTTACATAGAATTTACTTTCTTACTTATTTTACTTTCAATCAGAGTATTTTGTTAATTTAGTCCTTTATCTAACCTCTGAAGATAAATATGAATTTCACCAAAGTTTGCTTACATCTATGCGTTTATTGATGTGTTAATACATTGTGTTTCGTTGAAAGATATTAGTTTAGTCTCATTCATCCATTCACATAAATGCTGATATTTTAAAATCGGCTTGATTAAGCTTTTCGTTTCAAGAAATTTGTATCTTATAGATGAATGTTTTATCTAAAAATAACACAACAAAAGCGTTTTAAAAACTATCGTGGATCGATGGTGGTCTGTGAATATTGTCATTTACAACGTATACGTCTACAAGTAAACTATCGGTATAACAGTCAATCACTTATAAGTATAAAGGCCTTCACTCTAGAAATAAAATACTTCGAGTAACAGTTCTTTTGACAAGTTGTCAACTAAAATTTTGAACACTTGACCGAGATCTTATTTTAGTTGACCGACCTTGAGTGAGACTGTGGTTATTAGATTGTTATGCAATATTGCAGTGACAATATTTCGTGAACTTTTTCACAAGTCTTCATGGCGAAATCGCTAACCTAAGGTGTAGGGTTGACTAACTTCCTGATTATCATCATCATCTACATATAAACATAAGATATATCATCCTGTTGTACCAATTTTAGGAACTGATTAGTGCAGTTGTTCATAAAAAATGTCTTTCTCAGAAACATTGTTCGGTTAATCTGAGGTTCGGAAAATTATTGGTTAACATTTCTGAAAAGTATGTAGCAAGCTTTTAAAAAAGTCGAATGTTAGCCCACTTAGATTTAATCCTGTTGTTTAGGTTGGCAATACAATTCATTTCTTTACTGTATATATTGAACAGTGAAATTCTTCAAGTTTTTGTGTATATGTAAACTTTTATATTCTAACTCATGTGAACTTGTCTCTCCTTTACTTTATAGTCTGACAGTGTTAATCAGACGTCAGATTCCATTTCAGTCATCGGTTCTACACCGAATAAATCAGTTATTGCATCAGAAACTATTGTGGGATGTAATGTTGCAGGCGTACCTCCACCTAGTAAATTGTCTAGGAGAGCACAGAAGGCTTCTAAACAAAATTCTGCGAATAATAATAAAACTGTAACTATTAAAGGTAATACAGGTGTAACGAAGTCGAATTCTCCGAAAGCTAAAAGAGGTAAAAGAAATAAAGTGCTTCAGTGGAATGATGTAATTCTGTCACGTCATACAATCAGTCCTGTGAGTTTGTTTTGATGAAAACTGTTTCCCCTAGATGTTTATGTGCGCTACTAAATTATTATTATTACCATTATTATTATTATTGTATTACGGAATTGCATTTTAATCAAAAGCACAAATGTTCTAATTACTTATTCACTGAAAAATACCAGTATATTCGATTTATTATTGTCTGAATTCGGATGAAAAGGTGGGTTTACCAGATTTCGACGTTTATTACAAATGTTTTAAATATCGGCGAATGGTGAATATCTCATCGGTAACGTTACTTTGTTCTTTAGCTTGTGCATCGACGCATGTATTTTAACTTTTTATCTCTCCGTAAACGTAACAGTAAAATTGGGTGCTGTGCTACAGCATAATTCCATATTAACACAGTGACACAGTACTGTAGTGTATCACTAGGTTGTTCCGAAAAATTTAATTTAATATAGGACTTATTTTTCCATTCGTATGACTCATAATTTCGCATTAGGGCTTCCAAAAATATACCCCTGTATTTCGAATCATCTATATACCAGGGATTATATTCCACTCTAGATTATTTTCTACTCATACCAAGATGATTTTGTCAGTATATATTGACGAAAAGCTTTAAACTCGAGCAAAGCAGCAATTCAATGCTTCCTCATTTGCAATAGTAATATTGCTTTCTTCAAACTGCGACAATAATTATTTGTGAATCCCTTAAATTATCTATAATTATGCTTATTCAGTGATAACTTAATGATTCATTGATTGTTTCGCTTTTTTTTTCTTATATTTTTTTTGACAACCTTTAGCCTGTTGATGATGATCGTCCCGATTACTATAACTCTAAACTTTTGAAAGATTTGAAACCAGAAGATTTAGATTTTACATTTTCTGCACGGAGTGTTGTTTCTCCTAGAGGTCGTCATACTCAATCGTCAGTTTTAGGCTTAGCTGCACGAAATCAACCATCCACTCTGTTAGCTCATTTTGATGCACCCCAACCACAATGTCAAGCATGCGGAGTAACTGGTCATCGTTGGACTCAATGTCAAAGTACAAATGAGAAGTCAGTATCATTTTTAGCCTGGCGTAAGCTATTAAACAAAACTCCGTGGCCTCCGACTTCAAGACAGTTAAAAGAATTAAGTGATTGTCTAGAACTTTTGGAAAAGCATCATGAAGCGGATGAGAGAAATTATGCTCGTAAAGTAAAGTTGTTTTTTTTAATAAAGCTGTCTCTCCCGTTTACCAATATTTTTCCATTGACTTACTACCCATACAAATATATATCCAGTGTTTCATCTAGATAGAATAGATACATAGTAGTTTGTATTCACTGGTTTAGACAGTCAATTGGTAAATGTATTCAGTCATAACTTTAATTACTAATTCACATACCTTTATAGTCTGTAAAATCCTTTGTCACCATTAGTTCCTGCACACTCTTAAGCATTATTCACAGTTTAGTCATTGAGTAGCATATCGGTTCGTATGATATAAATATCTCGGTTACGTAATATAATTCTGTTGTCACCTAACATCACAAAATAAATTGTTGAACTGTACGGGTACACTGTACGTTGTTCCAATGGATTGTTAGACTACATGGATCTGAGAAAAGATTTCCTGCAGAAAGTTGTTCGGTCATGTAAAATATAGAGTATAGTTATAAAAATACTATATATTTCAGGGGTTATAAAGTTATACAATCCACTGCTTCGGTCTTACAATTCATCCATCTATCCATCCAAATCAACATAGGACTTGGTATTACTACGCAATGGTCTGAGTTGCCACAGCTCATATCAGTACATCAAGTAAAAAGGCAGTGAAGTGAAAGATGAAGAAAAGAAAATTCAGTCAAAAGAAATATTAAGTACGAAAAGAGAGAAAGGAAGAATGAGAAAATGGTGAGATTCGGTATAGTGTTAAGATGAGGAAAATATGTGTATACATCTGAGCCATGTCACCTAGAGTCTCCAACCACGGGTTTCTCTTGTCCGGCGGACCCGAACCTGCTAGTCTGCATCACCCCATATGGCTGAAACCAACAGTCAAAGACTTCATACATCGGTGCCATGTTTTGGTCTGGCCACCTCGGGCCGTTTTCCAGCCTAAACCTACCTTGGCTAACATTGTATGACGAGCTACACGTGTCCCAAGCATCTCAGTCGGTTGGTGAAGGTTCACAACAGTATCAACTGACTTACCTCTTCTCCTTAAAACTCTACGTCTAACTTCTGCGTCTTACAATAGCTTGCATAAAATTAATTGATATGTTAAAAATATTTATCATACTATGAAATTCTGGTTCTCAATAGCTAGAGTCATGCATCAGATAATCTACCGACAAGTTTACCGTTCACTGACACTCATTAACAGTGTGTTCCTACTATATATGGAATGTTTCTACACCTCATGGGAACACAGTACAGTGACACCAGTAACTCTGAGCTGTCTGCTATTTAGCATTGTTGTGCGTTATGAACACCTGTATACTTGAGTTCATAGATTTGTGAGTTTTAGATCAACCTTAAAAGTGATAGTTGAGACAAAATTAAAAAATTACTCAAAAACTTTATGTGAGTGCTACCACTTTGCTTAAAAAAAATCTTCATTATAAGTTTTTATTTTTCATAACTGGACCTGGTTAGATATAACATACTGGCAGATTTTTCGAATAACAGTCTTCATTTAACTATCACTCATTACTTTATTATAACCTTTTTCTTTAAATACTTATCAGGAACTTGTTCAAAACATTCAGAAAGTCTTTTCAGCTCGTTTTCCTTCTGTAAAAATTGAATTGTTTGGTTCTTGTGCAAATGGATTTGATTTACATTCAAGTGACTTAGATGTTTGTGTATTTTTCCCACCCGGATCACCTGAATGGAATGCTTTGAAAAAAGAAAGTACAGCAATTAATGTACGTTTTATTTCGATAAAAATTAATCAAGTTATATTCTCATTTCATTCAATTAATTCCTAAATAATCTAACCCTTTAGATTTAATTTTGAAAGAATTGTTGAATTGCTGGTATCTGTTGCATTACAATGGAAGCTGACGGGTAGGCACATTCGGTGATTTAATTCAGAACCAATCTATTTGGCTCAGATGTGTTCATTTCTTATTTTCATCTCAATCTTTATCTCACATTTCATAATTTTGTTGTAACTCTTCTTCCTACAGCTTTCTACGGCTTTCTTTGTATCTTGACGTGTTGTGAAGTGCGATAACTGAAGTCGCTACACAGCGATCTGAAGTATCGTTTTAGTATTGTTTGTAACTTTTAGTATCACTAAAAATTCTCTGCACAAGTCAACTGTTTTCATGTATTGGATTGCTGTTTGCTCAGTTAAATAACTGTCGAATATGGAAATTGTAATACACAGTGGTATTGAATAGGATTACTTTCAATCAGAGAAGAAGCCTATTGAGACATTCAAAGCGGGGAATTGTTTCATGCATTTACTGTAGCTGTGGATTGCCTTCGCAGATTTCGGTAGCATAGAAAGCCGATCAGTATGGTATATTTGTTTTTATTGTATGTTAGTGAGATCGAGTGAGTAGATTAACTTGTAAACAATTATAAATTGGAATTATGCAGCATAAAACAGGCCAAATTTAAGGCGAATACATTTTCAAAATAGAATGAAAGTTATGGATTGTAAGGAAATTCATTGTTTCTTTCAAATTTGTAAATATCAAGGTGACATACACATGTTAAGAATGTAGCGGTAAAAGAAAAGACAACAAATAAGGAAGTTAATAGTGGTCTTTGGTTTATTGAAGGCCAAGTACGGACTAACACCTGGACGTGTTCTTTGTGAACGTAGAGTTCAGGTTTGATCAATCTTATTACGACAGACTCAGCAATGTTGACCAGTCATTGGCAAGCTACACATAGGATTGTCTTTGATACACGACGTATCACATCAATAGCTGTATTAGCATCCATGTAACACCTTGCGTTTACTAGGTGTGCTAGGACAGAACTTTTCACTACTTTGACTTCATCTTTTTCAAATCAAGCTGGTAAATGTTCTCATATCCAGAGACGCATCTGTCTAACCGTATGCTCATTGTAATTTTTGACACAGTACCTAAAGTGTATGTTATCCCCATGCTTTATTTGTGTTTCCCGATGTGTATTTTGCTGGGCGTTGAAATTTCTCTTAAGGATGACAAAAATGCTGATATTAAATAGAAAATGAAGGGGGGAAAACGATAGATCGAGAAGTGTTTTTTATGATTGTAATGTGCGTTTGGAACTATGTGGTAATGAATGAAACTGATTTATGTACAGAACTAACCAGTTATATAAGCTGAACTATTCCCGAAACCATCGAGCTTTTAGTCTGTTCTCTTATTGCTTTTATTCAGACTAACATCAACGGGTGTCATCATGAACAATCTGATGCTACAGTTGAGATATTTTATTAGCACCACTAAGGTTGAGCTATGCATTTGGTCTTCCAAATACCTAATTTTGCCCATTCCCTGTTTTACTTTTATACCATTTACTTGCCAGTCATGTACACTCTTTTTGTTATCATCGTAGACATGTCTCTAGAACTTTTTTCCGAATATGAAAGGTTAGATAAAATAATATTTACTGGTTTTACATAAATAAAAGCCTTCCTTTTGTTTTTCTAGCTAATAAACCTATTTCCTAATATCTGTGTACATCTCCTACTTAGATTCTTTCTACTTCGTGGTCGATCACTCAATCTTAGATTAGGTAATATCAATTTCTGTTTTCGTGTATCTTCTCTGTGTTATGAGGATTCTGATATGATGAATATTCACAGTTAAACCTTCCTGGCTATTAGATGAGGCGTATACGAACTGGGAAGCAAAGAATATATGAGTTATAAATGTTGAAAAAATCTCTCGTTTTAACAATGTAACATTGATAGAAAATTCAACAGTATAGTAGTGTAGTTGTTGGTTCGGAATGCTTATGATCGTGAAGTCAAAAAAATGGATAATCCAATAATGAATAAGAAGTAACTCATGAGCAGCAAGAAATAACTGTGAAATAAACTCTACGAAAAATATAAAGATTCCGGTTTAAACTGATAGTCGCCTAATGTTTGCAATACTGTTAGTCAGTCAATAAATTCCTTAACTACTTAAAAATTAATATACAGGCATTATTCTGGATTACATGATAAGATAATCTACCGTCCATTACTTAGCAAAAGTGGTCACCCGTTAGAAATTATCAAATTATGATCTAGAATTACTGAGTGATTATACAGTTCCTTGTGAGTATGATGTTTTCCTCTCTGCCGTTTGTTTTCACAAATCGGCATTTTTTTTACAAGGTAATAATAAATTGGTTTGGCATTTTGAGTATCAATTCCATAGTATAAATGTCCAATTTTCAAATATAGGACTGATTCCATTTCACCAACCCTCATCTAGGTCACCTCAGAGAATATGTTAGGTTTTCAAGCATCGTACATCGAGGCATCCGCACAGAAGCCCACATGCCAACAAAGAATGATCAATTCGGTCCAATCAACGACGGTGTCATACAAACAATGACGCTAAATCGTACATTAAGTTGAGCAGAGATTCTAAATACTACAGAAGTGTGAACTGTATACTATTGAAGTTGTTTTTCCGAATATTTTCCCACTCAATCGAGCTTTTAGAATACCCCGTTAAAAAAGCTTTAGCAATTATTATAATTTCATGAATATACAAAAGTCTTCCTGTTTATTTAAGTAATCATCTCATTTTCTTTTAGTTAATTAAACAATTCAGAAGGCAGTTATTTTGGAGCAGTAATCTGTTGAATGTTACTCAAATTCAACCAGTTCTTAGAGCTCGTGTTCCAATACTGAAAGTCTCCTTTAAAAATTCATTTGAAGCAGATATAAGTTTCTCCAATTATCTGGTAAGTTTCACAACCATTCTTCAGGGGAGGTATTCCGTTTTACGTATAATCTCTAAATGCTATAAATTGGCTTACAACGTTATTGCGTAAGTGTCACTCAGAATTGTTTCGAATATTTTCCAGTTCCAAGTTAGGTAGCGTCTTCGTCACGCATATCAAAATAAACATTTGATACCGTCAACTGGATAAAATTGATCCATTTTATTTCAATGGTGTCTTGTCAACTGATTACAACCTAGAACGTTATAACACATTGTTTCGCGGGAAGATTTACATACTTCACTGGAAGAAAACTATGTGGATCAGTAGTTGAAGCGCACAGAAATGACTGACTGGCACTGAATGACAAGGTCAACATAGAACCTCGCACACAGGTGCATCTGCTCAAGTTGTCACACTTCACAGTAGTACACAAAGAACAGGTGGCTGAAAAAGATTGATATCAAAGTGGACAATTTGTGTGAGACAATTAACAACCTGAATATAACAGTTAATGCAAACATTCAAGCTTTAGAAGATGTCAAGGAGTGAATACTTCTGCTCCATTTTGACCTATTCTCAGGCATGTCACTAAGAGTTATGAACTACTGGATCCTTTTGTCTCGAGGACGCTAGCCAGGCAGTTTACATAGCCTGACATGGCTCAGACAAACAGTGAGAGACTTCATGGAGTGGTTCCATGTCTTGGTATGGCCACCCTGAACGCTCTTCAGACTTAATCCAGCTTCTCGTAGCATGAAACGTCGGTGTAGGCGGTGACTCGGTACGTGCAGTACTATATCCAAACCATCTCAGCCGACTGGAGTTCATAACCTCAATACTCGACTTGCTCAGCACCCTTCTCCTGACCTCTACATTGCTGATATGGTTGCCCCACCAAACGTGAACAATGCTATGAAGACATCTGTGACGAAAACTCTGTAATTGATTCACATCTACTTTTAACGGACTGTGATGCGTTATGCCTATCGTTTGGTAGGTTATCGGATATTTCGCCAGTTGGCATCACGGAGGATGCATGTTGGAAAATGCCAAATGGATTTCGGATTTAATCAGCAACCAACTAGTCTGGGCTGATGGAACTGCTCAAGTAAGTCAAGTAGTTCACACATTCCACCACTTCACTCCCTTTAATTTAACTGGAAGTACTCGTAGGAGACCAAGCCTAGATCATCATCTTACATTTAACAAGTATCAGGGAACCGCATACTAAACACATTCAGATTTCTGCTCAACACATACAGAACACCCCGCATTTCGTCATCATCTTCACCTATCAGTACAATATCGTCCGCATACTCGAAGTCAACCAGATGACTTCTAGAGAGTAGGCTAATCCCTATGAAGTCAAACGTGTCTAAGGTTATGTCCATCGGTGTGTGTATGTCGAAGTTAAGTAGGAACGGTGACAATGGGTATCTCTGGCGGACACCACAAGTTGTCGTCAATTCACATGACAATTCTCCACAAGCGGTGACATGGATACGTGAGTTCTAGTAGAGAGCTTCGATTAGCGTCATATACTTGCTCGATACTCTCTTCACAGTCAGACACTACCGCAGCACATGGCGGTCGATCACCTTCAGGTCAAGAAATATTTTCAAGCTTTGACCTCTGGCCAGTAGGTATGTCTGTGTTCCAGAACCTGTTGTGAAGGAGAAGTATGATGGATGCACCCTCGTCTAGGTCTTAAACCTGTCTGGTTTCCTCAAGTTTGCCCTTCTTGAGCTCCATTTAGGCATTGCGAAACTATGGACCCTACGATTTTGACACAGTATTGGCCAAACTAGTATCCTTATGGTTGTCACAAGGAGAATTCTTCCCCTTATTATACACTTGGATGATCAGTGAAGTAGACTTGTCTGAAGGGACTACCTCTGATTCCCACACACTATCTAGTACCTCCATCACTTTAAGCAGTAATTTCCTATCACCATTCTTGAAAACGTCGGGTGGGGAACTGTCAGGTCCTGCCGCTTTTCATCGTTTCACCTTCGATACAGCCTTCTCAACTTCAAGGAGAGTTGAGACACCGACATATACGTCTTATATAAGTTCAGGCTGGATGTTAGTTTATGTTTAATTTGCTTCCGCTCTTCATTGATCCAAACCAACTGGAATCATTCTTCACATCAATCAGTTCAGATGGCGTTGCGAAAATCCACTGACGTATGCTAACCGGTTGTAGGTTGCCATTTGCCTTTACCTCTTTTTCTATAGCAGACTTGATATCATGCCAGGTTTCCTCAGGATGAGCATTGCTGTCACGTTTAGATAAATGTTTAGCTAACTCCTCCCTAAATATGTACTTCATAATCTCATCTTCCAATAGTCCGAAGAAACGCTGTACCACTGTATGTTTCCTGCGACCAGTAAGGCGCAAACATACTCGAGCTTGTAGTAGCGCGTGATCTGATTTCAAACCAGTATTCCATAAAAAGTGACAATCCCCCACCGATGGCTTATAGCAATGTGATCTATCTGTGTCCATCCTTGGTTTGATGTTGGCGGACGCCATGTAAGACAGTTTGTCTCATCCTTAAAGTTAGTGCTGAACAGAAACAAGTGGTTGTCGGAACAAAGTCGCAAGAGACGACCACTGTTGTCGGTTCGTTGGCATCGGCCTCCGTGAATATCCCAGAGAGGCCTTTGTTGACAGCTTCTCATAGAACTCACCCGAAGTACAGCCAGTGAGTGCGTAGGCAACGGTCGGTCTCACGATCCATCATAGTCATTACAGATCCAGATACAAATTCAGTCGAACATCACACAGACACCTGTTTACTGGTATCCAGTCGAGAAGCGCACTTCCTGCCCTACAGCTCAATGCTGTGCCTACACCAGCGAGTCCACGAGAGCTAGCCATCGGGTCTCCGGACTCATTTAAGGTGCATTTTGAAGATTCACTACTCTGGTCAGGTGAGGTCAGTTTAGTACCCACAGGATACATTCATGACTAGAAACTGCAGAATTTTAGTGAGCGGTGCTTGCTGTCCGATTTGGCATAGAGTTCGGACATCGAGAGCTCCAACATGAAATGGATGACGGAGTGTCTTATTAGACTCGGAATTGAGTTTCGATGGCTTTAATAGTTGGCAATTGTCTCAGAATTAGAGGTTGGGTAAGGCATTAGAGGCTTATTATTAGTATCCGGAGGTGAAGACAGAGGAGGCGACTGAGTTGAGGGGGATAAATTATGTTAAGTTTGGTCTCGTGTACTACTGGAAGCGTGCTAGTGGTTGGAACGTCCCGGGTATCTACACCGTGGAAGGCTTGTTCCTCTTGAGGTACCTAAGAGCGAGAAAGATTTGTGTGACCGCAGAGCCCATGGGACATTAGCCTGAGGCGTCAAACGCATCCATTTGTAGGATGTTTGTTTGAGGTGTGATTGTTCAAACACCGGATGCAGAGGATACACCACTGGGACTAGAAGATCATGGGGCAGATAGGAGTGTAATATTTCTCGGACCGACCTTTCCTAATCCTCCCTTCACATTGGGAAGGCAGCATCAGCGCGGCATTGCTTATCATCTAAGGGAAATACCTTACTGTTGTCATACCTCATCCAGCTGGCAGCAGTACGACTTCACCTTGGTACCCCCATCATAGTGTAGGGGGTTTACACTACAACGGTAACTGCTTTTCGTCCTACCACTATACAACAGACCTTTATGATCGGATATATATGCAAGATCGACCACCATTTCAAGGTGGCAGTTATCAGCTGGTAGAGAAATGGTCATGGTGGTGCGGTAAATCCAAAAAAGGTTAATATGTTGTGAGAGATTCTCTCAATTTTATGCATAATTCAAGTGGAGTTTCTAGAAGAAAGAAACGACAAAAATAGCAACTAAATTATTGAGGCACTTGACACCATAAGATTACGTAATTTCGTCATTCGACAAATAAGTGAGTGGAGAAAGCATGCAAAATATTGTGAGTTAAGCTCAATTGATTGTGAGCAGTCTGTCTGAATGCCTTCGATTTGTTAGATGATGAAAGTGAATAAGGATAAGAGAATGGATGTGTGAATGTGATGATGGATGATGTGATCAAATAACAGTCAAGAGCGAGTATGCAAGGTAATGAGAGTTTGATTGGAGCTTCTGTTTTGAACACGTGAATGATGTTTCAAAGGGTTTTGATGTAATGACGTGAGTGAACGTGAAGAGAATTGAGGTTGAAGGAACTGAAGACATGTGCCTATTATGCAGTGTCATGCAGATGTCAAGTGATTGTGCCGTTTAGAGTGTTACTTCCATCTTGGAAGCAAGTTTATGTGCATTGTGAGTTAAAGTAAATCATTTGAATTAGTGTAACAGTATGTCAGTTCACGTATATAAATCATGTCTTTAGAAATCAGAATGGTACTGTAAGCGTTTACTAAGGTAGACATAAACGGTTGATGAGAAGAACAGAACTTTTCATAGTAACAGATGCAGTTCATGTGAAATTTGTTATTCACCAAGGCATCTGATGGTTACAAACTTTATTATCTTATTAGTCTGGTGATTTCTTATCGACATCTAATTTTTCAACAATTAGAATGTCATCCCTACTGATGAGATATTTGGCTAATGAAATTCCTTGGAACATAATTCACTTTTTTCATCACCATAGTGAATGTTTTTTTTCTCTCCGAGGATTCACGTATAAATAATGTGGTTGTATGAAAGGAAAGCCATTCTTTTCTAATTAACTGGTGTACTCCTGCTTCTATATGCGTGTAAGCCTGACTGTTCAACTTGCTTTAGATATTTTTTTCGAAAATTACTTCCACAAGTTTTTTCCGTGATAAATATAGAATTTAACGTTGGTGTCTTCGTTTATTACTGAGTACTTTATAGCCTTTATAACAAATGTATGTTTTTGTTTTACTTAAGCATTTGTCAGATGCATCTTATCTCTGTTTTATTAAATGTACAAGCGATTGTAACTGGATGCCTTCAGCTGTTATGATTGTTTGTTGATTGATATTGCTTGCATTTTAATAATTGTAGGCCCTTTCAAATACTCGAATGCTTGCATTTTATGCAGAACTTCAACCGAAGCTTCGTACTCTAGGAGTTGCGTTGAAAACAGTTACCAAGGTAATGTATATTTTATTTATAATTTTCACTAGATGATTTTACTGCACTTTTTTCCTTTCATCAGGTAACACCTTTCCATTGAATCTACTTTTCTTTTAACATTACCAATAAAATTAACGACTCATTTTTCAGTCATCCTTTTGAAGTTTGTATATCTGTTTGTAGATATTGAAGTGTTTCACTTGAAGTAAAAGGTTTTTAATGGGGTTGAGTTCTGTGAGCTAGATTATTAATTCGTGAAGCTTTTGTCATCAACCAAGTAATCAACCTTGAAAACTAACAAATGGACTGTCCCATTCGACATGAAGAACCTCTCCGAGATTACGACTAGATTCTTGATGCCTCTTGGAATCACTGTATATCACAGACCCACAAATCTCTTCAGGCTCTGTTATGAAGACCAAAAATACAACAGTAAAGAAAGACAAACCAAACATTATCTACAAAAGAAACTGCGATAAACACTACATTGGACAGAGTAGTCGGTATCTTCGCATCCGTCTACAACAATATCAACTAGCAGTGAAGTGTCATTACATACCTTCTCTGACATCAATGTATATCAACAACTGTGGACTTGCATTTGACTGGGTAAATGTGAAAATCCTGGATAGAGGAAATACAAAAAATGCAAGGGGATTTTTAGAAGCTTCGTATTCAGGTCAGTCAGCAATTAACAGACATATTGACACTGACTCAATCTATCAACCAATAAGAAACAACCAGGAGGTCAAATTTCATATCATCAGTCATCAAAGTAAACATGAAGACAATGAGAAGACCTTGGCAAAAGCAATCAGCTAAATACAAGGCCATCAGGACAAGCTTCTAAATAAATTGCGGAGAAAACCTTATTAGTCACTTCTTTGTGAAGTTTGTGCTGATGTTGTCTAGAATGGCAACCAAAGCTCCACGATTAAACAGTCCTGCTCAGATAACTTAACCCCATCAAAATTATCCCTCTGAGCTACGAATTTTCTCCATCATCCCACAAAAGGTTTTCTTATATCCGTCTCCGTGTTGCCTGAATAAGAATACTCAAAGAAGCTATGAAATCTTTTTCTTCATAAAGTAGCTGGAGAGAAATGCGATACTCGAGTCAGAAAGAAGGATAAGAAGTTAATACATCCGTACCATTGTGGTTAGCTTTGAACTAAGTCACTTCAGACCTTGATCTATCAACTAATAACGTACCGAATCAGTGAATTCCCTATCACTCTTAACTGTAATAAACTTTAACGTAAACCATCAGATTTCTCCTAATTATTTGTTATATATCCCTTAATTATGTGTTCACTATCCTAATACAGTTATATATCTGTTGTCACCTGATAAATGTGCTCGTTAAATGATGCTCTAGAAAATATTGCTTTAACTGTCTGCGTAGCACACTGTCAATCGGAAATAGCAATGATAGGAATGTTTTTTTGAATTTCCAGGTGATAAACAGGAAAAAGGTTCTTTGACAATGTGTCATACTTAATTGTTTGCTATGCGATAGAAGATGATGCGTAAAGCATGTTTACTTGTTGGTTGGTTTCTTGTTTTATTTGTAAACACCTGTTTCGTAAATCAGTGTGTATACTAAAATCTTATAGAGTTAGATAGTGGCCATTATTATACTATTCAAATCCTCAGTAGTAGTCACCGATACCTTCTTATCCTCTCTTCGTGTGTAATTTAGAAACAATATTGATTTATGTCTAGATATCGATCTCAAGACTAATCAGACTTCTTAGCTGTCATATCAATCATTAAAAAAAATTTGATCAGATTTTTACCGTTATGTATTTTTGCACAAGTAGTTAATAATATAAATTAGGTAGTTCAATCGTTTGTGTCCTAATACTTTTGCTGCACCCTTCCCTAAGAAATGAAGAAGAATATAATGCAGCTGCTTAATGAAATTTGCTCTAAGTGTTATTTGTAATTAGTATTTCTCTAAATCTAACCTCATTAACTTTTACTTTAGATAACGAAAATTGGGAAAGCATCAGCTGGTGGTATCTCTTCCTATGCATGTATTATCATGCTGATTCATTATTTACAACAAATCAATCAACTCCCTGTTTTACAGGAAGTAAGTCTTTATTTTACAAGACTTCTGAATATTTAACATTTCTATTTGTATGAAGTTAATTTTTCACTGTTACATTTTTCTCTCTTTTCGATATACTTTATATTGCAGCTTTATGAAGAATCAACAAAACCCGTCATTTTAGTCAATGGTTGGAATGTTTGGTATCAAAATGATTTATCTGTTATAGTAAGTGTGTGTGTGTGTTTTCTTTTCGTTTGAGTGTGATTTAAAATTTTGACTATTTACTACATTTTGAGTTTTATGATTTCGTGACTGACGGTTTCTCTATCGTGAATTTTTTGTATTGAGTTTTTTGTGATTGAAAACATGTGTAATGCTACGGATCACCTACTCAACAGTAATAAATTGGGATGAAATTCAACAACTGATCATATAAATGCAGAATAGTTTAAGAGTCGCATATATTGTGTCAAGATCTGTCTCAATACATGGCTAAGTAAACCTAAAGAAGTGAAATAGAATTAGAATCATCAACCCATTGGTCAAAAGTTGAATGTATAATTTGATAGCCCTCTGTTAGATTTGCTTAAGCATAGAATATCAGATTGTTTACTTCTGTTCATCAGGTGACACGTAAGGTTGAATTCTTTGAGGGAATGGCTTACACAATATATAAATGCAATGTAAATGTAGTTATTGATATCACTTAGATCTCTTCAACTGAAACTGATTGCTCAGGGCATCATTCTTTTACTGCTTTCACGAGAATTGTCACATATTGAGGGCAGGCTAAGAGGCAGAATTAATTTTAGAAATCATAAATAAATTGGAAAACGGGGAAATTTTGAACTTATACGATCTGTTGGAGACAATTGACAGGAAGTCCTGGGACTAGGTTTTATGCTTATTGACACTTGTCAGCAACTGACACGAAACTGATGTCCCTTATAAGTTTCAAACCCGCTTCACCCAATGCTGCAGTCAGAGACGTTATCACTGACCTGTTTGAGTCGCGATTGACCTCTTGTCGGGCTGGATTAGGTACATTAGTTGGTCATCATCATTTTGTTTAGTCCTGAGTGCTGATCGAATTCTCCCTATCATTTTGTAATGTGATCACTAACCTAACGTTATTGTGTTGCTGCATAAAGAAGGGACGTTGTGAAGTGTACATATGATTCTCGAATACTGCATGACATTTAAACCCATAAACACACTCAGAAAATGTATAGGGTAAGAGATCCAATGAAGCGAAATAACCTAGTCTATCAAATACCATGTAATGATTGTAAGGCCAAGTATATAGGTCAAAGCAGCAGATCTAGGTCAGCCATAAAAGCGCTGCACAAAATTTCGTGAAATATGCAATGATAGACCCTACTTAGGTAAGCAATTCAGACAAAACCTCGTCTGTCTCTCTGTATTCACTGATAACCACACTATACGGTGGGATAAGTTGACAATTCTAAAATCCCAGATAGCTACATGAAGGGATTGCTTAGTTACAGAATCTTTGTTCATTGAATCAATACATAACATATGTAACAGGAATGATTCATCATATATTGCAGATATCTGGCAAACTATATCACTATGTATTATAAATCAAATAAAGAAAATCTAATATGGAATTAAATTCTATCACAATGCCTAGATTTTACACCTATAAGAATGAAGAACTGTTGAATCGTTAAAGTGAGGTTTGAAATTTGCAGCTTATTACGCACTGTACATGACTGTGTTGAAGTTGCTATGATTTTGTAACTACTTTAACATTCGGTTTTTTTCAGTTTGATCGTATTGAAATCCACTGTGTTACAAAAAAACTTGCGTGGTAATTTTGTAATTGATATTGTTGTTTTTTTCCACTTACCTCACAAGAATCGTTTATGGAAACCAAACAACCCAGAACCATTAGTTGGAGATTTATGGTTAGGATTTTTTCGTTATTATCTGTTTGAATTTGATCATGATTCTTATGTTGTAACGATCAGGCAAAAGATATTACTCATACGATTTATGAAGATGTGGAGATCCTTACTTGCTATTGAAGGTCAGTCATATAATCCTTATTCATTTACACCTTTAATGTTGTAAGAGTTACTAATTATGTCTTTGAATGTATTGGAAAGAAAATCCTGAACTTACTAGTCTGTTTATGCTTCAACAGAACATGCCCATCTCGTCACAGACTCACAATAAAATATATATATATATATATATATATATATATATATATATATATATATGATTTGTACTCTTCTATCGTCATTATCGCTTTATTTTTTACATTTAATTGTTTTCGGTATTCTTTCATTTGATCTTCCTAATAATCGCAACTTTTAACAAAACATTTTCAATTTGCTCCAATTAACTTGTCTCACTTATATTACCTAGTCCTTGGATTGTTTATTAACGGTCTCACCACTTTTTAATCCATACGCAGTTTATAAACGATTTGAAAATCCTACGTAACCCCTTTTTGTTATCATTCGTCTTTTGCGTCATCAACTAGCAACATTATACTTATCACCACCATTATTATTGTTTCAACCCCCCCCCCCCATTATTTAAGTTAAATCTTCCTCACAGATGTCTTTAAATACCATATATATATATATATATATATATATATATATATATATATATATATATATATATATATACACGAATGTGCAGCTTGAGAATAAATTCGTTGTAAAGAGTCCTCTTCGCTGAATATCTTGTTTTTTTCTTATGTCACAGGGGGAATCATGAACGTATATTAGATTTGTTTATTTAATTTATAATACATACAGTGATCTAGTATTATTCACTTGATAACAATGTTTTGAGCATAAATTATTGCTCTTAATCATATCAGTGTAATCGCACTACTTTCGACTGTTACTACTGTCACCTCATATTCTTTGATTTTATTGGCAGTATAGGTGTTGCGTTATTTTTATATTACAGGTGCTGGGTGTAGATTCGATAAACAAAGATTCAGTGATCAATCTCTATTTTCCCCAAATTATATTGGACTTAAAGGACAGCAGCTTTATCCCACTCTATTGTGTGTTAATACATGCATTGCAACATCCGAGTTTTTTTCTAGATTATTGATTATTATCATTATTAAAGCCCGATAGAACCAATTAAGTAAAATAATCTAATCAGATTCCATGTAATGACTGAAAGGTCAAACATATCGGTCAGACTAACCGGTCAGGGTCATACAGATTAGCGGAACATAGGAATTTAGCTAAATATAGAATGACAGGCCGGAATAAGATCAATAATCTGGAAAAATACTCGGCTATTTCAAATCATGCATTACACACACAACCACATAATAGAATAGGTGGGATAAAACCACTGTACTTAAGTCCAATATAATTTGGGGAAGGTAGAGATTGATTACTTAACCTTTGTTCATCTAATCAATACGCAACACATGTGATAGAAATGACTCAACACCTGTGTCAGAGATACAGAAAATTTTACTACCAATAAAAGCAAATCATATGAGGTTACAGGACTAAAAGTTGAAAGTAGTGTAATTACACTGATATGATTATGAGCGGTAATACTTTATGTTCGAAACGTCATCAAGTTAATAATACTATATCATTGTGTATTATAAATCAAATAAACATATGAGATATGAAATTACGTTCTACCAAAGTGCCCAAGTTTTATACCTATATTAACTCAGTCTACAAGCCTATGATTGATACTTCGTCAGGATTCTAATACTGATCGAAGTTTATGAACCACGTTTTCATCGTGATCACTAGATAAAATTGGTGCGCAGTACAAACTTTTATCGACTAGTTCTATTCAGTTTAATTTATATTATTTAGAAAATAAATCAAATGTGATTGAGTGATTTTGGGTTTGAGATGAACTACAATTTCATGATATTTATACTAACCACTTTTTAATGACTATATTCAAAGATTCACACACCATACTCATAACTAGTCTAATTTATCTTGAGTAAAAAATAACTTTTACACAATAGCCTGCGATTTTGTATCATAATACGTCTAATGAGTGAATCAAAGACAGATTAAGGCAGTTCGATGTTTACTGATAGGTATGCAGTATCACATTATATATATAACAATTCGTTCTAAATCAGAAATGTGCACGGTCAGCCAGCTTCAATCATTGGACAAGTGGTGCAATATAACCGTTTAAAGGCTTCATGAAGACCTTTCATCTGTATATTTCCATCATATTAGTTACTATTTCGTGGAATAAAGTATGGTTTTTAGAGTAGGTTTCAGTGAAACAGTAAACAGATTATGAATACTATGTCTGAATTGAAGTTATCTCAGTCAAAATCGTGTCGGGAAAGAAAACTCGATATTTGTCCACTTCATCCTCCTAATTTTTAGTGTTTTTTTAGTGTTATTGCTTGTATTACACCGTCGTTGATTGGATCGAATTGATCAGTCCCTGTTGGCATATAGGCTCCTATGCGGATGCCTCGATATTGCCTGTCTTTTAACTATGTTTAGTAATGATGGGCAGTGGAATCCAGGATGCGCATCTCGTCCTATTTGGGACTCGTCAGCTGGGAAGCAGGTACATCCAGCTGACGAGTCCCAAATAGGACGAGATGCGCATCCTGGATTCCACTGCTAACCACTGCCCATCGTCACTAAACATAGTGTCTTTTTTTGTTACGTCACATAATTCTCCATTCTACTTAATATTTATTCCTAAAGCACTTAGGTTTCACTAATCTATAAATAGTTGGTTCCTTCATGGTACACAGGCAAATTTTAAGTATTTATGTGTATTTTTTAAAAAGTTTATTCGTGGATTTCAGTGTTTCTGTGTTGTGTAATTCTTTGTATAAGTACTCTTACCGTTTGATTGTTTTATAATTCCAACTATTTTCAGATCCATTTAATTTGAATCACAACCTTACAGCAGGTTTTAATTATTCTAGTAAGTTTTGCTACTTGCTATTTTCCTTCCGTAAAAATTCAGTATATTCAATTTATTGGTTTAGAAAAATAATAATATTCATATTTTATTGTATGGAGATGTCGACTTTCCAAATTTAGTGTTTAGAGAATCTAAGCAATGTCTGAGAATTGATCTCAGTTGACGCAGACGCATCTCACACACATCATCTTGATCATGCTAACGAATTTCATCCTTACTTTCTCTCTCTGTACGAATCTACACTACTTTTGATAACTTTCTTCCTTATTTCTCCATGTTTCATCTTAGTATCTTCTACCTATATGTGTAAATTTGAGTTGTAGCAACTTAAACCGTTACTTAGTAACGCCTAGACCCTGTGTTGAAGCCGACTAACTCTTGGTTGTGTAATAAATAGGGTTTCTGACGTTATCAACGGACATATTATGTACAGCAGCAGTCTTTATTTGGAAACTGAGCATGATATGTGTAAAATATTTCATGTATGTGTTACGTAATTGTTATGCTTGTGTGTTATTGTCTATTTGTTAGCGTTTGTAAAATAATCGCATTCCACGTCATTTGTTTTTAGATCCAACGAAAACGACGAAAGCAACTAAACAAGTCTAATCAGGCACGGAATACTACTGTCATAATATATTGAATAAGTTTCTTGATCAGTGCTTAGTACTAACATTTCTTTATACCGAAATAGGTATATCTTCTGAGCTTCAACTGGAATACACGTAGAAAGATAAATTACTGACTGGCTAATTCAATCATTTTTTTAATATGGTTATAAATCGTGATTTCCCCACAAAATCTGCAGTCAAAGAAAGATAATTATGATCTTTGCATCGAATAAGAGATGAACGAGATAAAAAGACTCGTCAGTTGGTTGGCTAGTTCTTATCACTTTATCAGCTACTGCGATACAGATTGTAACTTTGTTCTGCCAACTGAGGCTCAGGAAACCAGTTAGTACTATCACAGTTGTCATTCTAGGTGTGGTTCAGTACCTAGCATACATGACAATCAAGTTGCACTATTGTTATCTTTTTCAGTATTTCACTTCATGTGAAGCTGAATTCATGATGATCATATTAGCGTAGTGTGCCTATCCTCTAACTGAAATAGAGCTTTGAAGAGCACAGTGTATTATTCAATTACAACAATGCGTTAACAATAAAAAATGTTGTTAAGCAATAAATAGTATAAATCATGTAGTATTGTTTACACACTTGTAAACGAATAACTGTTGTAATGTTGAGTTTTTTTTTGTTTTCAAATTTGATTTCTCTAGAGCTTCTTTATATGCTAAATGTGTTTCATACTGTTCTCGTTCATCATACAACTTTTCTGTCAAAACAAATGTCTATGGGACAGTGGTGCTAGTGAGTCTTACTTTTTCGACATCAAAATAAAGTTCTATCCTGTACTGTGATGATTATTTATCCTAATAATACTAATACATACTATGATGAAAAATGCATTTTAGTTCAAAGGTCTTTAACGTATAATTGTGACATATATATTATGAATTTCTTTCCAAGAAATTCGGAACCAAAGCGAACAAGCGACTTCCCAAACGCTCGAGTTACGCATAAAATCCAAAACACCAGATTTGTCTGAAATACGGTTCTATATTAATTAATAAACAATACTGATCAGTCAAATGCCAACCTCAAATCTTTAAGTATCTGCGGGTTTATCGCTGTCAAAGCACTTCACACAGAGTGCGTCAGTAGTAAAAACAGCAAAGCTGTGTCCAAGTAATAGAAGGGAATATGAAAGACATGCGTTAAGTCCTGACGATGTGGTGAACACGCAAGATAAACAAACGTTCAAGATAAAATAGAACATCAGGTAACAACAAAGGAAATTATGTCGTCATGAACTGGAGAAGATGCTAATACCTAGCGCTGTTAAATGATGAACAAGATACGATTGAACAGTTAAAACTGTGGATGAAGCAGCATGAACTGTACTACTTAATCATACTAAGTGGTATGAAACTGAAGGTACAAAAAGGATTACAAAAGCAACATCGGATAGGGTAAACGAGAACAAGTAAGAAAGGAATTGACGATGTATGTCATCTTTGATACATACAGAACAGATTTGTACTAAACTTTATTTAGCGTTTCCTATAGCTGTTTCTACTAAGCGTATTGTAACGTTAATTATTTATTATTATTTGTCCCTTCGGTTCCTAATGGAACATAGGGCTTCAGTAGCACGTCTCCAATGCGCTCTGTTCCCTGAAATCTTTTGCACCTGGCTCCACGACAGCCCACAACCTCTCATTTCCTCCTCTCACCATCTTCTCCATGTCACCCTCACCTCGGACGTCCAACTCATCGCTTCCCATCTGGGTTCCACTCGAGTGGCTGGCCTGACGCGTGATGTCCCCAGTCAGCCTTCTCAGTGTACGCCCAATCTATCTCCACCTCCTTCTGCATATTTGTTCAGCGATAGCCTCTTGGTTGGTTGGTTCGTTACCAGCCAGTCAGCCAGAGTTCCTTGTTGCTCATTCTTTCGGACCATCTGATCTTCAGTAGCGAGCGTAGGCGGCAGTTGTTGATGAATGTCTGTAGTTTGTTGGAAATCCCTTTCGTAAGGCGCCAAGTCTCTGAACCATACAGAAGCACTGACTTGACTGGCATTGGTGTTGAAAATCCGGATGTTGTTCACGCTTTATGCTGATTGCAGAAGATCTCCACACTGGTTTCAGACTAATGAACGCCTGTCTTGCTGTCTTTCCGATCCTGGCTGGCGTTGACATCCTCGTCTGTGCCTGTGCCGCCTGTAGTTGAAACAGTGCTTCTTAGATAGGTGAAGGAGACTACTTCCTTTAAGTTTCCCCCGTTGATGATGATTGGAGTTTGTTGTTGTTGATGATGCTGTTAGTTGGGTATCTTCATCACCTCTATCTTCTCCATGTCCACTTGAAGTCCCATCTCCCTTCTCTGCCTCACCTCTTCTGTCAACTTGTTAGTTTTCGCCTGTAGATCTTCAAGTGTGTGCCACAAGACATTAGACACAAGTCATCATTGGCGAAATCCAAATCTTCTAGGATCTTTTCCCCTGTCCAGCCATTGTATCCCCTCTTCTCGCTCCCTACTGTTTATTGCATGATCTAGTCTAGTCGACCACAATCAGGAATATCATGGGTGATAGTAGGCAGTCTTGTCTTACTCCTGTCTTCACTTCAAAAGCAAAATGTTAATTATGCATCTTGTAAAATGCTGCATCAGATTTCGTTACGTATGAAGATTCAAGTTCATAGATTATATATTTGAACAATTCTTTTCATCCCAATAGACGGTAACTCAGTGGTCTAGCAGTTACCGATGGTTGTATAGTAAGTGTAACTGTGGTAGTGACTTTGGAGGTAACCGCTACATACTCAACTTTGTTTCTTATGATGTAATAAGTTTAACATAATCTCACGCTGGGATTATGTTAAAGCTTACTTATGCAATGATTAAAATCAGACCCAGCACCCAAATTCTTACAAAACATTCATAACAACCATAGACTAGACATTTATAACCATACTTCTATTCATCTCAAACTTCAATCTCCCTATACATTTTCGTGAAGTGTTTTGTGATCAGATTATATGTGATGCAACCCAGTATAGCAGTGTGAACAAGTTTTGGTAAATGAGAGTATGGAATACCACTAGGTTGGCTTCGTCACAGTAAGTAGTGTGGATTTAAAGTTGTACTCTGCCGGTTGGTAATGGAATGATCAAGCCAATAATATACATACCCTTCAGATATTAATAGAGTATGCTACATTTCAACTCTCTATTGTTGTTAAAGAATGCCAAGATTCTAACGCCTTCAAAATACGGATTTTTAAACGTTTATACATAAAGCTGTTTGCTTCTTCAAACTGGTAACCTTAATTATGGACTTCCTGCGTTGCCTTGAATTTCAAATAATATTGAAATTGGCTTTTGGATACTGTTCGTACTTACAATTATTATTTCTTGCTCACAACTTTTTATGGATAACTAGTGCTTCCTATATAATATGTTTTTAAATCCCACCATTCGGCATTCAAATTTTCGTATTATATAGAACCAACAGAAGTCTCTTCGGTTTCGGCATCTACGGACAGAACTTTTCCGAAGATTCCTTACTTGTTTATAATAGTTAATGCTACAAATAATATATGATACAGTGACCGTGTATTACCCTTAATAACTGAAACTTGGGTTCAAACAAAGTGTCATTTATTCCAGCCTTTAAACAAGCTCAGTTGAAACGTAATCAGTCTGGAAATTTATTGGGACATTGGTGAAGCTCTTTTCAATACAGAATGCTTTCAGCTAATATATAGTAAAATATTATTGCTTTTGTTTTTAGTATCCATATTACTGATATCCTTTCTTCTTATAACCTGCATTGCATAATTACTATATGCAGGGATATAATATTAATAATATTATCGTTTTTTTCTGTAGCTGTTTATTCGCACCAGATTATATTGTTGTCAAAACAGATTCACTTAAAAATACACATTGTTTTGTTTGCCAACGAACTGGTCATATATCATCACAATGCCCCAAAAATCAGAAAGCAGTATGTACAGAGAACAAAAATGAAGCGTCGACGGTGTATTCGTTAATTGGTCATTTTTTGTCCACACCTCCAGCGCAAATATTTCAATCCTCACAAAGGCCAATGTTGAACAAATCAGTAGAACATCGTTATAATAATCATCAAAAACATCGTCAAGCATATCCAAGTAAAAGCTCTTCATCTTCTACGGAAACAAGTGCATCATTTTTTGCACCATCTAATTATGTGAACCCATTTAGACCGCAAAACAATCACCAGATGCCACCAGTACATAACAGCTATTCACTCCAACCTTTCCCTCACCATAATCGACCACCGAACTATGCAAATGTACACACAAGTCCTAATATCATGCTCACATCACACATCCCACAACCTCCGTCTAACGTTGGTTGTGTACGTGTCATCAAACCTGGTCTTCTAGACAGCAATGGAATGTATTGCCCCCAAAATCTTAATAATACTTATCAACAACAACTACCATACCAAAATTCTTTTTGTCGTTATTCATCATACGGCAGTATAAAAGGCCAACAATATCAGAACAGTAACTGCATTTCACAAGGAAATCTTCTTACCAGTTGCACCTCATACGATCACCAGATTGGTCATCAAAATAAGAATTCAAAGTGGATAGCTAATCCGCTTGTTTCACCAACCAATACAGTAACAGCTGCAAGTAATGTTACCGCTTCTCAGCACTCTCCATATAGCCCAAAGAAGTTGAAGAATAATCATACTACTGCTGCTTCTACTCATCAAACTACTAATGTATCACAAATATCTGGTAATTATGGTAAGTGCATAAATTTACTGTGTAAATCAATGCCATACCTGCAAGCCGTGTCTAAGCTTAAGAATTATCATCACTAGGTGCATATTAACCAAACATTTAATGTTTTTTCTCTCGCCTTATTTTACTCATACAAACAAAGCATATAGTATGCCATTTATTCCACTTTCCCCCTTCTTTGAGATCTCATTGGACAAATGACCCAGATGATCCTTATGATAGTGTCAAATTTCACCTTAGATGTTTGGCTTGAACGACATAAACATTGGCATAGTTTCTGATAACTGTGATATGCTGTCCCAAGTACAAATTGCTTATGGACTCATTTAGACAGTCGGTAGTGAAGTCGTTGATCTAGTTGACAACTTTATTTGACGAGTTTTTTATCACCTTAATAACTAACAGAATCGCGTTTCAATTTAAGGTTCTAAACGATGACATTTACTTCGCGCATATTGTAGTGGATATTATGTATCCACTTGACAATCAAAAGCCTCATACGCAACAAGCCAACCTCTTAATTGTAAGCCCTAATCACTCCATTCATGTGAACACCGGTGCATTCAGCACGTGCACAACCGTCAGTGAAGTTATTGTAAAGTACTTTAACTCCAACATCAGTTCGTAGGCTTCATAATTCAACTTTATGTCGAATTTGAATCCGGCACTAAGTGTCTTCTCCGAATATTCTAGTGCCCATTGTTTGGTAACAGTAAATCAACTGGCTGGTATTCATCGTAGATTGACATCAGTTGGAGGAACAATCGAAACATGGGAGCACTGGACAGCTGCTCTGTCCCAGCACAGGATTCCTCAGCAGTGCGCACCCACGAACCCGCAACCTTCAGGCTCTGTGGCTAGCACGTTACCATTGAGCCACTGGGCTGGAACCCGGTGGGCCATATTTCCAACTTCTGTCAGTTCACGACATAGCGCGACCGCCACCTAATGTCATCGCTGAGTATTTGTCCTCACGGCCATCAGGTTTGCCTCATTGGTCACGACTTCTCACTGGAACTTCGGTGAATACCAACTTGAAATATCTCTCAATCCCCACAAACCCCTTAAATAAAAAAAACTAGGTTAAACATTTGAGATAATATCAGATATTTACAATTAATGGTATTGACTGGGATGACATTTTCGGGATTACCATTTTCTTTGGAAACTAAACTATAGTATGTTTTCCGCATGAGACCTAAATGGCGTCCAGATTGTGAATGTAAAAGATATGCGATAAATACTACTGGCTGATATGATTGTTTGTGGCCTTTGTAACATGATACGTGTCATAATCGCGAAACTTTTGTGGCACCTCACATCAAAGTAAACAGTAATCAAAGGAAATACAAAGAAATTGGAAAAATAGGATTAAAAATCGCAGAAAGGTATAAGATAAAACGAAGAAACGTAATGTGTGTGTCATTATGATTACTTGGACACACTATTAATAAGCTTGCCCAACGGCTGTTCAGTGTTTAGGTCACGTGAATATGAGCAGCGAGTAATGCTAATGGCCATAAATAATTTTATCCGCTGGCGTACTTATATGTAGTTTCAAGCGATTCAACTGGTGGAAAACCGCAGTTTTCAATGAAAGTAATCACTCGAAAATCTGGATGTATTGATTTGTTTTTAAACCGCTGTCTATGCTCAAAGAAATTCTCACATTAGTCAGCTTGAGCACTAGACTTTCAAGCGATGGCTTCTGATTGCAAATGCCACCTGCACAACCGATTAGTACCAGGATCCATCACACCATTGTGTGACGCATAGCTTAACATGTACCAGGTATGATTCAGATCAAAAAATTACGTTATAGGTATACCAAAGCATTTAGCTTTCAGCAGATGTTTTTATATTGATAAGATACTTCATATTTCTGTTATTAGAATCGGTATCAAAGATTTCGAAAAGTGTCAGTCACCGGATGACGAACGCTGTTTTGGAAAACGCTCCTTCTCCCCCAAGTAATAAGGGGAAATGTAACTCAGGTCCAACAAAATCGTACAACCAACAAAAGAAGCAGTCCACTTCTCCATTAGATACAAAATCGAATTTCCAATTATCTTCAGAATGTATTAACCGTACGCAAACTAAGCCATCGAAGCTGACTGGATCGACATATCCATCTCAAGTGACACATATCGAAAATGAACATCAATCAGATTCGAAGAAACCTAACCGTGCTTGTAAAAACCGTCGAAATCCTAAACGTTTCACTTGCTCCAATGTGAATGGATCACCAAAATCAAATAATCTGGATGTAGACAAAAATTTGGTTGAACGTCTACACAATATGTCTACTGCTTTTTCGCCTTAGTGACAATATCACTGCACAGCATCCTTCTCCAAAATCATTACTAAAAATTTCTTTTCTTACTACAAATAATCATTAGTATGATTATTTTTGCATGAGTTGGTTGTTAGTGATGTACCTCTCATTTTCAGATGTAAATTTGTATCGTTTTAACGTTTTAATGGATTTTTCAACCATTCCCGAATTTTAATGTGTACTGTTGACAACGAGGACATGTGATGAATGTATGATCCTAATGCACTGCTCTTAAATTTCGGCGTATAAATTAAGTCATCACTTTTCCTCTTAATCAATTTAGCATCTTTGAGTTAAACTATATCTCTCATTTCTGTTTATTGCCTTTAGTCCTAGCTGTTTAAAATTCGAAATTTCATGCGATCCATCATAAGCTATGTGGGTTAACCTCTAAGGTCACGTGTCAGTAATTCTGTTTTCTCTCAGGTTTTTGTCTGAACGACTTGAAAGTATTTTGATGAAGTTCTGTTGGAGTGTTTAGCTGCCATGTTCTCAACCAGTCAGCCCAAGGCTCAAACTTTGCTGTAAAGTCACTCACCTAATCGTCGCACAATACCTTAAGCTGTCACGTAATACGCGTACCACTTAGTCTGCTACATGTATCTGCACAGGGCTAATACGTCATCACTACTCAAGCCTATTGAGTAGCATGATAACCCGCTGGAACTTTACTGGTTGTAACGCTTGTTTCCTGAAACCCTGTGATATTAGGAGAGTTGTTAGGGATATGCAAAGATTAAAAGCAGTTAGTCTGATACTCAAGTACGGAGGCCCATCATTAACCGTACCTGCATAAAAAATAAGCTTTTATACTAGCTGAGACTCTATAATCCTGAGTTGTAGATTTATATTGTTGGTCATTTCACTGAGCAAATCACTACAAGTGTAGACAGGAAGAAGAGTACACTCGCCTTCATCCAATTTGATAATTGCTTGTGTTTCCTTCAATAAGATTCTTCGCTGAGAACTGTCCGACGTCTGCTAGCCAGACAGTTCAGAGGATGATTCCCATCAAAACTAGAAAAAAATTGCTCAAAATGATTAATTAACAGTTACATCAGTAACTAACATGGATGGACTGACAGAGAACTTAGTCATAGCATTATCTTGGAGGCACATTTCCAACGCAGTATGGTAAAGTGATAAAGGTAGGCATCTGCAATTTCGCAGAGTTATTTTTCTTGCTCAGAACTTCGACCTATCGGTGAGCATCCGTTTGTTTCAAAAATCTGTCGAAATCAACGTTTAGTCATATCTACGTATCAAGTTACTAAAACGTTGGTATGCAACAAATCCTCAAGATTTTTTTTTTAAAGAGGTTTCACCGTGACCAGACTAAAAATGAATTTATTTCATCAATTACTACTCTTATCGTTTGGGTTGAATGAACTTTGGAGTAGTAGCGTTAAATATTCGTAGCTGAAACCATTGATGTTTTGGCAGTTTAGTTGAACCTTCAGTCCATATTTTTGTACGTACAGCTTTAAGACAGTCTAGGTATCATCCCACTTTGATAGAGCTCAGCGTATTTACAGGACTGCTTATTGATCGGTTTAATGGAATATACACTTCTTATTCCATATTAAATACATTTATTCGACTTAGCACTCATAACGTGAGGTTACTTCAAGTTTCCCACTATTGTTATCTTCGTAGCATAGGCGATGTGTTGTGGTGCCACCGTGTCAGTAACGCAGCAGTCAAACAGAGTTCCACGTAGAAGCCAGTTTATGTGGTTGTGAATCATCACCAATACAAATGGTTGAAGCAAGTGTTACGGATGCCAGCTTACTGTATGCCCCATCGTGCATAGTTAAGGTCGGGAAAAGGTTACAGGTCACCAGACTAAAGTATGGTGTTCGGTTGTTGATCGGGGTCGTGTGGGCCTTCTGGATAGGGTCCGCACGACTACTGAGGTTGTCGGTTGAAGACTAGGTCGTAAAACTCAGAATCGATGTCAGTGGTGTAGATGTATACACTCATTATCATCATAATCGTCTTATATATGGTGAAGTTGAATAAGAATGGAGAGTGGACATCCTTGATAGACACCACTCGACGTACACAACTCACCACAGGCTCTAAAACATCCATGAGTGATAGATTTACTCTGGAGCCCTTTGGGTGAGATATTACTATTAAACCTCTCGGTCGAAGGAGTCGAATGGCGCCTTAAGGTGAAGAAATACAGCCGGTGCCATGCGTCGGTGTATCTATGTCCGAGAACCTGGTGGAGAGTGAATATGCGGTCAATGCACCCATGACCAGGTCTGAAACCTGGTTATTTTATTCGCGTTTGCTGTCCCCAAGTTCCACACAGAACTAAGAATCTTAGACACTACGCTCGTCAGCATGGTTCTCCTATGATTATCAGAAGAGGATTTCTGGCCTCTTTGTTAAGACTGAGACAACCAGTGGTTCAAACCTGTCGGAGGGAATCGTATCTGACTCCTATACAGTTGCTAACACCTCATTTAACTTGACCAGTAATCCTCCACAACCGTCCTTGTTTCAGATTAATCACAACTTTCTCAAGTCCTGGAGGTCATGTAAAGGTGTTCTGCTTGAGATCCAACTGACTAGTAGACTACAGCAAAGTGGATGCAGGTCAGTTGAAGTGTTCTGCCCATCGTTCCAATCGCCTCATGAGGTAATCGCAAAACCCTCCGTCCCCACTAATAGTTGATGTCTTCCTGCCGGTTTCCTTGATTCTAAATAGCTGTCTGTTAATAACTATCACCGCTGCTGTCAGTTCACGTTTCAGTCGCTTCCGCTCATTGTGCTTAAAGCCAGCATGTGTGCGTCCACGCGTATCCGTAAATTTAGAAGCTGTTCAGATCCGCTGACGTTTTTTAATCACTTTCTGAGATTGGGATACGGTCTTCAAAGGTGTTTTTACAGCAGATTGAATATTGTGCCAAACTCCCTTCGAAAGAATATTGTTCTGTTCCGATGACTATCGAGTTAGTGCGTCAGCAGGGTTTACCAAGACACAACGGCGAGTTTCACTCTTCGAGGTCCTCCCTGCATCATCCTGACCGATAGCTGCTACCTTGAGGTAATAGTCAGGCTTTCATATCACAATGGCCCAACAAGCTACGCTCGTGAGACGTTTATTGCCTTGAGGTTCCATCACGCCAGAAAGTTCCGTTGTGTAGTGGTAAGGCAAGGCAGTTACCATTGTAATGTAAATCACCACACTATGATTGGGGTCTGGAGGCGAAGTCGTACTCCTGACTGATCAATGGTGATATCATCGGTTTTTTTATGACCAGCAGTGTCACGCTGATGCTGTCTTCCCAATGTGAAGGGAGGATTAGGAAAGGTCGGTCCGAGAAATATTACACTCCTCTCTGCCCCATGATCTTCTAGTCCCGGTGGTGTATCCTCTGCATCCGGTGTTAGAACAACCACACCTCAAACAAACATCCTACAAACGGATGCGTTTGACGCCTCAAGCTAATGTCCCATGGGCTCTGCGGTCACACAAATCTTTCTCGCTCTTAGGTACCTCAAGAGGAACAAGCCTTCCACGGTGTAGATACCCGGGACGTCCCAACCACTAGCACGCTTCCAGTAGTACACGAGACCAAACTTAACATAATTTATCCCCCTCAACTCAGTCGCCTCCTCTGTCTTCACCTCCGGACACTAATAATAAGCCTCTAATGCCTTACCCAACCTCTAATTCTGAGACAATTGCCAACCATTAAAGCCATCGAAACTCAATTCCGAGTCTAATAAGACACTCCGCCATCCATTTCATGTTGGAGCTCTCGATGTCCGAACTCTATGCCAAATCGGACAGCAAGCACCGCTCACTAAAATTCTGCAGTTTCTAGTCATGAATGTATCCTGTGGGTACTAAACTGACCTCACCTGACCAGAGTAGTGAATCTTCAAAATGCACCTTAAATGAGTCCGGAGACCCGATGGCTAGCTCTCGTGGACTCGCTGGTGTAGGCACAGCATTGAGCTGTAGGGCAGGAAGTGCGCTTCTCGATTGGATACCAGTAAACAGGCGTCTGTGTGATGTTCGACTGAATTTGTATCTGGATCTGTAATGACTATGAAGGATCGTGAGACCGACCGTTGCCTACGCACTCACTGGCTGTACTTCGGGTGAGTTCTATGAGAAGCTGTCAACAAAGGCCTCTCTGGGATATTCACGGAGGCCGATGCCAACGAACCGACAACAGTGGTCGTCTCTTGCGACTTTGTTCCGACAACCACTTGTTTCTGTTCAGCACTAACTTTAAGGATGAGACAAACTGTCTTACATGGCGTCCGCCAACATCAAACCAAGGATGGGCACAGATAGATCACATTGCTGTAAGCCATCGGTGGGGGATTGCCGCTTTGTTTGGAATACCAGTTTTGACTCAGATCACGCGCTAGTAAGTGCTTGTGTATGCTAGTGCCTTCCTGGTAGCAGGAAGCCTTTTTATAGTCGACTGGAAAATGAGAACGTCAAGCTCGAATTTAGCGGACAGACAGCTAAGCATTCATCTGAACATAACAGCACTCCTCATCCTGAGGAAACCTGGCGTGATACTAATCTGCTGTAGAAACAGCAATAAAGACAATTGCTAACCTACACCTGAGGGTTAGCAAGCGTCACTGGATTTGTGCTAGGCCATCCGAACTGGTTGGTATGAGAAGACTGATCCCAGCAGGTTCGGATCGATGAAGAGAGGAAGTAACTTAAACATAAACTAACCCAAAGTCCTCACATCGATTGCGAGCAGTGTTGGGTGGTGAGAAATGAAAAAGGCATCAGGGTTGAATAACAGTCGGCTAATTAAAGATACCGGCAAGAAGAAAATGATGGTGAGTGAAACCATCACCCAAAAGGATAGGACGCTGAAAACCTCCCGGGACAGGTTGTTAAGACGTTGGGCAGTAGCGCTTCAGTTACCCAGCATGGAACTGAACGGGACGTCGATGTCAGTCCCCCAACTGTCCTTGAAGCTGAGAAGGCTGTGCCGGACCCCGAAACGATGCAAAGCGCCAGGACCTGACAGTTTCCCATCCGAAGTTTTCAGGGATGGTGGCAGGAAATTCCTTCTTAAAACGATAGGTAGTGTGTAGGAATCAGAGGTAGTGCTATCAGACTAGTATACTTCTGTGGTCCTACCAGTCTGTACAAAGGGAGAGAAGTCTACTTGTGACAGCTATAAGCGAACTAGTTTGACTAATGTTGTGTCAACGATTTTAGGCTCCATAGTTATCCGACACCCGACTGGAGCTCCAGAAAATCAGTCAAGTCTCAGACCTGGACGAGGATGCATCGATCAAATATTTCCACCCTACGACAGGTTCTGGGACACAGGCATATCTATCTGCCAACGGTCGACACTCGCCATATTTCTTGACCTGAAGGTGGCATTCGACTCTGTCGACCGCCATATACTGTGGTAGTGTCTGACTGTGAAGAGTATCGAGCAAGTATATGACGCTAATTGAAGCCCTCTACTAGAACTCACGTATCCATGTCACCGCTTGTGGAGAATTATCATGTGAATTGACGACAACTTATGGTGTCCGCCAGAGATGCCCATTGTCACCGTTCCTACTTAACTTCGACATACACACACCGATGGACATAACCTTAGACACGTTTGACTTCATAGGGATTAGCCTACTCTCTAGAAGTCATCTGGTTGACTCCGAGTAAGCAGATGATCTAGGTCTGGTCTCATGCGAGTACTTCCAGTTAAATTAAAGGGAGCAGAGTGGTAGAATATGTCGACTACTTCACTAACTTGGGGAGTTTCACCAGCCCGAGAGGGTTTGCTGCTGACAGAATATCAGCTCAGGTACAGAGGGTGAGTTTGGCATTTGCCGACTTGCGTCATCTGTTCCCCAGTTAACAAGATATCCGACTTTCTACCAAAGGATGAGTATACTGCGCTGCAGTCCGTTTTGTCCTGTTGTACGGCTGAGACTTGTCCGTTAAAGTGGAAGACATGAAGCAATTACAGGATATTGGTCACAAATGTCTTCTTGGCATTGCTCGGGTTTTGTGGAACCACCAGGTGAGCAGTGTTGGAGTTAGGCGAATGGTACTAGACGAGTCGAGTGAAGTGATGAGGTCGACTGAGATGGCTTTTACATATGTTGCGGTTGTCGAGTCACCGCCTGCCTCGAGGTGCCATACCAGGCGAAGTTGGGTTACGTTGGAAGAGGGTTCAGGGTAGTTAGAACAAGACCTGGTACCATTCAATGGAGTCCATAACTGTTTGAGGTGTGTGTGGAGATAAAGACTGCGTGGTTAAGGTCACCGAGACGAAAGAAATCAGTGGTTGAGGACTCTTGGCAAGATGACTAAAAAATTGGTCATAAGGGCGCAGGTGTATTCACTCCCTGACATATCTGAAGCTTGAAGATCTGCGCTAACCATTACCATCAGATTATTTATTCTTTCACACTACTTTATCTTCTTTGATATTAGACTTTTTTCAATCCACCTGTTCCTTGTGTACTACTATGAAGTGTGGCAACTTGAGCCGATGAACTTGTGTGCAAGGTCCTACGTTGATTTTGTTAGTCAGTGCACCATTCAGTCGAATAGCTCACAGGCAACTGTCAACCACGATTTACTTGAGCAGTGTATATTTTGCCTTGGCACTTAATGCTAAACCTACACCTGCAAGACCACGAGTAAATAGTCATCCAATCACCAGGAACTCAAAGAGTGAATTTTACACGTTCATCATACTGGCCGGGTGAGATTACATGAATAACGGCACTTGGTCCCTGTATGCGTATCTCATAAACACAGCGCATGCATTACTCAAGATGCTAGATTTTTGGGTAGCAAAGCTTGTTGACTGGTTTGATGGAGGGTGCACACATTGAAAGTTCCAATGTGTAGTTTGGAGAACGGTTTCAGGAGACCAGTGAGGCTCTTCCGTGAGCTCTAATCAATGTCAAAAGCTGCAGAGCTGGAAGAAATTAAAGATGAAGTAGCGACGAGAGACATGAAGGAAGATTAGAAATTAAGGTTGCGGAAGGTGGATAGTGATTTAGCGGAACTTGACCGCTGACATTTGTGAGGGCGGCTGACGCTTCCTGGCTACCCACATTATCGAAGGCTATTACAGCTTGAGGTACCTGGGAACGAAGGGCTAGGGAGTGATCACATATCTCAAGCGAAATTTGCTAAAGGCTGGTCAAGTACGGCTTTATTAAAACGTTAAGAATTTAGCTTGATTTTTCCAAGTCCGTCTGTGAAAATGCTATACCGCTGGCACTGGTACGCACCAGAGTTGAGATAAGTGTGCTATTTTTAACGTCGATCCTTCCCATCCCGTTGAGAAGCCAGAATGGTCATATAAAAAATTGCTATCATGTCCCCATCCAACGAGTAACATTAATTCGCTCTTGAACCCCTATCACTATAACGATAACTGCTTTTTGTCTAACCACTGTCCAACTGATCTTTCTGGTGTGATAGGACCATCGTAATAAACAAACTGGCTTTCCAAGTCAAGGTAGTAGCTATCGGTCAGGATAGTGATTCTGACTAAATATCAGCCTCATTCTAACTCCTACAACTATAAAGTGATTATACTCCACGATAATGCGTTTCAGGAGTTACCGAAATAAAACAGCAAGAGAAAAAGCAGAAATCAATGGCATTCGATGTAATCACTACAAATTTTCATATACAGTCTTATGGCCACAAGCTTTGTTAACTAAGAGATTGCTGACTCGGTTCCAGCTATAAATCAGTTTTTTGACTTCGCCATCCTTAAATTATTGCTTTCGTAATTGTTATTTTTGCAGGCGTAAGTGGAGTTATTAGCACGTGTTGTATGCTTAATTTAAGTAGTTAAGTGCATGCTACTTTAACTAGTACCGCCCTCCGTTATACTTATTGGACTACAACAAAACAAAAGACAACAGTAAGAATAAAATGCATAGTGTATTATAAACAGTTCTGAGTAAATCATGCACGACGTTTTTTCACCTGAAAATTCAAACAAATAGGTCTTATGTTAGTATACAAATTTACATTTCCAAGTTGATTATAGCTAAATTATCGAAGAGGGAAATGTGCACCAGTGTGATAGTCATTTATTGAGTACACTGAAACCTCGAAAAGTTAACTCTGTAGTTGGTTAGGTCACAGTAAACCTAGAACGACGCACAAGTGGTTCTTAAACTCATATGGGAATCATGGCTTCAGATAAAATAATATTAAGATACGCTTACTGTATTCTAATTACATACCGGAGAAACCAATGAAGTCTGTAGATTTTCGGAAATGATACACATGTTGCAGGTTTAGATCAATATTTTTAGTTACGATCAAATAAGGAATTAAATTTCATTATGTTACTCACCCATTAATTAAGGGATAATATGTAAAGATAACAAATCGTTTATGAAGCACGTAATACTTTAGTATAATATGCCCTAGAAATCCATTTCACCGCTTAGGCTAATCAAAGAGATAATGATCAAAATAAATTGACTGCCTATACCGGTTTTTAAGTGAACAGCAAGCTATGAGGTACTACAGGTATGTACTGAATAGCATGATCAATAAAGTGAAGACTAAAAGCAGATCAAAACGAAAGACAAAACTACCAAAGCGTGCCGACAGTTTCTCCGGCGTGTAATACGATTATAAACCCTAAATTAATGTAGTTAACATACTGGAAACGTAATACTCAGATAGCCGTAGTTTGACAGAGTAGTACTTATACACCTTCCAATCATCACCCAGTATAACTGTCTCTGCTCATGAGGTCGAAGTGCATGCGTGAATGAAGCTCAGTGTTCTAAAGCTCTTTACATAGCTTAGAACAGCATTCAGAAGCTTTTTTTAAGCAACTGATGCTCCTCGATGTATTTTTAAAACTTTTGTTTGCATAAAACAAATGTGAGTAGGGACAAAGTATCTATGAAGCTACTTGACAGCTTTCAGTTACTCAACAGTAGCTTCAATGCTAGCTAAATTATATTGAAAAAACATCTGATGCAAGACGATCTCCGATCATAATGATGGAGGAGCAGAGTATATGGATGAGCGACAAAGACAAGGATTCCTGCAATTAGCCTCGAAACATTAAACTGAAAACTAATCTACTTCCTCAGGATGTGCTACTATATTTTGGATGACTATTTTTCTGGATACCTAGAATCCCGGATTACACGTATTGATAAAACTGTCAAATGAACAAATTTATATGTGTTTGATTTGACAAATCAGATTTGAACTACAGATCATAAGCACACTGGGTGCTTATTGGCATTTATCCGACAACTAAATGTGTAAACAGGGTAGTTTCCAGTACAAAGTGTTTGTCATGCATACTTCGTACAAAATGATTGTCTTATCCAATACAGAAATCCAACTATCTTGTGGTTTTGCCTTTTGATTTTGATCCCGGTTAGGATTTAAGTACTTATCAATTTGATAAAATAGCTTAATCAATTTCAGCATTCTGTTTGATGCGTTAAGATCTCTTTTTCTTTATGAAAAAATGAGTGGGAACAAGTTTTGATTCTAAGGTTAAAAGTTAGTTCTTTCAGTGGAAAAGTTGTAACTATAGCTATAGTGGGTACGGTGTAGTCAGCTTACTTGTTAAACAACGCTGAACCGACACCGCTTGTTATCAATAGCTAAAACAGTATCAATAATATATACCTAATGTCGAAATAAGAAATTGGTGCTAACTATTATTATTCCAGCAGATTTTCTATGATGTTTCATTAGTAGGGAGATTTAACTCTCGACTAGTGGACCAGGCATCTAAAGTCTACCCCAACTTTAGTGGTTTGGGCTACTAACCAGTATTATTGGGATTTACGCAACAAATGTGGCACATGATCTTGCAAATAGGTATATATTCGCCGAGTTACATTATTATTTTCCACATTATCAGAGAATTCCCCACCATTTTATAAAAACGACACGAAAATAATGTTCAGGACAATGACAAGATGAATCGAGGACTTACAATCCGATCGAAAGCGGCATCAAATAATCCGGCTGTTTGGTCTTGAGCTTGACTGGTGCCTTTGGTATCGTATTCACTAGGGGAATTCTTACGTTTCAAGCGATGTTGAGGAAAAGACGGCATCATGTCAGGTTCACAAGCTGTTATTAATCAACAAAAGGAAAGTAGGAATATGCTAACTTAGTGAAATAATATTACATAGCCTTTGGTAATGAGACACCGTCATTCAGAGTCACTCGTAACAAGTAGCCTGGTGTTTGTGAGTTGGTTGGTGAGGTGGATGGTATGTCGACCAACAGTAAAGATGTCTAAAACACTGAGTGTATTACTTTGAGAACATTAGTTGACTTACTGCTTCAACGCATTGGTTCTCTTCGGTCGGTTAACACTTACCCATTCAACAGCATGTTAGTAATCAGACGTTAAAGGCTCGTGGTGACATTTCAGAATCGGTCGCAATGGTATAGATGTAGTTACTACTTATGGTCTAAGATATTTTGAACATTTTTACTGGCTTTCAATTATTTTCTTTATCCCTTCTTACACAATTCTGTGGGTGTTACTAACATTCTTTCCTATAAACTTATTGTAGTGTGCTTGTGAACTGTTGCAATGTGCACTGATGCACTTTCGTAAAAGGTCCAACGTTAACTACCTGCTCATTAGAACTCGCGAAGCGAAGATTCACAACAATGAAAATCACAATCAAACACCCGACCCAGGCAACTTATCCCTGACTCTTTTAAAAGACTTAACTCAGCCGTACTCAGTGAACTAATTACATTATTTTAGAGCATCAGCTTGCAACTAACAGACGCGAAACGCATGCCAAACATACTCAGGGTTCTGCTCAACACGTTTTGAAAACTCCGTCGTGTCAGCATCTTCACCTAACATGATAATATCGTCTGCATACTCAACCAGATGCTCTCCAGGGAGTAGATAAATCATTGCGACGTTACAGGTGTCTAGGGTTATGTCTATTAATACACTTTTATAGGAGTTAAATGGGAATTGTGACAGTGGGCATCCCTTGCGGATGCCACTAGTTATCGCCAATTTAGATGACATCATTCCACATACGCTTAAACGGCTGAGTTTGAGTACTGTTTTCCCAGTAGATTGAAGATGAGTGACATTGTCTTGTTCCGATTATCATCTGGCCTCTTCTTTAAAGTAGCCTTAGCATTCTTATCGTCAAGCTGCGTCCCGAATGTCTATATTGCTACTTTTTCTGCGTCCATTTAGGCGAAAGCATGAGCGTGCCGGAATTAAGGTGTAATCACTGTATAAACACGTACTACAGAAGGAGTAGTAATCTTCCAATGAATTTATACAGTGGTAGCTGGTTTTATGTGTGTCTACCAATTACTTGAGGTCGGCGATCGCCACTTCAGACAGCGTCTCTTTTCATGTTTGCAGTTCGTGCTAGCCGGAAGTCATTGGTTGTCTGAGCACAGTTGTAGCAGGTGATCGTCGTTATATGTTCCCTCGGCTGCGATTCCGAAAGCGCCTTCCTATCTAGCTCAGTGTAACCCACCTGTGCATTGGAATAGCTTGCTACGACAACTCTATTTGGACGTCCAGCGTGAGGTTAAACAGTTTTCAGTAGAACTTGCTACTCACTGCATCTAAACTGCAGTTAGTTAGTGCGTAGGCAGAGATTACAAAGAGATAACGGCGAGTTCTACTTTTCTTTCAGGTTTGCACTCGGTCGAACAGAGCACAGCAGACTGTCATATGGGATTTATTCGGGGAGTGCACTTTCTGTCTCGGCCCTGGATGTTACACCTACACCTGCAAGATCACGAAATGCAGTCATCGAATCTCCAGAAACTCGAAGAGTGAATTCTGCAGGTTTATCTATATTGGCTGGATGAGGTGGACTGAATAGACACACTTAGGTCCCATATACGTGCATAAGTTAGCAAAGCAATTAGTGCAAACAACTATCGTGCATGGATGGCAAGTGGCTTGGATCAATATCAGCGTTACTTTTTATATTGTGTGTGCCAACGTGTGCCGATAAGTGACCCCTGATTCTTTATAGTATTCATTCAGTTAAACATGAAAAAGTACATTCTTAGAAAGTTAGACAAAATCTAAATTCAAAAAATAAATAACTCACGTAAAGGATGTTCACGGAAATAAGAACTCTGACAGCATTCACGCGCTCGGGCACGTTTGGAAGGATCGTACATGAACAAGAAGTTTAGCAGACGTAATCCAGCATCAGATAACCAAGGGAAGGTGTGTCGTAAATTGTTATACCTGAGGAACACCATTGAAAGCACTAGTTTCACATACTCCACGATAATTTAAACAAAATAAGTGGTTCAAATATTTATCTGAAGTTTGTACAATGTTTTGTCAGCTTGAAATGCTGAAAGTCATAACGGCCTAGTGACGGAAAACGAAATGATTCCCACTGATTAAATTATTTTAATCAATAACCAATAGGCTTTGAAATAAATCTATCATGAGCCAACGCTACCACTGTTCTCTGTAAAACCAAATGAGCGGGAGTGGAGTCGGACCAGTCGTCGATAGTTAATTAGTCATATCAATTCTGACGTCGGATGATCAGACTGATACTTGACTATCAGACTACGTAATAAGTTAATTATGTCTACGGAGAGATATGCTAGGGTGTCAGTATTATCATAATAAACACCATTGGTCTAACTAAGAGAAAGCAACAATGACGTTTCTCATGTTTATAATTAAAAAGATTTCAGCGAAGAGGATTTCTTTTTGCGACGATTCCATTTTCAAAATCTGTATAGTCGTATTTATATGTAAGTTGAGGTTGACAATAAAAAATTTGCCTTTCATTTTTACGACAATTGGAGTCATAAGGTATATTAATAGAAATCAGGAGAGCATTTCACAAATCATCAGATGAATTGGGAAAGTAGAGTACATAAAAACTAAGAAACAATAGAAAATGAAACCATAAATTATAAGAAGTGAGAAGGAAGAGATACACCCAACAAATACATGTGACATGACGATTAGGATTAAGCTAATTTGTTGATCCATCTACCACTGATATCTGCAGTCTACATTTTTATATGCGGCTCAGACCGATCACAAACTTCATGGAGTGGTACCACTTCTTAGTTTGGTGACAGGAAACTGACCCACCTTACTACCTTTTCTCAACTCAGTAGAATGAAAATAGTGACTTAAAAAAAGATAATGTTTATAACTCCCTCTGCTGTACGAGATCAACAGATGATGATCTATGATTTCACTGCACATTATTATTATGTTATCGGAACACAAACTTATTATAACATGGGTACCGCGAGATGCGTCATGCGAAATAATAAAGCGAGATTATGAAGAGAGAAGAGAATGGAGAGAAAATCACTTGACTTTTTAGTAACGGAAGATACAAGAAAACTGCACCAAGATTGACACTGGTTTAGATTATTAAGCTTGTCTGCTATTGTCTCGGACCCTATCTACGAAGTTGTAAGGCATGTATATATACCAGCCCAACACAAATGTCCTTCATCTCACGGTTCTGTTATATACTGCTCATCTTTACTTCTAACCATTTCCATAGCAAGTGAGTAGTGGGAGCCGCTGGGGTAGCATGCTTTATATATGTCCAAGACACTAAATGAGTGATATTCATCGCGCTCAGACACGCCAACTCGCCTTAGAACTACTTACATGGAGTTTTCACCACACATAAGCCCACATATTAAGAGGTGCTCAAACCGAGTTATCGGATGGAGCCAGATTTAACAGGCGTAGGCTAGAAATTTTCATAACATGTTGTATAACCGTCTGAGCAAAGCTATACGCTGATTTGTTTCCGTCTAGATAAAAAGGTGGCAGGTCAAAGTAATTATGAAGTGTTTCGAAACCATAATCAGTACTCCATGTTAAATAAGTTTACTTGGTGCAATACACCGATACAGTATTAATTCAGTAAATAGTACTGCTCTACTGTTACTAAATTAAACTTCGTTAAATATAGAATTATACTCCAAGTGTCAAAAACATATTATTACACTGATAACCTTTCCTGGTAAAAAAAATATAGGTTACAAAATACAACTGAGTGAGCGAAACTTTCGAACACAAATTACTAAGAAACATTAGGCTTACAATCCTGTTGTTATAGTTAACCACCTTCAGTATGAAATGACGGATGATTGTTTATACAGCTAAGGTAAAATAAATGTAACGGACCCTAAAACGATTCATGCAGAAGTGTCATTTAAGCGATACTATCTGGCTTATTAGGACGAGTTGGTTGTAATTATAATATTATTACGATTACAGGCAAAGTCTTTTTTATTGTCTCTGCTTGACCACCACTTAGATTCCGTTAGTAATCCTCAAAATATCGCACAAACTGGGGTAGACAATGGGTAGTTATTGAAATTAAAATTCTTCAGCTAAACTATGAAAGTACTACGAAACAAGTATTACGAATTCATAAACGAAATAATAAGTACAGACACAAACTCACGGTTGTTTCTTTAAGTTAATTTTCTCCAACGTTGGTAACTTGGACAAATTCTAGAACAACGGTTATTTAGAATAGATTACACACGTACCGGCCAAATTTGATCATTCGGCGTACCAAGTAAGTCAATAATCAGCTCTAGTTGATGCACTTCTGTCTTTCCTGGAAGCAAGGGTTTATGCAGTAGAAGCTCACCCATAATACATCCAGCTGACCTAGTATACCATGATTAAAATAAGATAATATCGACTCACCATATGTCGACAGCTTTAGTTTGGTTCTTATCCCCAAGCAGAATTTCAGGAGCCCGGTACCTGCAGTTTTACATCAAGAAAGGAATTAACTTTATTTAACACCATGCATGTGACATGAACGAATATTCGCCTAGTAATGTTCATGTATAGCATATCTCTTCGCTTTATCTGGATACCAAGTATTTGCATAAATATGGTACTTCACAGTAATGTAGCTAAGGAAAATGACAACAGAAGCAATGTCACTTAATTTGCAAGGGCAATCTTTGGACGGTATGCACACTATAAAGAAGCAATGCACTTCTGCTCTAAATTACCACTAAGTTCAAAAAACTGTACTTAAAAATAATTTGCTTAGTCATCAAATGACACATCAAGCGATTCCAAGTTTGTTCAACTAGGTACGTATTTGCACATGAGTAAATATTATGTGTGCTTTTACCATAAAAGTTTTTTAGAAGTCCTTCCCATACTTCTAAGATATATGCTTAGATATTATCTACAGGTAAGGTATAAGTCACGGTTATCGTAGTATACAGGACAGTTGTTAAATAGAAACAGAGACGTGTTATTAAACACAAAGACTCTAAAATTCATCAATTTCGACCAATGAATACTAGGACTGAGTAACTCATATCAGGTGTAATCTCAAATCGAATCAAACTCCACTCGGAAACCTTGTGCACATCTGTGCAGTAGACTATAAGCCACACCTTTGTGAGGGCTAATGATACTACGTGGCTGCCTAAACCTCAGTAGGTGGAGATGCTCGGACCCACAACCCACTGGTTGAAAGTCAAATCGCTTAACCAATGAGCCTTAACTCCACAGAGGTAATCTACTTCAGCCCACAGTTAAAGTAGAATTTTGTTGCTACTAAGAAATTATCACAAGTCACGAAGTATAGATGACTGTGATTTGCGATGGTTCTGCAGCTAAAGCGTCTCTCATGCTGCGGTCGCTTCGTAGAGGATGCAAATGCTTTGGTGAAAATATTTTTAGGATTTTGGACCACACCAACGTACAGTCTTATATACAGTATTGTATCTAAGCAGTTGATTCAAAAAGCTTACAAATTTGAACGGGTTCAGAAAGTTAGCAGCAAACTAGTAATAGGTGCCCTAGGTTACCTGTGAAATTTATTATGATTATTATTAGAACACAAACATGGTATAGAAACTGCATCGAGAAATACCACATACAATAATATGACACTATTTGGAAGACAAAGCGAAAGGAGGTGGATTAAAGAAAAACACAATAAGAATAGAATGATTAGAAAGGCGGTCTAGTCAGGTACATTCAAAACAAAAAATTCATTACTTTTCAGCAGCAGAAGAGAAAAAAAAGATCGCCACTGGTTTTGATTCTGAGCCATAACTCAACGTCTCAAACCAGAGTTGCCCAGTCAGTCTCTCGGACCCCCATCAGAAGGATCGTGACGCACCAACCGATGCTAACCTGATACCACTATTCTTCACGTCATACACTGACCACTCCTCCGCTTCTTCCATCCAGTTTCAGGGCTAGCAAACAGTGGATGGTATGGAAGCCGTTGAAACGACATGCATAACATATATCGGAGCCACGAAAGTAGACGTTTGCAGATGTCCACCTATTGAATGACGATCTCTATCATGCCCAAACACACGCTGTCATACCTAACAATTACTTACACGGTGTCGCCCCGAATACAAGCAATCCTGCGGAGACCACGATGATTGAACACAGAGTCATCGCACATTTTTAGCTCGGAGAGGCCAGGTTTCACAAGCGTAGAATAGAACTGCTCCAGCGAAGCATTGTAAAGACCTAACCTTTTCACAGTTAGACCAACGTCGCGACGGCACCAAAGGTGGTCCAGTGGCATATGCCACTATGGCTTTCGATATGCGGCTGGAAATTTCATTACACAACACCAGCACTCACACAACTACCCAGATACACAAACTTTTCGACTAGTGCAAACGGCTCATCACCGAGGGTGGGGGCAGGCATATGGTCCTGCCAACCTTGTTAAAGTACTTTGCACTTTGATGGTGCAAATTACATACCATACTTACGGACACTAATCGCCAACTAATTAGGTGGGATATGAGTAGCCCGAGTTATTGCACGGTAAGATATCGTCCACATCTTCAACATCGAACAGCCGTTCTCCGGGTAGTAGATCAACTCGACTACCATGCACCTCCTTAAGAGCTGTCTGAAGAATACCATCGATGGCCAAGTTAGAAAGGAGTGAAAAGTAATTAGCAACTACGAACAGTTTTTTCTTATCTTATAGTGGGAAAAGAGGTTACCTAGTTTCATCCTTCCGTATCTTGGATAACTACTTGCGTACTGACCAACTTAATCTCTTGATTCCCTTTACGGCTGATAAACTAAGAGGTTACGGAAAAATTAAAAAACCTAGGTCAACTCATCTGCGAGTGGAGTGCCAATTCTTTTATAGTGTAGTCAGAGACTGGAACTCGTTACTGCAAGTAGTTACTTCTTCAGTAAAGAAATTCAAGAAAAAGCTAGACGTTCATATAAATAACTATTTCAATGACTAAAGCAGGTTTATAGCCTACCATCACTTTTATTGAAAACAATCTATTTTACCACCGTAAGGATAAGAGTCTCGACTCAGTTGATTACTGGGAATTATACTTTCGTGTTAAGGGGAAAAAGGTCGACAAACGAACACTTAGTCATTATAGACTGATTCATAGACAATTAGAATTAAGTGATAGGGAAACATTCAGACGGAATCTGACGACCTGAAAATTATTCCTAATGAGCTTTCGAACACCTGACCCCGCCGCGGGTGTATTGATCACATATTCACACCGCGCCAGGTTCTGGAACACAGACACGCTCACGACGCCCGACACTAGCCGTATTTCTCGACCTGAAGGCTGCATTTGACTCCGTTCATCGAGAAGTCTTATGGTAATGTTTCTCACTGAAAGACGTGCTGAGTAAGTACATCACCTTATTGAAGGTCCTCTACTCGAACACTTGTGGGTGTGTTAAAGCCTAAGGTGAGATGTTCGGGAAGCTGTACTCGTCGAGTGGTGTTCGCCAGGGCTCTCCACTGTCTCCATTCTTATTCAATTTTATCATAGTTATTCTTATGGAGGTCTGTCTCTCGTCACCTGACTACACAGAGGTTGACCCAATCGTGGGACAATTTTGTTAGACCTAGAGTATGCAGATCACATAGTCCAATTAGGTGAAGTCGCTGACAAGATGCAGTCTTCTGGACACTTTGAGTGGCAATTTGAGAATGTTTCGGATGTGTTTCTCACCACTCAAATGCAAATTGTTGTTCCAGGATTGGTCTTCAATGGTGCCCCACCACGGCTAACAATAGAGAGTGTAGTGGTTGTGTGTCGACTACTTCACTTACCTGGGAAGTAGGATCAACCCCGGTGGCTCAGTGGCTGATGAAACATCTGCACAGATACAAAAGGCATGGCCAGCTTTTGCTAACTTACGCTACCTGTGGCGCCGCTATGATATCCCTTTGTCTATTAAGGGTCACATGTACTGCACAGCAGTCCGGTCTGTTCTACTGTATGGCTGCGAAACATGGCTATGAAAGGTGAGAGATATGAGAAGACTTCAGGTGTTTGACCACCGTTGCCTTCGTAGTATAGGCCGCATTCCGTGGTGTCACCACGTTAGTAACGCAGAAGTCAGGTGTAGAGTTTTAGGGAGTCAGTTGACGAGGTTGTGAACCTTCACTGACTGAGATGGCTTCGACATGTTTGCGTATGTCTAGTCGCCGTCTGCCTCATCACGCAATGTTGGCCGAAGTAGGTTCAGGTTAGAAAAAGGTTCAAGGTGACCAGACTAGAACACAGCATCAATGTATGAAGTCTGTGACTTAGTTTGAGACATGTGGGGCGATGCAGACTAGCCGGTTAGGGTCCGTGAGACAAAGAAAGCCAGTGGTTGGAGACTCTAGGTAATGGTATAGCTCAGAACCGATGTCAGTGGCGCAGATGTATACACACACTACTCCCATCTCAACGCTATGCTGAATCTCACCATTTTCTCATTCTTCCTTCCTCTCATTTTGTACTTCATATTTCCCTTTGACTGAATTTTCCTATCTTCATCTTACACCGCACTTCCTCTTTACTTGATGTACTGGTATGAGCTGTGGCAATTCGGACCGTTACGCAGTAATGCCTGGTTCTATGTTGGCTTCCATGGCGATGATTCGAACACCCGAGTACATACACCAGGCTAAAACAATAAACTAAAGCAAGTGTTCTTAAAAATTTCCTCTACTCGCTTTAGAATACAACGGAATATCTCACAAAAGGTATGAGTAACCACATACATTACTGCTCAAATATCTATAAGATTTTTATCAATTTCTTACCATAAGGTAACAACACAGGGAGTCATGGGATTATGAGAGTGAGTTGGGCGTGAGAGTCCAAAGTCAGCTACAAAAGATACAATCAAAATAGTTTTCAAAACTACCTATTTTAACAAGTCCTTTGTCATTCATTAGCAAGTTTGACACTTTTAGGTCCCGGTGGATTATAAAGTTTTCATGGAGATACCTGAGGCCTTTAAACAGTTGCAGCATTATGCATTTGACCTATTCCGTATATTGATAGTAAAAATGTTATTACCTGAGACTCAGTGAAAGGATTAGGCATATTGTCAAGTAGGCTAGCCATGTCTTGTTCACAATATTCCATTACGAGGAAGATGCTAAGAATTACAGATGTGACACAAGCTCACCTATCTAAGCTCCGTCCAACAACAACCTCTCTTAGATGGACAACATTCGGATGCTTAAGACTAAGCAACAATGTGATTTCACGCAAGCTACTAATTGGAATTCCTTGGAAATTCTGACCAATACGCAAGAAGGACTTACCATCCCTAACATTTTCCATCCGCACCTTTTTTAAAGCTACAACCTCCTTTGTGACAGTATCACGGGCACGGTCTGAATTATTAGTTAAATCATCGAACTTACAAACTATGCCATATGTTCCTTCACCAATTCGATTAAGTTTCTCGAATTCCGCTACACTCCGACATCTGCCTTCCTGGTACATGTAATAATGCTAATAAACTTACTCTAAACTCTGATGGTATTTTGAAGTAAGAAAGTCTTTTAACACTAAAGATCCTGAATTCTCTAGGTTCTGGATCTGTATCACGAGCAGACGACCGCGACGCACACATTTTGTGCTCAGCGCACTACCATCCAATATCCAACAGCATCCAACATCAGTAATGCAAGTGTGGGGAACTGATAGTTTTCTATCCATTGCGTCTAGTTCTTGGGGATTGGTCTTTGCTTTTCGGTTTGCACCTGCAGTGGTCAACGAAATTTCTCCTACTTCCCTTTTTTTAGCTCCGATAAGATGATTGTTTCTGTGGGTTGGTAATTGTAATCTATATGCTGAGATGGTTAGGTGCCTACGGGTTGCTGGGAAGAACAGAAGTCTTTCGTGGCTCCCGCCTGTATAGGTAATTGAGTGGGAATCCCAAGAGAGCGGGTAAAGATACACAGAAATTGTCTTAAAGTTAAAAGTATGTAGCATGACTGTGGCTACCGGAGAAGATAATGTAGGTGTATCAACAAAAGAGATTGTGAGGGATGAACAAGAGGGACATCACTGTGGGCTAGCGTCCTCAGTGATGCCATGAGTATGTCTGTGGTAGCCCCTACGAAATGACATAACTAACTGTCTTTTGAATGAGTCTGCTGAGGAGCTTATGACTATATCCCGCTGTGAGATTCCACAAAAGATGTACTCTTAAGGAGAACACGTTCAACATAAGTTTGGAGTTAGGTCCCTGATATACTTTCCTGGTGGCGTTCCTGTGGTGAAAGCCAGGTTGCAGATAAGGTTACTTTGTTTGTGTAATCTGTATGAAGGATAATAAAGTCACCCCGCTTTCAGCCATGGCCTGAAGCGAATAAATCTAGGTATTTCAGTCGTCTACGACGTGCCTTCCTATTTAGTTCCACAACTGACTGCTTGGCAGATCTCTGTACTTTCCCAATGAGATTGGTGGCTACCATGAGCTTTCGCAGTACTACTGCATTAAAAACCTCCGGGTACGGCGGTACGTAAGATTTGAAGACTTTTTGAAACAGCATAGGGTTGACAGCACGAAAATGTCTACTCGGAAGGTCAAATGCGTTGTTTGCTCCGTCTGCCATTTCCCTGTTGTTAGAGCCGGTGTTCGGAGTATCCCTGAATTAGGACCAGAAATCCTTTCCCTTGGATACTTTTGTTGCGACATTGTTACCCAACTTGTGTTGGAATACGGTCGACCTGGCTTCAGGGGTACTAATTGGCGTTGCTTTTCACTTCTCCAGATTGAAGCCCAAGACTTTTTTCGACGACCAGAGTTCTGGTGGTCACAGGTCATTTTGAAGTGATATGCAGTCAACTTCTTCGTTTACTGCGCTCTAAAACCTAATGTTATCAATGAAGAAGAGGATGGGTGAGGGGGTCTTGTGTGGCGGATCATTGACGAAAAGAAGGAACAGAAGTGATCCACGAACTACTGCTTAGGATACCCTGACGTCAATTGTCTTCTCTCCGACCCTATTCTCTTCACTTTTGCGCAGAACAGTCCTCCTTCAGGTGCCCTTTGAACCGAGAAAGCAGGAGTTCATTTAAGCCGGCCGACGCCAACTTATGAAGTAGGATTTCGGGCTGGACTCCACCAGATGCCATAGCTAGGTCCGAAAAATAACGTTTTCTAGTCTTCTGTCTTCCCAGGTAAAAGTATGGCCCTCTCAGGTAGTCAATAAGTTGGTGGTTCTCGAAAGACCACTTAAAAGTCATGCTAAGCAGAATAAGTATTTCTATCCCTGTTAAGGAATTCCCACATCTCGTCTGCCATCAGGCCTTCTAATAGCTCGGAGAGCATAGGAAGTAGGGCATTAGGTCCTTAACTGCCGGGAATTTTTCTGCCTCTTTTTTGAAGATGGGTGTCTAGGTCATGCGCTTCCATCCTTTAAGGATTATGCGTGACTGGCAAGTACTTAAAATGTTACAGATTGCTTCTGCGCGGGCCTCGACGCAGCTGGTTAGTATTACTGGTTTTAGGTCGTCGCAGCCAGCGGACTTGCCCGGTCGGGGTCTGAAGAGTTTATCCAACACCTTTTCCTATATGACTGGGATACAGATTTATGACCTGGCCAGTGTCCCGTCGAGCCGCTGTGAATTTGTTGTTAGCACCGCGTTGTGCTTCTGTGTGTAAGTTCAGAAGCTAAGATGTCTCTAAGGTCCTCAATACATCTCCATTAGGACCTGTGATAAGATTAGCTTCTTGACTTGACTTCCTTCTCGTCAGGGGGCAGTGCAAGTTTCTGGGGTCACTTCGTAATTTCCATCCCAGGTTGGTGTGATCGCTAAACCCGTCTACACGGCCCCCGAAGTTGCGATGGCTGCGCGTCGTTTTGAAGTTCAAGAAGCTGGACTCCCTGAATGACGAACGCCATTTGAATCAAGCTTGCTTTTCAGTCTGAAGCAGCCTCTCTGTCCAGCGCTTTAGCCACCAAGTCCACTCTAACGATCAGCGTTTACCTATGGCACACTATGACTGGTGGCATCAAGTATTATCTCCTTCGTATATCTAGTTGTCCGTAATCTTTGAACACGATTTCCAACGTATTCTCAGCATATCGATTCTACCGTATCCACTCACATTTCTAGTAGTCGTGACAATGACAGTATATGCTACGAATGAGATTTAGAACTTCTTCCCTCTCCGAATTGGAATGAAATACTTCCACAGTGAACCTCGTATGTTGTAAAGCCTTTTGGTCACCGGAACTTGTTTCGTTTACAGCCCAATACAAACCTTCTCAGTTTCACGTCGCGTAAATCATTTCGAATCATCAGCGCACTACCGGCATCGAAATTTAAATGGCATAACCGCATAATCATGTCTGTAAACTGGATCGTACTTTTGTCTGAAGGAATAAATCGTCATTGTTACCGTGAGATGAGTCCAATCTGCAGGCCACAGCGCATTTGTGAGATAATCTTTCGTGGTCCCGTGCTTGACATTGTTGTGGCAAAGGTAATTCTTCGGTATATGCGGTTGCAGGGTCTCCTAAGTAATCACAGAGAAAGCTACCACTGCATGATAGCTGGGACCGAAGGGCGGCGGGATACGTATATTCTCAACGAGAGGATCATCGTTTGTCGGGCGTTGAGCTCCCGGCGTGTGGCATCTCTTATTTCTTTGAGAGACCACCAGTTTCTCACTAGAGGAAGCGGTGTGCCTTCCTCTTGTCTCGAAGAGGATGGATGGTGTGAAGTCGCTGGTGATGATTACGGATTCGCAATCTGCGGATGGAGTCGCTAAGATTGCCTAAGTGACCACCTCCTTACATGCGGAGGAGCTGTTGGGGGACCAAAATATGGCGCCTATAGGGTATTTGATACGTTGAAGGTGGAAGTGGTCCCATAGAGATTCCCCGGGCTGGATGAGAGCTGTGTCACTGGCCACTCTCGCCTTTAAGTAGGAGCTTGTGCAGGAAGCTTCTCTGCTTCCCATTCTGAGCCCTGTGTCGCCGGAAAGGAGTTCCAACCCCGTGACAAGCGTCTGTCTGTTGAGAGTGCCTGGCGAGTGCCAGGATTCCATCACAAATATGATGTAGGGGTACACTTTCTTGTAGAGCATCTTCATCTCCGCAACTTTTCCTCTCAATCCTCAAACGTTGCTGCCTATACGTGTTGGGGTGTTTCCGATGGGAGGAAAGGGCTGATTGTAAGCTTCTGTGAAGGCGACACTTCCGTGGTTAGGCTTAGGATCATAAGTCCTCACAGAACTGCCATAACTCCTTTAGTGACAGCTCTCTGACACTACTAGCAAGTATATTGTTCAGGCCAACTTTTTCTGAAGGCCATTGGATTGCTGGATGCCATGGAAGTTCCGATCGTCAGCAGGGAGACCATTTGGCTGTTCCAGAGTCGCATGTGCAGCCATGGCGGTGTTCCCACTTGAATTCCCAACTGCGGATTTTCCCTCCTGGCGTCTCAGTGACCATAGGTTGTCGTGTTTGGCCCAGATTTTACAGATGTTGACAATTTCCGGTTGATATGGGGGAAGGACAGTATCTTCGGCTTCGTTCGCGTTGTTCGGAGGCACTCCTCAGGGCCGTGACTTGTTTCAGAATGCCCGGCTACCTCGAGAAAAGCAACCTTGTGTCGCAGAGATAGGAGGCAATCCTAGCGCCCGACAGTAGTCTGACCATGTGTGGCTGTCATACTGTTCTCGCTTGATCAACAGTGAGTTTGTTGACACATCAGCGCAGAACAGGGTGATCGAGTTGGTCCTGCTGTCACTCGTGCTCGTCATGGGTGGTGATGTCGTTCAGGTCGGTTCTCTCAGATTCGGTGTTTGAGGACAAAAGTTCACATAAGTTTCTGTTAACCTTTTATCTCAATAAATCTAACCTGTCTTTATTTCTTTCTGCACGAACCCACCTAAGACAGACATTACTGGCTGCGTAAAAGGTGCAGGAGCACGCGCTTGCTGGGGATAGTGACATTCATCAGTTAGTCTTCAGTCTTCAGTGTTAATGATAGCAAGCCAAGAGGTTTGTAGTAATCGTAGCAGTGTGCAGACTGAGTTACTCCTTGAAAGCGCCCACCAAGGGGATAGATACCATAAACCTCAGTAGCAGAGTCCAGTCGTTGACCTCCATTGGAGAGAATCCAAGCTGAAATTGCAGCTTATTCGACCACAGCGTTTGCATTTTTTGATGCCTTTTTAGTCATCCAGTCATGCGGGGTAAAAAAGATACAAGACATCGATGACGAAGTCGGTATGTACGACCCGATGGGCTAATAATAGAACAAACCTCCTTCTAAGACATGATAGCGAGAGGTGCCACAGGTGCACAGCCACTGTCAATGGCCCAATAATGATAATAATAATAACGATAACAATAGCAATACAATATATTTCATACAGCCCAGGCCACATGAAAACAAACCAGTTTACAAGTTTGATCACCTTGATGTGAACTGACCGTTATGTACAACATCAAGCACTACATTGGACACCGTTATTCATGGCACATGAGAGATAAGTTTAGAGTAAGAGCGCTGATGCTTCGCAGACAACAAAGAATAAAACGGCTAAACACTAGCACGTGTTCTACAGATTGGAGCAAGCTCAGCTAAGAATTAGGAATTATTGCGCCA